CAATGGCACGCAAAGCGGAATACATATTGCTTCCAGGTAATAAACACATTGCTTTCGAATTTGAATATGTTGCCTTCAGGTAACAACATATTGTCTTCAAGTAACACTCACAATAGCAAACATTGCTTGTTCTCCAATGTCTTAGTCTCTGTACTGGCACATAAATAATTCAGGTGACTTGATTTATGAAAATCAACTTATTTGTATCAACCATACTGAAATTCAGTTTTCATTTTGCCTTCATTTTACCCCAAATATATCCACTGTCTTCAAATTTCCATATCGATCCGGTTTAGGTGGAGATCGGATCCACGCGTCGCACCTCGATAATCAGACCACTACTACTCGAAGAAAAAGAATGAACATGGCGTGTGGGGAGTACAATTACCAAATAAATATATGTATTTAACACCTTAGAGTGATATTCCACTCCCATTGACCTTAATTGACTCACCTATACCCCAATTGTCGTGGTAGTTATTGTGGTGTCCCCACCACTCCTGCACACTGACGCGCGCACTCAAGAACACGTCAACGAAATTCTCTCACGTCCAACCCTTCGACCACCATGAAGATGCTCACCAAGTTTGAGAGCAAGACCCTGCGGGCCAAGGGGGTGGCGTTCCACCCGAAACGGCCGTGGGCACTTGTCTCGTTGCACTCGCTGACTATCCAGTTGTGGGACTACCGCATGGGCACCCTCATCGACCGTTTCGACGACCACACCGGGCCCGTGCGCTGCGTCGACTTCCACCCCACTCAACCCCTCTTTGTCCTGGGCGGCGACGACTACACCGTCAAGGTGTGGTCGCTCAACACCCGCAAGTGCATCTTCACCTTGAACGCCCACTTGGACTACGTGCGGACGGTGTTTTTCCACAAGACGTTGCCGTGGATCATCTCGTGCCTGGACGACTTGACCATCAAGATCTGGAACTGGCAGAACCGCCAGGAGATCGCGTGCTTGACGGGGCACAACCACTACGTGATGTCGGCGCAATTCCACCCGACGGAAGACCTCATTGTCCTGGCGTCGCTCGACCAGACGGTGCGGGTGTGGGACATTTCTGGTCTCCGCAAAAAGCACTCGGCCCCCGGCGGCGGCATGGGCCCGGGAAGCGGCCCCCGCTCGTTTGAAGACCAATTGACCCGCCTGCAGTTGCCCCAACAGGATATCTTCGGCAACGCCAACGCCGTGGTCAAATACGTGTTGGAAGGCCACGACAAGGGGGTCAACTGGGCCGCGTTCCACCCCACCTTGCCCCTCATCGTCCTGGCCGCCGACGACCGCTTGGTGAAGTTGTGGAGAATGCTGGACACCAAGGCGTGGGAAGTCGACACCTGCCGCGGCCACACCGGCAACGTCCTTTGTCTGATCTTCCACCCCACCCAGGACTTGATCTTGTCGGTGCTGGACGACAAGACGGTGCGGGTGTGGGACTTGAACAAGCGCACCCCGATCAAGCAGTTCCGCCGCGAACACGACCGTTTTTGGTTGATCGCCAACCACCCGCTGATCAACTTGTTTGCCGCCTGCCATGACCTGGGGGTGATGATCTTTAAGCTTGAGCGTGAACGCCCCGCCCACGCCATCTTCCAAAACAAGTTGTTTTATGTCAACGGCGAAAAGCAAGTGCAAGCTTATGACTATGCCCGCGACGAGGCGTCGTTGCCGATGTTGCTGTTGAAGAAGATCGGCAAGACGTGGTCGTTTATGCGCACGTTGTCCTACAACCAGCTGGACAACCTGATCCTCGTCACCCACGGCGAGGGCGAGTCGGGCCAGTACGCGCTCATCTCGCTCCCCAAAAACGTCACCGGCGCCATCGATCCCACCGATATTCGCCAGGGCGAAGGCAACTATGCCTGGTTCATCTCGCGCAACCGGTTTGTCGTCTACTATAAGTCCACCCGCACGTTGCAGGTGAAGGACATGACCAATAACGTCACCAAGCTGATCACCCTCGACTCGCTGGTGAACGAGGTGTTGTACGGCGGTCCCGGGCGGGTGTTGCTTGTCAAGCTGAACGCCGTCATTAACTACGACGTCCAACAACGCAAGGAACTCAACGAGGTCGCCGTCAACAACGTTAAGTACGCCGTGTGGCTGGGCGACGGCCAGCACTTGGCGCTTTTGTCGAAGCACACCATCACCATCGTCACCAGCCAGATGGAGTTGGTGACGCTGTTGCACGAGACCATCCGCATCAAGCTGGCGGCGTGGGACGACGCCACCGGCGTGCTTGTGTACCTGACGCTCAACCACATCAAGTACATCCTCTTAAACGGCGATCTGGGCATCATCAAGACCCTTGCCAACACCGTCTACGTCACCCGTGTCGCCGGTACTAAGGTGTACTGCTTAAACCGTCAAGGCGAAGTCGAAGTGCAAACTATCGACCCCACTGAATACCGCTTCAAGAAGCTGTTGGTGTCAAAGCAATACGGCGAAGTCTTGCGTCTTATCAAGCACCTGAACCTTGTCGGGCAAAACATCATTGGCTACTTGCAAAAGAAGGGCCACCCCGAAGTGGCGCTTCAATTTGTCCGCGACCCCGAAACCCGGTTTGACCTTGCCCTCGAGTGCCTGAACCTTGACGTCGCTCGCGAAGAAGCGGAGAAGTTGGACAAAAAGACCGGCGGCAAATCGCCCCAAGTGTGGGAACGTCTTGGTCAGGAAGCGTTGCTCCAAGGTAACTTGGAGGTGGTGGAAGAAGTGTACAAAAAGCTTCATCAACTTGATAAGTTGTCGTATCTCTACTCGCTTAGAGGTGACCGCGAGCACTTGGGGTTGATGGCGAGAGTGTCGGAAAACCAGGGCGACTTGCTGGCGCTCGTGCAAAACACCCTCTACTCTGGCGACATCAAGAAGCGTTGCCAGGTGTACATTGAACTGGGGATGCTTCCCTTAGCCTACACTTTGGCTCAAAGCCACGGCTTGTTGGAATTGGCTCAGGAAATTCTTAACCAGGCCGGTGTTGATGCTAGCGAAGTGCAATTGCCCGAGATTAGTGCCCCCAACCAGCTCCCCACGCCGGTGGCTTCTCCCGTGACCAACTGGCCCCTCAAACAACAGGAACTCACATTCTTCGAACTGGCTTTGATTAACGGCCATGTCGAAGACGCCCCCACCGAAACCATACTGACAGCTAAGTCAGCGGTGGTTGTCGACGAGGACCAATTTGAGGATGCCGAAGACGCTGAAGAAGAGGACGGCTGGGACTTGGACGATGACTTGGTCAACGACGAAGAGTTTTTGAAGGAAGCCCTGGTAGACCCAGCGGCTGGGGTGTCGGTACAAGGTGCCAATGAGCTTGCCCACTGGTTGCGGAACGCTAAGACTCCCGCCACCTACGTCGCTGCCGGTGAGTTCGAACAAGCGGCGCTGTTACTTAATAAGCAGGTTGGGGTGACCAATTTCGCTCCGTTAAAGGCTCGCTTCCTCGAAGTGTACGCTGCTAACAAGTTGTACCTTCCTGGGTTTGACGACTTGCCCCCGATTCCGACATTCATCCGAGCTGATAACGACGAAGACGACCCCAACAAATTCTTGCCGTTGGTTCCCGGCTACGCCCAATTGGACGCCATGGTGCAGCAAGCGGTGAACTCGTTCCACCCCGAACGGTTGCCCGATGCGATCACCAAGTTCCGCAACATCATCTACACCATCACCGTGTTGACCGTCGCTGATGAGGACCAGGAGGCCAAGTGTAAGGATGTGTTGGCGTTGTGTCGCGAGTACATTCTTGCGTCGCAAATCGAGCTTGAACGGAAAGCGTTGGACGCTAAGAACAAGCCCGAAAACGTCAAGCGCAACTTGGAGCTTGCGGCGTACTTCACCCGTACCCACTTGCAACAAAACCACAAGAACAGTGCTTGGCTTGTGGCCATGACCGAGATGGCCAAGTACAAGAACTACGCGATGGCGCTGTACTTTGCCGACAAGATCCTTGAGAATGCCGGCAAGCTGGGCGGCAAGCGGGTGGAAACGGCGATGAAGATCAAGAAGATCGCCGAACAAATGGCGCGCGACGCCGTCGAGATCGACTTCGACCCTTACGCCGACTTTGAGGTGTGCTGCGGGTCCCACACCCCCATCTACGCCGACGAGCCCCGGGTCCACGAGGCGTTGGTCGGGGCGGTGTACAAGCCCGAGTTCAAGGGCGAAGTCTGTCGCATCACCGAAATCACCAAGATCGGGGTGCCGGCGCTGGGGTTGCGTATCCGCGGGTGACGACAATTATTACTAAAAAGAGATAGAGAAATACAACAAATACTACTGGGATCGGCTGTAGGTGTGACGTCAAATCCGGCAATCACCGCCGGCATTTGGTGTAGGCATTTTTCTGTGTAGTATAAACGCCGGTGGGGCTGAAGTCGAGTCCAGACCCCACCGAGCAATCACCGACGCTTCTCGTATTCAACTGCGTTTCACCGGTGCTGTGCTGTGCAGCGGGTATAGCCTTGTCCGCTTAAATAAGAAAAAGTTTGTCTATGGTAATATCGCCACGTTGCAGTTTAGGTTGCCATGCTTAAGCAATGAAGCATAATAAGCGTGGCAGCGCCCTGCGTTGAGGTAGACTAGCACACCAAACTACATTTACTATAGTAGTCGAAATGTCACCAGTTTTTCACTTGTCAGCAACAGTTCGCTCGAGTCTATACTGACTACGGTTTTCCAAGTGTTTCCGTCAAGTTTCCAAATGCCGCGGTGCTCGCGCAAATGACACTAAAGTGGGGGGGCTGAGAAAGTGCATACACAAAATAACCACAATGCTGGGAATCAACATGCGTGGCTTACCGTCCCGTGTTCGGGCTTCGGTGCAGCCCCAAACCCCACGCGGGTTACTGGTCGCATGAAATCGGCGCAATTAGCCGGGGGAAGAACAATTTCTCCCAGCGATATATTTTTCATCAAAGACAATCAAAATGAAGGTTTGACCCTGTAGCTCGGTAAACGGCGATAATCACATGATAAACGAATCTCAGGGCGACACAAATGCCCTCCCAAATGTTTCCGTTTTGTCTCGCTGTGTCGATTTATTGGTGTTACATTGGTTTTTTTCATTCACTTCCGAACGAGTCTACCGGGAAGACGCAACGTCCAAATCCAGTACCAGTGTTCCTCCGAGTCTTACAGCATGCATACACGCACATTTTCCGGGGTTAGATAATCCGGAAATCTTTTGAGAAGGCCGCTTATTCACAAGCGTCGTGTGTCCGCATTGCCCCACTGCTGAATAATAGGGATTGACTCGGAAGGTGCAGATAGGGGCGCAATTTTTTTCTTACAGAAGTACCTGGTTCCTTTAACGAAGCGTCATGGCTTGACGGTTCTTACCCGTCGCTTTGGTTCTAACGACTTTACTTAAGCCACTGGCAGCGTCGGCCTTATGTATGCCGGAGCTGCATTTTTGAAGGTCCTCAAGTGCAGAACAATCAATTGATCCGTGGTCGCCAGGCTGACAACAGAATTTGGACATCATGATATTTCTGCCGGCTATGCAATTATCCTGTAAACACTCTCATCGGTGTTCTGGTGGTTCCTTGAGGAAAATTGTGACTCTATGAGACTCAAATTTGCAAACGTCATTTTGGGCTTCAATCGTGTGGATAAAAATTCCATGACCGATATTAATCAATTGGAAATGTTCTATTTGTTGCTGGGATGAAAAACTTTGAGTGCTTGAAGTTTCATTTGCGTTTATACCTTGGTTCCCGATTTTTATCGCTGGAGTCCGAGCGACATTAGCTGCCTTGCAATGTTAGTGGCGGCATTCAGCAAGTGACACTGCTCTGCCATATTGCTGGATCTTCCGCTACTCAAAAAGAACACCGATTTGGCATTGCTACGATCTGGTAAGCAACTCATTTACGACATGGACTACAATAGCCCTCGCAGTCTTGATCCACGCCTACTAATGATGGTGCTCCTCAAATTATTGATATTGGCACATTTATCAATCCCTAATTCATGGAAATACAATATTATTGGAGAGGCTGACTTGGTGAGATTTTATAAGCGTCAGATATTATTTGGGAAATCACTCACGCTTCATAAAATCCTTAAACAAATCTTGATTGACGGAGCGAGTGTTAATGTCCCTTCCTTGGCTAACCGCAGTGTGGTTATTGCAGTCTAGAGGATAGGTAAGTAATTATTAGAACCGTAAATACTGAATGGATCAAAATACTTGAGTGAATGAATCAAGATACTCGAGTATTTGTAGATAAACCGAGAAATTAGATAGAAACTTCTAGTGAATTTGAAATATGATACTTGCTTTTCAACGTGACTTGTTGACTTGTAGCATAGATCGCTTAAATCAATAATACATTGGAACTATGGTTTCAATTTGACCCAATTGATCATCAAAATGATTCACCCAAATGGTGGGTCCTTTCTAAGTGGATGTCAGCTTTGATAATTAAATTTCATCACAATGAATTTCTATTATTGAGCTTGAGGGTTTCTCATTTCGTTGCATTCCGCCTCAAAAAATAAACAGATTTCAAAGGAACACTCCGTAGTTATCTGTATAATTTTGCGGTAAGTGTCTCTTGCAACTGATTCATTTTTTTCTTCACCCAATTTCAACCATAAATCTTCATTAGCCAATAGTCTTCAGAGGTCACTTCAATTGCAAACACCTTTGCTCCCAATTGAAAGATGTAACCAAACCATAAAAAGTCCCGTAGTCACTGGAAAGTGATAAAAGTTCCAATTGTATCAATTTTCGAATATTCATGATTGTTCCAAAGGGACATTGTCGTGATGTTCTCTTGCACCACAACTCAAAAATATCAATCATGTTCCTGATTTGCAACAAATGAATCTGTTTTCAATAGTTCCCAACAGACTCATGATCAGGCAATTCATAGTTTTCATAATTTTGGAAATAACCGGACGTTGAAGATCATTATAGCAACATCGCTCTCTCTCTGCCCTTCTGTCAATAAATTCCAATCGCGCATGCAGATCGCAGAAAAAAGTCTCAGTGTGTCAACAGAATTTTGATGATGTGCGGCTGGTCTCGCCTAACCCCTGAATAGCGGACATGGGAATAAAGTAGGCATTGAAAACTGAGTTGTCAGTGATTTTTGACGATAACTAGTAGAGTTTACAATTTCAAACACTTCTGTGATCACCCGAATTGCTGCATCAAAACCAGGAGCATTTATGCTTTTATCCTGTGATTTCGGCGTTCACTACCCAGCGGCTAATAGATTGTAAGGGTTATTCACAGTTCTTTTGCCCGCCTTAAAAATAACATTGTTAGAAACTAGTTGACTCTGGACATCGTATTGTTTACCAAGTTTATAGATCCCTTTGTATTTTGAGCTCTGGCACTGAAATATTTTTGTGGCGATAATGGAGTGAGGTACCCACAAGCAAACGCTCCACCAACTACACGCCCGAACTGACGAAGTTTAAAATTGAGAACTTCAGATTTTTGAAAATTATAGCAAATTGTTGCGGAAGGCTTATCGGGCGAAAATCGAAGTCATATCTCTTGCCTGGTACATAATTTGCAGCTCGGTGGTAGTCTATTTATCGTTACAATTTGAATCAGCGATTTATGAGAGATCGCACTCACCTGTTGTCAGTGTAGTATGAGTTTGAAATGTGGGTAGAAGATATCCAAAAAGCCAGTAGTTGTTTTGGTCAGCGACTAGGTCCCAGCTTCGACCTGAGAAAAACAGCTGTCAGAGGCTCAGAAAAACATTCCACTAGGTTCCAGTTTCCTTTGTTTTACGATGGTGTACGCGTCTCTCCCTAGCCATTATTACTGCGCTCTACCCAAACCTTCCCATGACAACGACAGACGGAAGTCAGCACTTACAGAACGTGACCAACTAGCCGACGAGGATAAGAGGAAATGCTTTCATTGTTTGATTGACTCACTCAATCTGATCGTGGAGAGCTCTTCCCGCGATAGATCGCCTGGAATTGACGCCCCAGCGGACAAACGACGCAAGAACAGCTCTCCCCAACGCCGTTCGGCTGAGTAGCAGAGGCTTTGAGTGAAACCCTTAGCATCGAGTATAGGTAATTGCCTATGCCACTCGATTCATCACGGAGTGCCCTCGGCTCCTCTGCAATTGACTCCGTTGGTGAAGTACACTTTGTGGCAAAGAATGTTGCCAGTATTATGATGTCAACTTTCGAATGACATCGAGGGAATACGGTTCTATCAAGGATATGCCAATTTTCAGGAATTCGATATTAGTCGACTCACATAATGTATCTAGTGCTATCCATTGCATACAAAATATCACGTTTGACGTTGACAAGGGACATTCCCGTAGGGTTTGGTATTGCTTTGATTCTCGAGAACGTGAAGGAGTGAAAGGATTTTCGAGTCGTTTTGAATGTAAAAGCCATCTAGAGTATACTTATTGTCACTGATATGTAATTGCATTTGGCACTAGAGTAGAGATCAACTAGTATTCGATCGAATTCACACTAGCTAGTTAGTGTTTCTATCATAGGGCCCATGACAATGCCTGCAGGCTTATGATCAATCGAATGTTAAATCCGAACTTATCATCGATCACCGAGCACCTAAATTTACTGTATCGTGACGTGTTATCGGTTATAGCATATTGACGACAAGCATTACCATAGCCACATTGGCATCTTTCAGCTTTCACGCTGTGCGCTTAGGCGTTCACACATATGTCATCTGACTTTGGCCACTGTACTGGCCACCGTACTTAAGTGTTTGTGCTTAGAGTCCCCATGCCAGTTGACCCGTCAGATGCCTTGTGTTACTGTCTCACCAACTGAACTGCATCCATGGATACATTGAGTACATGAGCAAATATACAAACACTCCAATAGAGATGACATCATTGACCCCATATCTTTATGGTATCCACCGCACTTGAATGTGGTCTTCGGCTTCAGGCTTGGGTAAATCCTTTTACCATTGCACAGCGAGTTTGCTACGAGAGTAAAGAATCAAAGCCCAAGATTGCCGTTACATTTTCCGCCTCAAAATATTTGACTTAGTTTAAAGTATGTTATTTCACGGATCTTTGAGGCTGGCGTCGATGATGTATGAGCATTTGTTGACTCTTTCGTATGCACTTCGGCCTCAGGCTTTTGCATTCCTAGTTTCCCAATACGTGATCGAATACAATCAAGTACTTCAATTGCTGATTTTACAATGGCAACCTGCTGAGATTTATTAAGATTCGCTTCCCGTATGAGACAAAATGTGCTAATGGTATTTGGCCAGTAACGAGTAACCATGCATGCTAAGGAATTATGCACATCATCTGAGGTCGACAAACGGATGATGTCCCAGTTGTGGATGCCGTTCAGCTCGTGACGGTCGTCGAACCAGATGAAGCCCACCTATCGCTTCCTGAGATGTGAAGACATCAAAAAGTCAACGTAAGTGTTTCGGGAGTTATGTAAAATATGACAAGCTTTTCAATCAATCAATTGGTAGCCATTTCGTTTGGTCAGTTGAACTTGATTTGACGCGTCTTAAAGCAATAACAGTCGCTGGAGACGCGTGGGGTGCGGGGTGCGAATTGGGTGTAATTACAACAATGAGGAACAAAGTCCGCGTTTAAGGCCATTGAAGTCAACAATGGATCGATATATCTTTTGATGTTTAAGACACAGAGGAACCTATATTTGGATCGTGATTCGTCTACATATTTCCCTTCTGGGACTTACACTCAAGTAGAGTAAGCATGCCATCATACGTGAGCACAACATGATTCAAAGCGTTCGAAACTCTCGTTTCTTCATTACACTACACTATATCCCATGATGATATTAATTGTTTATATCTGTAATCTATTCGTCACACCACCGACAAATCAAACGCCACTTCCTTATCAGCGTCGGCGTAGCTATCGCATATGGCCCACACCGACAACCCGTGGTTCCCTGTTGACGGCACCAGCACCTCCATCAGCAATTTCTGGCTCTCCTGGGTGATGGTGGTGCGGCGGATCCCATAGAGCTGTTTCAGGTCAAAGTCGCCGACAACAATCCACCACACTTCGTGCTTATCTTTAGTAAACGGACACACCACCAGTCCATCAGTTTCTTCATCGCGTTCAAGCATCACCGTAAGCTCGACGGGATCGTCGGCCTTCACTTCACTTTGCGACACCAGCACCGCCAAATCGACGTTGGGGAACGCGTTGACAAACTCAGCCACGTCTTCCTGCTGGCTTTCATCCATCAGTAACACGGCGTCTCGCTCATCGTCTTCAAGGGCAAGAATGTCGAATACCGTAGTGACGTTATGCTGCTTGGCCCGCTCCAAGAGCTGGGGCAGCACGTGGGGGAGTTGTACTAACGGCAGCTCCAGTTTCCACAATTGTTGTACTACCATTTGCGAGATGTCCATGGCGACAAGGGCGTTCAAGTAGCCGCGGCTCAGAAGCAAATCGACAATGGCGTTGACGAGGGGGAGAACGCGTTGTTTGACGGTGGATAACGCTCCTAGGCGGTCAAAGCCGACGAACTGGCGGCTGAAATACGCCTGGAGGAGCCAGAAGGCGGCGGGAGCAGTCTCGGGGTGGTCGACGGTGATGGGGGCCAGCTTCGCCAATTCCAACGGGTTAGACACAGGGACATCGAGTTCGGTGGCGTGGGCCAACGCCCAGAGCACCCCTTTCAACCGCGATCTCTCGGTCAATTTCGTGGCTGAGGCAGTCCACAGGGCCATGGTGGCTGCCAGCACCCCGTAGCGCAGGGCAATTGCCGCTTCAGTAGTAGCCACAAGCGCTTCCTCTTCGTCGTCAGCGTCTTCCACTTCGACCAATTGAGACGTGGTGAGTCTCTCCACCAGCAGTTCCACGAGTTCACTGAGGAACAACGAGATGCCGTCGTAGGACACTTCCGACACCCCGTAGAAGCTTGGGTTCAGCTGCATGCGCCGGTAGAAGTAGGTGTGGGTCAACCAGTCCAACGCCTGCTGCATCAGGCCCACAGTGCCGCTGACGACCTCTGCCATTAGTACGTCGTCGATGTGATCACCAATGCCGCTTTCCACCGGCAACGGCGTCTCGTACAGCAAGAACCGGCGATACTGCTCGATCTGGTTCGCAGGCACATACACCACCGCGCGGTGCGTGGTCAACGCCACAAGCTCCAAAGTTTTAGTCAAGGGTAAGCTTGTGGACCAAATGACGGTGGCGGTGGCGTCGACGACATAGTCAGCGGTGGAGATGACGTTATCCAACGCCTTCTTCGCCCACAATTTGCGGACCACGCGCTCCAAGTCGGCGTCCATCCCCAGATACAACACCCCGATGCCTCGGGCGAGTTGTGCGGCCACCTGAGGGTCTTTAGCCTTAACCAGTGCCGCAATCTCCTTATGCGACCACTTAGTATCATCGACCAAATGGCACACAGCAAGACACTGACTCCGCAGCTCACAATACACCACGTCACCCTTGGCCACCGTCTTGTTGCCATCGTCAGCCACAAGTTCAATTGCGCAAGGCTCGGCCCGAGCACTGCCGGAGAAGTTATAGATGTCCAGCTTGGAGCAGCCAAGCCACTCGCCGATGCTGGCCCCGTTACCAGTATAATCACCACAGGCGACAATCCGGAGGGGGCGTTCCACCGATGTCGCTACTGTGCGCATCCGGGCAATTGCCACTTCGTACTCCCACGAGTTTCGTAGGGCATGGATGTGATCACATACCATCACGTCAAACGAGTGGAGAAGTTTCCGCTGGCGCCACCGCCGCAGCAACTGCTCCCACAGCAGCGGCAGCAGCACCACCACGTGCGACTGGGCAATGGTGGCCAAGTCCTGCTTGGCATCCACTCCATTGATAATACCCACGCTGACCCCTTCGACTCCCAAATCGATTTTGTTAGTGGGATTAGGGGTAAGCCAGAGCACTTTGCCGTCGGCATTCTCAGAATTGAGCCACGCAAGCACCGCTAGCTTTGCTAGCACCGTAGGCTGGTTGCTGAGGGCCATCCCCACGTACACGTTATTTTCGGTATGCCAGACCAGATGGAACGCTTGGCTTTGGTACTTGTTTAAGGAGGTCGTGGTACCCCAATCAGGGCTACCAAACTTCAGCAAGGGGATTTCTGGCTGGTCGTCGTCCACTGGTGACGCACTAGCAAACGATTTGGGGACGATAAGCCCCGAGGTGATGGCGGGGAATCGGGCTCCCACGTGGAGCCATTGCGACAGGACGGCGATCACCTCGTATACTTGGGGTACCGGGGTCACCAACGGGAGAAAGAGGTCAAAATAGGCACTGCTCTCCACGCGCACAGACTCGCTCCAAAGAATGCGGTCGTCGACACACACCATCACCGTGTACCGATGGGGTAGCGTCAGCACCAAGTCAAGTTGGCACCGTACCACCAGCGGCGCCAACGGGTGGACGGTAGCGTCGATGGTAAGCTGGGGGAACAGTTTCACTAGTTTGGTGAGTTGGTCTCTGATGGGAGGCGAGAACTGGTCTAATTGTTGCTGGTGGAAGTAGTTGCCAAAAGGGAGTCTTGCTGCCAGCGTCGCTCTGATCACTTCGGGAGAAGTCTCTGCCAACTGAGCAAACGGCGAGTCCACCGCCCACACCCGGTGTTTCACCATCAACGACCACCGAAGGCAGATCTGGGCTAACTGGGACCATCCTTGAAGGAGGCACAACTGGGCCAAGGCGGCGAATAACCGCAGCCCCAGCTGGCTCACATACACCATATCGGCGTGGAGAGCAAACCCAGTGAGTGGTAAGCGGGCCACGTAACTTTGGAGGAGAACATTGATCTTGGCCACCCCCGTATCCGCACCTTCTTTGATGGGGATGGGACACCTTTCCCAGAGCTTACGCGTCTCGTAGCGTTCCTCGGGGCGTACCGGCACCTCAGCAAACTCGTCTGAATGGCAAAACACCAGTAGCACGTCGACCTCGCTATGATAGGAACGCATACGGTCCAAGTACCCAGCAATGGTCGTGGGGTTGAGGTAGAAGAACAGGGCAATCTTCCCGAGCTCGGTCATCTTGACGACGTCATGATCGTCATACACCAAAAGTTTACCGTCGTGGAGTCGTTTAAGCACCAGATGGACGATACTGGTTAAGGTGGCGTCAACATCGGTAATGCCATAAGTCAGGGGCGACTGGCGTACTCTCACCGCATAGTACGTCTGGTTAAGCCACTGAAGTGCTTGGTCAAACGAGGATACCGTACCCGCCACCACTTCGGCGTTGAGCATCAGGTTGAGTCGGAGCGGGAGGGTACTCTCAATCGGAAGCTGTTGGTTGGTCACGGCAAGGTAGTACTGGAGCCAATCGCGCCCCGTAATCACGATCCCCAGCCCCAGCGTATCAAACCCGGGTCTCCCGGCACGACCAAGCATCTGGAGCACGTCCTGAGGGCTGAGTTGGCGCCAGCGCCCGTCCGCCGGCAGGTACTGCTCGGTGCCACGGATGATCACGGTGTGGGCGGGCAAATTCACCCCCCACGCCAACGTCGCCGTCAGCACAAGCACACGGAGGCGACCTTCAAGGAAAAGGCGTTCGGTGGTCAGCCGCTCGTCTCGAGAAAGCCCGGCGTGGTGACAGCCTACCCCGAGCATGGTGGCCTGTTTAAGTGCTTGATTGTGGTAGTCGGCTGCTGCTTGGTTTAATTCTCGTTGCACTGACTCTGAGTCCACAACATTGAGCGTTTCTCCCAAGACTTTGGCCAACTTTCCGGTTTCCTTCCTCAGGTGGACAAACACAATCACCTGATTCCCTTGTTCCAAGTTTGAGCGACATACGGACTCGACAACGTTGTTCATCGCCGCTACCCTCTTCATCCCCCGGGCTTTGATCCCGTAAAACTGCTGTTCTAAGGGACAGGGCCGGAAACTACCATCGAAGAAGTGCACCAGCTGAGCGCCGATAAACGTCGCCACGTCGCCGTAGTTGGGGAGGGTGGCGGAAAGACCAACGATCCGCACTCGCGGGTCACGTCGAGTACGCACAACAAGACTCTCAAGCACAGGCCCTCTGTCGTCGTGTAACAAGTGGATCTCGTCAATCACCAAAAGCTCGACTTCTGAGACGTAGTGGGGCAGTTTTCTCGTGATAACATCCCATTTCTCAGGGGTAACCACAAGCACGTTGGCCTCGGCAATTTCGCGGGCAGTGGTATCGGAGTCACCAGTGAGTTCGACCACCGTCAATTCAGGGAGTCTCAGCTGGAATGCTCGCACTTGTTCCTGTACCAAGGCTCGAAGAGGCGCAATGTATACTGCTTTGAACCGTTTCCGCGCCAGTTTAGGTCCCGATAAGTGTTTTCCCCAAACCCTCAAAAGCGTGAGCATGGCGATGTTGGTCTTACCCGCACCGGTGGGAGCACAAATCAACATGTTGGCATCGGACTCAAAAGCGTCGGCAAACACTGCCAGCTGGATGCGGTTGAGCTGGGTAGTGTTGCCAAACGCGGGTTGACAGTACTCTGGGAGGTCGGCGATTTGCACTAACGGCTTCTCCTGAGCCTCCGGTGTGGGGGGAGGGGGCACGGTGATGATATCGTAGTCGTGGTGGGCCTCTTGGTATGTCCCCAGGGGAAGCTTCACCAGGGGTTTGTGGGTATCGTCATGGACACAGTACTGGGTGATATCCACCTCCTGCGGTCCCAGCGGTGCGGTTTCCGGTTGATTCAGAGTATTAGTAGTGTCTCGTTTGCGTCGTTTCGGCTGGGGGTGGTCACTTTGGTCGTTACCTAGAATTTCCCGTAGTATATCCAGTGACTCTCCCAAGGCTTCTTTGGTGGCTTCATTATCGTCAAGGTAGCGTAGCTTCCAGTAAATTCGCTTACGGTTGTGCACTAACTGTTTGATCACATCCACGTGATCATAGCTAAACGCCTCGAGCAATTCGTCCTCAAACTCGGCGTCAAAGTCATCGCTGGCATTCTCCTCTCGCTTGAATAATTCGGTAACAGCGTCCACCACAGGCTGGGCTTCCTCAGTAGTGGAGAAACATCCCTGGATAAGTTGACTGACCATGACGGGGGTGATATCACTCATTTTGAGTGTGAGTGAGTTTGTCGGTGTATCATCATTAGCAGTGGTAACTGTGGTTTTCGACACAAACTGAGTCGCATCAGTAGTCTCATCATCTCTCTCGGAGGGTACATCCGCTTCCTCTTCGGATTCCGCCTCGGCGTCGTCGTCATCGTCAACGGCAAACACCACCTCGCCCTCAGCCTCCACTTCGTCGCCGGCGCCCCACTCATCGCCCAATTGTTGTGAAAGCCGGAGAATATCGCCAAAAAGCACTTCCTCGACCGGTTCGCCAAGAAGTTTCTGGGTTTCCTCGAGCTTTTGCTGAGTATCCTTGTCACTGGCAGTACAGATCTCGGCCACCGCCTCCGTGGCTCCGTAGAGCACGTCCAGCGGGGCATCGGGGATAATGCCAAATATGAGTCCACTGAGTTTGTCTAGAGTCAGCTCGTCGTCGGTGGCGGTGGAATGGTGCCATTTCGGTTTGTCGTTAGCAGGGTCGGGCCCCCGTTTAAGGCCAGCGCCCATATCGCGGGTGGAAACGAGGCCTCGGATCGAATGGGGGTTGGTATCGGTATCCAGCCCCCGTCGCTTGCGGCCGCCACCAGGCCTCAGGCTGCCATTGTGCCCCGGGTCCATCGCGCTATAGTGTAGTGGTGTGGGTAGTGCTAACGCCGCGGTGCGGCTCAGATGAGCCCCAGCCACAAGACACTCCACACTCTACTAGAAAATTCTCTTTCGAACAAAATAATCAAATGTTTGCTGCAATCTGATCATCATGTTTCTGAAATCGATAGATTCAGTAGAGTTGGCAGATGGTACGACGGGTTGTGCATAAACACAATGCTCACTAAGAATAAGGGATATACAACAAAAAGTGATAGGGAAGGAACTGTAAATATCACTGGGATATCCTATTATCAACAACACGGTTCTGTTTGGTTCTAGCATCAACGCCCAAGCGTTCAATGGTAACGAGACGTTGGTGGGCGCTGCTGCTGTCAGACGATTTGAGCTGAATCCTGTTAATACTGTCTTCTGTTTCGAAAAGTTGCTTGGCCGCAAGTACAGTGACCCAGTTGTGCAAGCGTTCCTCAAGCAGCTTCCGTACAAGGTGGTCAACGACCCCGCCGACCCTGAGAAGATCGTTGTTGAAGTGGAGCATGGGGGCGGCGTCATGCAATACACGCCGGTGGCAGTCTGTTCGATTTTGTTTAATTTTTGTGCAACTGTAGCGATAATGATAGCGATAGTAAGAGTGTACAAGAAAATGGATGGCTTTAATACTTGGTTTAAATGGTGGCAATTCTGTTGGGCAGAACGTTGTCTGCTACCGAAAACGTTTGCGGGTGTTTGGGTTCGCAAAACTTTGTGTGTGAATGCTGACTTCTATTAATACTTCAATATAACCATTTTGTGTTAGCAGCTGGATTGAATTTACACGGAACTAGGTTTAATTGCTGGTCGACAAGCCAACATTGCACCCCATTTAGTATCTCTTCAGCTGAGTAGCAATGTGGTTCTATCAGTTATTGGGTTTTGCGGTCAGAGGGACAAGGAGGATACCCAGCCATGGAATAACGTGGGGAACTGATGAAACCACGCAACCAACGAATTAATCCAACATCATAATGGGCAGCGACGTGTTCTCTGAAGCTGAAAATTCAAATACCAACGCCAAGTCTAAATGTAATGCCTCTGTTGCTGAATAGAGACTAAACTTAGACTCATTCCAAAATGACTAGGTTATTACTCAATGGCGAGCACACTAATTTGTCCGAATAGTCAACATATACCATTTGTGATGGCATGTTATGGTGTAACAGACCACAATTGATTCTCATCAACATTACCATCTCTTGTAGGATTTATTCCGAGTCACTGGCAAAGTCGCTGGAGTCCAGGTCGTCCTCAGGTACCACGGCAAATTGGCGCGGTTCAACTTCACCCCGTTCGAGTAAGGTAAGTCGAGGCACAAGCCTTGGAAGATGAATATCAAACACGCGCTCTTTCGTTAATAGATCGTCCACAAGCTCATCAATATGAGTCAATTTAAAGTGGATGGGAACCTGGGTCTGACGATCAAACTGAGGGGTCTTGAGCCGAAGTCGTAACTTTCGGTAATCGAGGTAAAAGGGCTCTAGCGTCTGAAATATTCGGGCCAGCAGAAGCACAAGCCGTACGTAGACCAACACAAGGGCGGTAACGTACTTGAACTCCTTGGACCCCAACTGATCCATGTAGACATCAAATATAACCTTTTCGGACGGGTTGATTTCGAGTAAGCGGAGGAGACAGCAGAGGAACGGCAGCGGTTTGCCCTGCGAGTCGGTCCCGCCAATGTAGTCAACGTGAGCAACGATCACCGGGAGAATTGTCGCTTCATTTGTACCATGAAGATGCTGTTTGTAGAAGACACCGTCGGCTATGCGGTCGCGGATGATCTTCTCCACATATTGCGCTTGTGATGGCATCCCGCGCTGGTGCTCATGGAGAGGCCTCGAGGTAATTGCGAGGAAAAAGTTACGTTAATTTGATTGACCGTTGTAGTTTCGACCATAGGTAAGTGTAAGTAGGTGTTACCACCAAAAATAAGGCAAAAATGTAGATCAATTGATTAAATCTCCACTGTTAAAACTTGAAAAAGAATGTGGATTTCGTGGATCGAACACGAGACCTCCAGATTTCAGTGACCGAAGTTTACTTCAGTCTGGCGCTCTCCCAACTGAGCTAAACCCACTTCCTGATTTTTCCCAAATTCGGCTTTCTCATAGCATCCTGACACCACGCCTACCTCATAGTTTTGAGAATATCGGGTTTGGTCTTGTCATTATTGTCTACAATGTTTGCGTGGTATATGCATTACTAATTACGGAGTCCGGGAATGCCCATGGGGGCGACAGGGTTCAGTGGTTGGGCCATGTTCAAGCCAGGCACCGCCCCTGCCGTGCCAGCGTCACCGCCGACACCGATGTTAGACAACAACCCAGCCACGGCACTGGGGTCCATGATGGCATTGATATTGTTGTTGACGGCGTAGTACCACGCGCCTTGCTTATCGTCGGTGTACAACGGGTCCTTGAACGACAACGGGTCTTGTGGCCGGGCCCGCGACCAGAAGCGTGCTGTCTTGTCCAGCCCTGCCAGACACAACAAGTGGCCCATCGGGTGGTACTCGAGGGCGTGGATCGCCTTTTCGTGGGCGTAGGGGATCTTGTGGGCCGCCTCCAACGTCCCCGGGGCGTCAGTACCGAAATTGCCCGGGGTCTTGTCCTCCAGCGGCTGCAGAATGTACAGATCAAGAATGTAGTGGTTCATCGCCCCGTTGTAGTCGGCAGTGGTCAACATCAGCGCGTGGAGCGGGTGCCACGCCACACACGACATGTCGGCGTCGTGGTCCCTCAACACGAGGAGATCACGCATGGTACGCAAATCAAATACTCGACACAGGCGGTCTCGCAGTGCCAGAGCCAAAAGCCGTTTGGTCCCTGCCGGCTGGAACCGTGTCCGCACCACTGTATGCTTGAACCCGTGCAATGTAGTGATTGCCTGGGATGCTCGCGGGTCCCACAACTTGACCAAGTTATCTTTAGACCCCAGGACAATAAGCCCTAAGTCAGGGTGCCAATCAGCCAGTTTCACGTCCCAGTGGTGGCCGGTTAACGTGCGTTCTTCCTGGCCGTTATTGAAGTTCCAGATCTTCAAAGTCAGATCGTCGGCAGCAGTAAGAAATTTGGTATCGTTAGGACTGAACGCGATATCTCTCACCCCCAGGGCGTGGGCGGTGATAATGTTGACGTTATTGAAGTTGGGCTGCCAGTACTTGACCACCCCCAGCTGGTCCCCTGACAAGAGCCACTCGTCGTTATGACTATATTGCAACAGCAAGATCGGCTGGTCGTGGGCCTGCATGATTGTCTCGAAGTTGAACGTCATCCCGTTCCAGATGGTGAACTCCCCCAGGAATGAAGCCACCACCAAGCGTCTTCCTTCGGGAGTCCATTTCACGGTATTGATCGTGTGTTTGGCTTTGTTCAGCGACAAGTGGACGAACTTCAGCTCCAAGTCCATCACCGCCATGTTACGGCGGTTATGGCGCTCTAAATTCTGGGACAGGGCGTAGGCCATCAGCGGTAAGAAGTCAATGAGATACAGCAGCTCTGGGCGCACCACCCCGATCGGCTGTTGGGTAGTGGTGTTCCCTAGCTGTCGCTCAAGGTGCCACCGGCCCATATTGTTGCCATGGTCCACCGTACGGCGGAAGGCGGTCTTCTTCTCCTGGGATGCCAACTGCTGCTCCATGTTGTGGTCGTACCCGCGCAGCTTTTCCAAATGGCGTGATGCTTGCTTCAGGTAGTTGTTGTTGCCCATCCCCTGGAACCGGTTGTAGGCCGGGCCCGGGGCATTGTTGTAGTGTGACATGGCGTCGCAAGGTGGTGGGGCGTGAGTGAGTCGCGGTGAGTGCTGAATAGTGAGTCGCGATGGCAACTAGTAGATAGAAGAGTAGGGGAGTTACAATTGAATTGAGAGTCAGAGAGCGTTTGGATTTGATAGATAGGGTAAGCAAAGTGCTTTATGACCAATTTTGGAGTTCGTGGAGGCACTAACTGTGAAAATGTGCATCACATCAAGGTTGAGAGTTTATTGCCAAAAAGTCAGATAAAACAAATACATAGTAAAAACTGCTAGCATGTCACATCGCTGTCCTTAGACTCCAGCGGGACAAAGCTAGATATCACGTAATCCCCGCCAATATACTACATAATCCTACGACTCCCAGCTATGAAAATCGTGGAAGTTACTAATGACTTCATGGACTACTGTTGTAGTTGAATACATACTGTTTGCCAGTCCAACTCCGGTATAAAACCTGATGGTGTTCAGCCGAGTACCCTCCCAGAGCGTTTGTAGACCATTGATGACTCTATCAACATGTGATTGATGCAATATGCCATCAAAAATCACGATACGTCTCCGACCTGTTGGCACACCTTGGTCGACGTGTATGGGTATTAAGTATCGTTTATCACTACCATTCACTTCAAATCTCGCAAGATCTGGTGAACGGTAGGTGAGTCCTGGTTCGTGTCGTCGTTGGCCGCAGGGGCCCGGGGTCTCTTGGGCAATTGGCGAGCGGTGGACTCCCGTGGTGATTGGGGCTCAAGTCTACGTTTAAGCGATCTTGGGCGAGGCGGGTGTCGAGCTGCTGTCCCCGCCTTCTGGGGCAATAATCCAGCAAAGAGATCGGGCTCTGATTTCACCCCTACCGAGTCGTGAGCCAGTGGCGACCCCCGAAAGTCGACGGGAGAGGGCCACAGGGAATCGGAGTCGTCGTCTGCGCCTGCAGAAAAGTCTCTAGCACTACTCGCAGGCGAGGACTTCACACTCTCGTGGGGGTGGAACGCGATATTTCTGAACGCCCGCATTTCCGACTCTGGCTTGCCGCCAATCAGGAACTTGTCAAGCAATAACTGGCGCACCTGCAACGAGAGGTTTTTGCCCACCAAGTTGGGCCTTACTCGCGCGTAGTCAAACGGCTGGCAGCCCTTGAACTGGAGATACACCCACCCCTCTCGGTCAGGGGCGGTGTGCGGGAAGATCACTTGGGGCACCCCGACGATTTCGTTGGGGCGCTTCATCACCTCCATCAGACTCTGCGGCGTCGGGGTGTAGCGTTTGCGGGGGCTATACTTGTTAATTTGGGCCACGTCCACCTGATAGATATCGCCGTCGATGTCGACATTCCACGTGGAGTCGTTTCTGTCTGTCGCCCGTCCCAACACCATGAACGGGCCGTAGCGGGATGTTGTCGAGGGTTTACCGTCGTTGGTATCGGAGACAAACACGAGGTCGCCCACGGCAAATTTGGGGTTATCAGGATCCTCGTCCTCAAACTCAAGCGACCGCAGGTTCTCGAGGCGAGTGTGGGTGGCGATTGCCCGGTCCACCGCCTCCACCCTGTCGATAAACGCCGCCTGGGCTTCTTGTGTCCAGCACACTTCTAATATGTTCAAGTCATGGGTGTTATAGGTGTTCCGCCGCTTAATGTGACGGAGGCGGCTCATTTTGTGAGGGGCCCGCCCGTGGAGAGCCTCCATGGCCGACATGCCGAGGCCACACTTGTAAGCGGCGTTGACCACGTACTGGGCAATGGAGAGGTAATGGTGCCAGTCGGTGGGCTTGGCGGCCATGAGCGCCTTAATGTGGTTGACGGCACCGTACACGCTTTTCCCGACCAGGGACCCGTCTTTTTGAGCGACGGTGACGGCGATGTCGTGCTCGCGGAAATGGCGCCAGTAATTGGTATCGCTGGTGATGATCTCTTCGGGGATACCGAAAAAGTCAAACACGTGGGTTTCGAGCAAGGAATACAACTGCGACGGCGTATGAGGGTGGAGACAAGGGATGTAGATGGTAAGTCTCAGCATCGAACACACCGCCACCACCACCCCGGCGTCGTCGGACGAGCCCTGGCCCATAGGTTTGCAGAGCTCGAGGTGGATCGTGTGGAAGAGCTTGGGGACAAGGTGGGCGTACTGGGTGAAGTCGCCGATGTTGAGTCCCTTGGCCTCGGATACCGTCATCAAGCGGATCTCCCGGTACAAGTCGGGGACGTAGAACGTCCTCACGAGCGCCCACCACGTCTCGAGGGGGCCCTGGGTGATCATATCCATCTGGGCGTCAATGATGGGTCGCACAAGGTACTGCGGGAGCACGAGCCGGTGGCTACGCCAGAGGAGACCATCGTCGTCGACGTGGAACTGTCTCACGATATCTCGCTCCTCAGGGTCGTCTCGTTTGCCTCCTTCAGAGCAGATCTGGTGGATGACACTGACGGAGGGGTCAGAACGCAATAAGTCGGCAAACCGCCGTTTGTTAACCACTTCAAATTTCGTGTGGGTCAACGTGGCGTAGATGGCGATGACGGCAAGATCTTCACTCTCCGCCGCAAGCTCGCGCTGGGTGGCGTCCATGCGGCCCAGCCAGTAGCTGGGGGCATACACCTTGCGGGCCTGGCCCAATTTATCGTCGTCAACCTCGTGGGGCTCGTACAACCTCTCCAAGCGAGTAGTGAGCCACAGGGGCTCTCGTGACCGGTGGGAGTTGCCATCACTATGGTCGCTTTTGGCGTCGACACCGCGGTAGGAGTATTTCACCACCATTGGCCTGTCGCCATTGGACAAAACCTTAAACACTTTAAATGCTTCCAACAAGGCGATCGTTTCCTTTTGATACATTGGCAAGTGCGCCTCCTTGGGTCCAAGCACTATCGAGTGCTTACCCACACACCGTGGAGTCTGACCGGTATACTGGAACACGTCGGCGCCGACGGCATTGTCGGCGACGAACAATTGAATGATACACTTAACGCGGGGCACCGCCGGTTTGAGGCCAGTGCTGGTGGCGATGCTCTGTACAATGGCTTCAAACGCCTCCACCAGGGTGGCGCCGATATCGCTGCCGTCCGCCGCTCGATGGAGCCGTTGTACGAGGTAGGCGTACTGGCTGACAAACGTCTTATAGAAGTCGAATAAAGGTAGCACACTGGCGTAGTCGGCGGGAGTTCGCGGCACCGCAAGCAGAAGAACCTCCCGTTTCACCGCCTGCGGCACCGTGAGCCCCCTCAGTGACAACTCATAGCCCATGAACGTCCCCCGGTACAGAAGAAACCGGCACAGCGCCGGATCGAGCACAATCTTGGCGTTTTGCAACCGGCGAAGTACTTCGCGGAGGGCGGTGACATGAGCGCTGACGTTGTCGGTGGCGATGATGATCTCGTCCATGTATACCTTGATACCGCCGCCGGGAACCCCGTATAGCACCGAATCCACCGTCTGCATGAGCGCGACCTTGTCGTTATTGAAAGGAATGCGGGTGTGGGCGTACTCATATATCCGCGAGTAGCAGCGGGTGTAGTTGCGCCCACCACCGTCGACGGGACTGATGCGGGTCGTTTTAAGCCGTGACATCAACCTCCGCCCCACCAACGCCCGTAGCACCAGACTGTTCGGTTTCAGCTGGTAGATGTAGCGGTCCATTTCGGGACTGAGCCCACGGCAGTCGATGCACATGGCAAAGGTGTCGCGTGTTTTTCTCAAAAAGTGGATCTGCGGGGTGTACGTACTGGCGGTAGTGGGCTTGACGGACCCTTCTCTAATCAATTTGCGCACGGTGTTGGTCAATATACTCACCTCTTGCTCGCTGAGATTCCAAAGTTCGCCAGTTTCTTGGTCAAAAGTGCGGGTTGAAAACACGTCCAGATATTGCGCCAAGGTGTCTTTCACCTCGCGGTCGGTGACGTGCCTCATCATAGTCTCCACTGCCTTACCCCCAAACAAGTTAGGGTCCAGCCTCGTCGTGTTCTTCCACTTCCCCGCACCGCGGAACATGGTGATGCCAATATCGCATTCTTCTTTGGGCTTGTTTTCGTTGTAGTAAAGTCGAATCAGCCCAAAGCAAACTTTATTGTAATTAATCTTTCTCGTTAATCGGCCCAATTCTTCGGCACTCACGAAACAGACGGGTCCAAGCTCTCGTTGCGTAGATGGTGGATTCGCAGTGGTTTCATGCTCCTCATTTTTGTCCATGGATGGGTCCACGATTTCAGCACTAGCGTCATCGACATTACTGGTTTCCTCGACAGGACTTGCATCATTTCGAAGAGGACCAGAGTCATTCACATTCGGGGTCAGCTTAGTAACCTCATCCATGTCATGATCTTTGTCTATTTTAGCATCGTCAGCGATTGGACCAGTGCTATCCACATTCGCGGCATTGTCCACTTCTAATGTGGGATTCGTACTATTCCCATTGACCTTGATCGTCTTGTGGTCGGTATCATTGATAGCTTCATCAATATCAATATCATCCGTGTTACCATCATCACCGGTGGTGCTGGTGATGATATCTTCGATTTTCGGAATAGCTTCATTTTTCGCATCAGCGTTAATGTTTGGAATGGCTTCGTTCTTTGAAATAGCTTGGTTCAAGTTCGGATTAGCTTCATCAACATTGTCAATGTCAATGTCGTTGTCGGTACTTTTCACACGAACGTTAATGTCGTCTTTATCCACAAAGATATTCATATCATTTGAGGTGTTATTAGTTTCATCAACCTTCAAGTTGTTATCATCTATTGTCATTTCCGCATCATTTTCATCGGTTCTGGTTTCATTCATGGTATGTTCCACCTTAATATTATTAGAGTTTGCAATGGAATCATCAGTGTTCGCTTTGGGAACGTTAGTTTTCGGAATGGGATTATTCTTTTCCAAAATGGAATCGTTAGTTGTCGAATTGTGAACAGTGTTTTTAACATTGTCTTCGTTAACATTGACATTATTATCAATGTTATTGGCTTCAGTGTTCTTATTGTGCGTAGCTTCCTCGGCAGCCACGGCGTCCCAGGTAAGCTTAGCTTGTTCGGCAAGCCACTCCCAGTCGATTTTTCTCATTTGGGGTTTGATGGATTCATGGCCAAGGATGACATCAACCCCGAGCGGGAGATCGTGGGGAGCAACGACAAACGGGCCGTCATAACGGATGTCGTCAACGACAACGCGTCCTTTGACGCCGTGAGTGAGTAACCCATTGATCTGCCCTCTCATTTGTTGCTGATTTCTCAATGGTATTGGGGTACACAACCGGCGGGCTAATGTGCCACTGATAAAGCTCAATGGAGTATCGGGACTGACCCAAACTTTAACTGGCTGTTCTTGAGGACCATTGGCAATATCGAGATCGCCCTTGACCACGAGCGGGGGGGGGATTTCTGGAATATCAATGAACTCAGTTTCCAGACTCGTATCGGCATTGGTGGGGGTAGTGGTGGTTTTCTGAAGGCTCTCTTGAGCTGCTTCAGTTACCATGGGTGGTGGCGACGCAGAGTTGGTTCGGTTATTCGATAGTAGCCACCACATCAGCCGTAACTGGTGGAATGGTGATTTAAGCCTGGGGAAAGTTGAGGGGCGTTTTAAACCCGCATCGCGGAGATCGAAGATACAGGTGAGACCAGCGATCACAATCACTAACAAATTGAGTGACTAATTATGAGTGGAGGTGATAGTTTTGTAGTGGTTGTTTTTGATTTGTTGATGTATGTGGTACAATTAACATTCACTATTAAGGTAAGGCGTGAAATTCTCTACAAATTTATGTGTATGCGGATCGTGCCTTTAATTGAAACATGGCTGGTAGATATGTTGTAAAGGTGGTCACAATTATCGACGATTATAAGGGACGAGTCCAAAAAGAGTTTCATAACAAACTATGATATTATCTCCTCCCTCCATTCAATTAGACTCATCCTTGAACTTGAACCATAGCTGAATTTTAGAACGACGTTTCTTATAGTCACTCGGGGCGATGTCGTTACAATTTCAAGTTTGTGAGATAAATTATACAGCCAAGATATGACCGAAATGGATGGTTGATACTAGGATTGCAGGCAGCATGATATCTCGGAACCATCTTCAAATTTACTTGAATTATAATTTTTCACGGGGTCACTATGAGTGGAAATGTTGAACGTTTTTCATATCTGGATACATAAACGGAGGCAATGTCCACAGAACTAAGTAGAGATTAATTTGATATCATTCAGTAGTAAAAGCCTTGAGTCTTTCCGGTAATATAGTCACATCTTTTGGGCCTACATCTTTGAATGTTCTGAATTCGTGAAAATTTAGAAGCGAGATGGTAAACGACTAATTTTCATCTACACGGTAGTCTCTAGCAAATACAAATTCACCACGACGAAACTCTTCAACATCGTATGATTTGATTAGAAAAATTCACCATTGGCTCAAGATTTTTAGTGTGGCGGGTGTGGCTGTCATTGTGCGCGCATAAAGTAGACCCCACGAGGGACTCTCACTTTCCTATACCCACAGGCCATGGTTGAATTCTACTACCACGACAACAAGGACACTCCCGACAACTTCACCGAAGCCCACCTGACTGGCGAACACGTGCCTGAAGCCGAGCTTGCTCGCATCGGCGTGTTCTACCGCAAATGCCCCACCATAGAAGAACTTGACAAGGTGGCGGTCGAACGCCAATACAAGAACCGGGACGAGATCACTTTGAACCTCAAGACATTCAACAACGACCTCGACGCTTATAACGCCAAGATGAAGCAGTTTTACGCCGAACACTACCATGAAGACGAAGAGATTCGTTACATTGTTGAGGGCGAGGGCTACTTTGACGTGCGCAACAAGGACGACCGGTGGATCCGGGCTCGCATGGAACCCGAGGACTTGTTGGTGTTGCCTGCGGGCATCTACCACCGGTTCACGTTGTCGGACGGGCCCAAGCACATCAAGGCGATCCGGTTGTTTAAGGATGAGCCGAAGTGGGAGGCGATCAACCGGGGCGACCGTCCCGACTCGGCCGCCCGCCAGGAGTACGTCCAGTCGCTTGCCTAAGGTGTATAGCCCTTGATTAATTTACATGATACCATAAACAATGATACTAGAACCAAACTCACGCATTTGTAGAAGTGTATCTAAAGTGCGAGTAGAGCTTAAGATAAAAATCTGGGTGTCAACAAAAATTTCAGAACACTACCGAAGTTTTAATGCAATTATCAATGATCTACCATTCTCTTACCCAGCAAAAAGAAGTCTCCGGTACAGGGAATCGAACCCTGATTTGCTCGGTGAAAGCGAACCGTGATAGCCATTACACCATACCGGACTTTACGGATTTGTGTACGCTGAAAAACAAAATACGGTACTAGCACTTTGTCAAATGTTCGCCGTAGCCTCGTAATTGAGCTTTTAAAACCTGTTAACCATGTTTTTTACTATGTTCAATGTGGTTTAGTACCAGTATCTTGCCAATTCAGTCGCTGTACCCGATGTTCTCCCGCGCCAAACCTAACTTTGCTACGCCCTAACTCTACCGAGAAGGGCAAAGTGCGCGCGCACCTTAAGTCGACAGACGTGTTGCAAACAAAACCGTCGACATCGAGTGCACGCGTGCCATGGACCTGCCAGCTCACGTGGGAGACTTGACGACTGCCCTGATCCAAAACAAGTTGGACGGCACCCATCTCGAGCCGAGCACCACCCGCCAGAAAGTGGTGGCAGCGCTGTACTCGGGAACCAACTACATCCAGCTCACCCTCACCTTTGAAGCGTCGGGCAAGGAAGCAATCATCCTCAGACGGGTCGACGACCTGTATGTCAACGTCAACCAGTTGTTCCAGGTCTTAATTGACTTCGACCTCGTCACCGAGCAGCAACGGGAAAATTTTATCGCCGACGAAATCATCGACAATCCTCAGTACCATGGCGACGGCATCAACCAGTACCTTGACTTACGTAATGACGCTAATGAACACGTCCAAGGGGTGTGGATTTCTTACGATAAGGCGGTAGCGTTCTCGGTTAAATTCGATATCTACCAGCTCGTGAAACGGTTATTTTTAATCGACGTCCACGAGTTTGACCGGTTGCCCAACGCCAACAAACGTGTCGTGGATGACGATGATGAAGGTGGGCCCGAGTCTCCGACTAAACGGCAGCGGTCTGACTCCGGACCGAGCTTGTTTGAGGAACCGCAACTGCAGGAAGAACGGGACATGGAAAAGCTCTTGAAGAAGCTTGTGGCCGCCAACACTAATACTCCCTACGCCCAGTCGCCCGTCAATCAAACCAATGATGAGTTGGCTCTGCGGCTAAAGCTTAAATTTGGCGAGATTTTCAAGGAAGACGTTGAAGACGGTGGCCAGCTTAGCTTCGAGAGTATCAAACGCCAATTCGACCCAATCATTGCTGAGTATGCCAGCCAGGACCCGGGACAAATAATGGACATCGCCTTAGATCCTAAAGGGCAGACGGCGCTTCATTTCGCTGCTACTCTTGCCAGCAAAAACTTGGTGCGCAGTTTCATCAAATTAGGTGTAAACCTGCCCGTACGGGGTAACATTGCTGGGGAAACGCCGCTTATACAGACCATCCAGGTTACCAACCTGATGGAAAAGGGGAATTTCGGTGAGCTTTTGCGCAAGTACCTTTGGCCCGGTCTCTGGCTCTTTGACCGTAAACATCAAACGGTGTTCCACCATTTGGCGATGCACTCGCGTAAAGCTGAGCTCACCAAATACTACACCACCAAAATTATCGAGTATATTGCTCTGGACGACCAGCGATTGCGTGATTGTTTAGCGCTTATAAACGTTCAAGACGAAGAGAATGGCGATACCGCGCTCCACTGGGCCGTGGAACAAGAACTGAAGTGGATGGTGCGTCTTTTGCTCGTGCTTAAATCGGATGCCACTATCACCAACAAAAAGGGGGTGAAGCCTCAGGACTTTAAGATGGTACAAGCCATTCAAAACGAAGACGGTCAGCTGGAATACGTGTTTGATTTGCTTACCACGGCGATGGAGCTTTTGGATAAGAGGCTCAGCGATTCTAAGAAGTTACCTGAAATCGAAGACCCCGTCGAAGTCAATGCTAAGCGTGACGAAGAGGTCAACGAAGAGCCTCGTCAGAGCGCCCTGGCCAAGATCTTCAAACTGATTCTGGACCTCTTGGCCAATACCAACGTTGAGTACGAACAGATCCTCAATACCAAGCGGGAGCAGATCAAAGCGCTCAACCAGCTGTTACACGACCTGACCATCGTCACCGCCAACAACCGCTACATGCTTAAGCTGTTGACCAGCCGGCTTCTGGAACTCGACAACCTCAAGCTTCAGTTGAACAATTTGAACGACAAACTCGCCGTGCTTAAAACGCAAGGCAAACTGCTGGGGGACGATGAGTCGGATAAGACTGACGAGGACGCGGAGTTCAGTGCCGACGCTCCGTTTATCATTCCTGAGCTTTACGAGCCGATGAAACGAGGCGACCCCATCGAAGACCTTAAGCCTAACGACATCAAATTGCCGCCGCTCCCCATTTTGAAGGCGAGAATCGCCGCTTACAAAGAGGTGAATCTGCAGTTAGAGTCTGAGCTCCAGCAGTTGATGGACTACTCGGAACTTACCACCAAATTCAAAAAGGTGGTGCTGATGTGTACCGGTGTGGGCATCAACGAGGTCGACGATTTGTTGGATGGCTTGTTGGAGGCGGTTGAGAGCCAGCAGTAGGAGGGGTTTTTTTCTTCATTTTAAACAATGTATATTAGGCGGTTTTTAATTGGGACATTACGACTAAGGGAGCTGGGAGGTACTTTAGCACGTCCTGAACGCCAAACAGAGATTAACAAAAATAGAGACGATTGAAATAATGTTTTACTTATGTATTTTGGACATTGGGTGTCATTAGTCATACTATATACAATCACGCCTTGGATTCCCCGGCCAAAATTTCCTGTTGTCTCTTGGCGATTTCTTCCGGCGACGGTTGGCCTTCGCTGAAGTACTTGTTCAAGGTGATCTTGCCGAATTCTTCCTTCAACTTCTTTTCGTCTTCGAGGATCTTTTGCGCGTGTTGGTTCAAATATTCCTGGAAGTGCTTGTACTGCAATTGCCCGTGTTCTCTGATCAAGTCGAGCGGGTGCTTGGGCTCCTTGTTAGCCAATTGAGGCATACCAAGCAACGAGCCGATGAACGACCCGGCGTTGCCCTTGCCCAGGAACAATTGGGGGTTTTCCTTCTTCCACTTTTCTCTCAACGCGAGCTCACGCTTTTGGTACTCTTCAATCAAGAACTCCTTGTTAAACGAGGACAAAATCGGGCGCACGTCCTTGACGTTTTGCGTGGCAAGGAACTCGAGGAAAGGGATCAAGTCAATAAGGTAGGTGTCGTTAGGGTCACCGTTCCAGGGCTTAGCGGGGATGGCGTTTTCCTCATGGAGGAAGTAAGCTTCGGGGTTGGTGTCAATGAGCACGGTCTTGGCCAAGTCACGGTTCAAAAGCGACAAGTCCTTGATGAGCTTGCCATCCTTGTATCTGCAGGCTTCACGGTACAACTGGTAGGAGATGTAGGCGTGGTACGGGTCCAACTTGTTCACGGCCTTTTCCGAGTACATTTGGTAGTTCAGGCCGAACACGACGATTTCGTAGTACTGCGAGAGGTAACCCAAAAAGTAGTCGACCCCGGGTCTCTTGGCGGTACGCCACCCGTGCTGAGTGTCCCACGACGAGTGGATGAGGAGGTCATCGAGCGACAACACCAACGTCAACGGTCTGCGGTAGGCTTCAGGGGCAGGAGGAGGCAAGAGGTCTTCGAACACCGGGTCCAGGAAGAAGGTGAACAACAGGCCCACCCGCTTGTTGAACCGGTCGTACATCAATTGAGGGGTGTACCCGTTGGCGATGTCCTGGCCTTCCAACTTCTTTTGTTCCTCCTCGTCGTCCCAGTTTCTCAGCAAGTAGCCGGCGCCGACGACGGCCCCGAGCCCCATAGCGATGTAGAACCAGTTGGCGGCGCGTTCACGCTGACGGTCCTTGGACGTTTGCGCTCTCTTTCTCCGTTTCAGCGACCCCAGGGTGGCATCGGCGCCTTCTTGCCCTTCGGCTTTCGGCTGAGGGTCCTCGAACCCGGCCTTGGCCAACATGTCATCGTTGAGGATCAGTTGCGGTTGCTGTTTCTTGTCGTCTTTAGGTTCCTCGGTGGCGAGCGTACGCACGCCCCACCGGGCTTGCAAGGGCGACGCCAACGGCGCCGTCACCTGCGTTCTGGGGATGGCGATCATCCGGGCGGCCGGACGAACCAACAGCCGTAACATCATGGTTAGTGTGGTCGGAGAAAGACTGAAAAATTTTAGGTGCGACGCCGGTGCGGCGCGGGATTTGGTGCTCAGTGGCGAAGGTCATGGAAATTTCCAGCAGGGGGGAGGTCGATCGAAATGTCTAGTGGTGTCAGTAGGGTTGCGAAGGTGTAGAGTATGGTTTGTCGATGACTTGTCATACTTATTGGCAAAGGTGTCTGAGTAATTATAAGGGTGTAAATGTAATGAGGGCTCACAGCAACCATCACACGAGGAGACACCGGACTGACTAAATTAGTCATTTGATTGAAATCGAAAGCTAAAGCGGTAGCAGTTTCTGATATAATCAGAAATGGATTGATTTAATGCGCTTACTGATCAATTTAAGTTCTTGTGTGGTTTGTTTTGTTTCACTGCTCGTTTCAACATATGTAGCTCCACCTGATGAACCTCGCCACGATATTGCCACGATATTGCCACGATATTCTTCTCTAAAATCATGCCTTTTTCTGCCATCTACTACTACTGTGTGTGCACCAGTGGTCCTCCCATTCTCGTCACCGTGATGACGGTAACCGCCGGCTTACTCTTTGTGTTGCTAAAGGATGAATAACTGATGTTACGAGTCGTGTTTAATAAACCAAAGCAATCTAATCATTCAAACATTTCTAAAGCTAATATTAAAGAGTTACAGCGTCACACGGTGTGGTTCAGATAGTTACCCGAGATCAACGAGCGCGTCACCGGCACCTCACTGCCGTCGGCCAATACCCTGACGTTGGCCACGGGCGGCAGCGCCATGGAGAATTTCACCTGTACCCCCAGCTCATGCTCCTTGCCGACGGCGCTGGTGGCGAACCGCGCCATCAACTTCTCCTCAGGCTTACCCCCAGCGCCGCCGAGGACGAGGGTGTGCTGGTACCGCCACGTCAACCGGTTCTTGTCCTTGTTGAACGACCCGTGTGGGCTCAGCTTGGCCAGGGCGACGTCGACGCTGGTGTCGAGGGCGACGGTGATCACCAAGTTGTCGATCTTGAGCGGCGTGGTCACCAGGGGGTCGGGCTTGACGAGGACGATAAGCAGCGCCTGGTGGGTCTCGTACTTCCAGATCTGGGAGATACTCAACGGTACTGGCGGCTGCTTGATCAAGTACTTAAACGCCCCTAACGTCTTCAGCGAGATTTGAGCGGGGGCCAACGTGTAGTGGTCCTGGTGGGCCAGCGGTCTCAACACGTCCTCGTTCAAAATGACGCGGTCCAACTTGTGGAGGGGCACAATGCCGATGTCGAGCGCCCCCACAGGCGACTCGCCTTGCTGGTGGAAGGCGACCTCGCCCACCACTTGCGACTTCACCAACTGGCCGTCGGTGAAGGTGGCGTTGATCACTTCTGCCACCAGGGCGTTGAGCCCGTGGGCGTTGTACCCTTGTTCAAAGTGCTTGAACTCCAGGCGCATCAATTGCATCCCCGTACCTTGGGCAGCAAGGCCACCGGCGGCGGCGACGCCACCGGCTAATGCCGATACTGGCGGCACCACCGAGTTTCTCGCTGCGGGTAAGTTGGCAAACCCTTCGGGCGAGTCAGGGGCGCCGAACGGTTCTTCTCTCAACGTGTCGTGGTGGACGACTTTTCTCAGCGGCGGCGGCGGCGGCGCCGATCTGCCTAACAGCAGCCGGCGGTGGACGCCGCCGTCGTCGCTGACGGTGGGCTCGGGCAACACGGCCTCATCGCCGCGCTCGTACGACTGCTGGCGTCCCCTAACGGGCTTCGCCGGCAGGGCGACGTCGTGGCGCTGTAACATCGGCAACAGCCCTTCGTGCTCGGTGTCCAGCTCCAGCTCCAGCTCCTGGTACTGGACGAAGTTGGGCAGCGTCCCGAAGTCGCGCGGGTTGGTGTCACCGCGCTGTTGTGGAGTAAAAGGAGTGTTGGCTCCCGAAGTGGCGGTCTCAAACGGGCTGGTGACGGGGGTTTGCTCTCTGCCGTTTGATCCGTGGGCGGCAGCGGCGCCAAGGGCAGCGCCCCCAGCAGCTATCCCAAGGGCAGCGCCAGTGGCGTGGTTGGTACTCTGGTTGGTCCAGCCTAAAGTGCCGCTAGTATCGGTGTTTTTGGCGGAAAACGTCCCCACGGGCGGCGGCCCCGTGCGCGGGTCAAGCAGCGTGGGGAAGGTGTCGAGGGGCTGCGCTGGGTGCTGCGCCACCATGGGGCTGGTGAACGCCAGCGGTGGCTGTTGCTGCTGCTGCGCTGCCAGCTGGTGGGGCGGGTGTGCTTGCAGCGGCACTAAAGGGGTGTTGAAGTTAGGGTTGATCCCCCCGGGCAGAATCGGCGAGCTGGGCGACCCCGGAGACTGAGGCACCCGCGAGTTAGGCGACAATTGCTGTTGGCCAATTGACCCTCTCTGTTGACCAAATTGCCCTTGGCCAAATTGCCCCTGGCCAAATTGCTGCTGCTGTTGGCCGAATTGACCCTGTTGGCCTCCCTGCTGGCCAAATTGACCCTGCTGGCCGAATTGACCTTGCTGGTGCCCTTGACCAGGTAACGGCGGTTGCGCCTTCTCCTGAGGGTACCCAGACTGCTGCTGCTGCTGCTGTTGCTGCTGTTGCTGTTGCTGTTGCTGGTGTTGCTGAGTGAACCCTTGCTGTTGCTGTCCGTGCTGCTGCAATCTGTCGGTGGACCGTTGCAGATTGGTACGGTTGATACCCGACGACGACGTCTGTTGGCGCGGCAACGCCGTCAGATTCGTGCGGCGCACCAGGTCGGCGCGGGTCAGGGTGGCTTCAGTTTCCGTAGTGACAATCAGCCCGTCCTCGGGGATGTCGCCAAACCCGCTCGTGCCCCGGTTCTTCTTCTTATCCTTCTTACGACCGAAAATCGACCCCACCTTCAGCTTCAACAGCTTCTTGGGCAGCCCGTCGTCGTTGGTGGCACCACTACCCTTCAGCGAACCCCCCGTCAACGAGTTGAACGACAGCAACCGGCGAGTCTGCTTGCGCTCGCTCTGCTGAGGGGCGCCGGTCTGACCGTAGTGGGCGGCACCCACGTGGCCTGGGGGAGCGATCGGCGGCTTGTACGTCTTGTTAGTGATCACCTCCAAGTACTGGCGCATCTGCAGCTCCAACTTGTAGTTGGAGACAAGGTAGTTGGTCAGGTTTTCGTTGTTGCCTAACCCTTTAGTCAATTTGGCGTTGTCGATCTGGAAAAACGTCAAGACGGTGGTGAACAAAAGCCCGAACTGCTGGGCCTTATAGTCTTCAAAGTTTTGGAAGATCTGCGGTGCCTTATAGTTCCACTGGACCTCGGCGTTCAGCTTGTGGTTGCCGATGTCCTGCGAAATCTCGGCCAACTCCGTCAGATTGACAAGCAATTCCAGCACCCTGACGTCGCTCTGCTCCTGGCGCAAGGGGCCAAGCACGTCCATCTTCAAGTTCTTAACCAAGAGCTCGTTCAGCTGCGCCTCGAGCTTCAACAGCGTGAGCAAGCAGTTCCAGTACTGGGGGAAGTTGCCGAACTCGTCGTCGTCGACGCCCTGTTGCGAGGAGCCAAAGATCTTCTGCCCCGCCTCCACCGCCTGCTTCAATTGCTTGGTGTGGTGGTTGACGACGGTGATGTATTGCTCGAACCACTGGCCGACCTGGGCGTTGAGTTTCTGCTGGTGGTCGAGCGCCAGCGGCAAGATCGCCGCCGCCTGGGCCGGCGGCTTCTCCGTCAAGATCGTCGTGGGGAAATTGTACGACGGCGCCCCCTCTTCGGTCATCTGGGGTCGGTGGTGAGTGGTTTTGGGGTCAAATTGTGGTTTCGCCCGAAAATTGCGAGTCGTGCCCGGCCCGGTGCCGCAACCAGCAATGCGAAAGGGTAGCCATTAATTGGAGGGAATTAAGGAAAGTAAAGCGGGGTGGCGGGAAGGCTAAAGGGGAATTAGGCAGTTGACTGACTAGTCAATTGTCTTTCACTGGCTGTCTACTCTTTCACTCATGGTGGTATCAATTGTCTCAGGGGTCAATGGGGTGAGCACGGCTCGACAGTGGGCCGACGGAGTTCATCGGCGCGGCGTATTTACTGACGGGGCCCGATTGGGGGCGGTTAGACCGTGCACGTACCTAATGCCGTCACGATGGACGTCGAGCGCAGTGTACGTGACACATGACGTTAGCGGTTGCGAAATTGGGGGGGGGTTCGGGTTTGCAGAGTATTTTTACGCCCGAGCCGCCGAGAGTGACGTACGGGTGCATCAAGTCCGCGACCACATTCCTACGCATAACTGAGTTTGTGGAGTCAATTGTAAGCGGGGACGTGCTTCCTAATTACGAGGAACACACGTTTATGAGTTATGCTGGAGTCGCCCCAATGTCTACCCCGAGATCAATAACTATCGCATCATTACCTCGCCACTGCTATTCAGATTCCAAACAGATCAATACTACTGCTGCTATGATGCTTACATCTAATTTTAATGGTTATCGTATTACTGTGCTGCCGGTTACTACTGCTGCCTTGAGATATACACAGATTATTACTGCTCGTGCTCTGTAAATCATACAGATCCACACCGCTCCTGCTCTGGTACTCATGCAGATCACCACTGCTCCTGCTTTAATGTTCACTGTCATTAATATCGCATTACTATCTCGAATTATTACCATTTACTGCTTTTCGGAGGAGCCGGCCTCGGAAGTCACCTCGCTGACTTCGGGAATATCGTTATCACGGCGCAGCGCCGTCGCCTGGAGCTTAGCCACGCGGGCCTGCGTCAGCCGCAACGGCTCGATGACGTAGGCCTCGGTGTCCAGGTCGTTGAACTTCTTCATCTCGCCCGTTTCCTCATCGTAATAAGTGAACTCGCCGATCTGAGTGAAGTCGGTGCCGATCAACTCTTCGTCCTCGTGCAATCTGATCCGCAAGAACGGGATCCGGTCCATCGCCAACAACAAGATCAGCGTCACTACAAACAGCCACGCCGCCACAGAGCACAGTGCCGCCAACTGGTACCCCAACTGCTTCCAGTGGTGGTTCATCCACCCGCCAGCAATGCGGGCCAGGGCGTCCTTGGCGACGGAACCGTCACCGGCAGCGACGTAGTCGGCAGCGAACAACCCGGTCATGAAGTTGCCAACAAAACCACCGATGCCGTGGAGGGAGAACACGTCCATACCGTCGTCGATCTGGAGAAGGTTCTTGATGTCGACGGCGAAGTTGCAGATGGCGGCGGGGACGACGCCAAAGGCGACCGCAGTGTAAATGGGGACGTAGCCGGCGGCGGGGGTGATGCCGACGAGGCCGGCGATGGCGCCGAGGCACAAGCCGATCGTCAGCCACTTGCCGCCGGTGCGGAAGTAGTCGATGCCCATCCAGGTGAGGCCGCCGGTGGCGGCGGCGACGTTGGTGTTGACCATGGCGTACCACGAGCGCACGGTGGCGTTGCCCGTGGAGCCACCGTTGAAGCCGAACCAGCCGAACCACAAGAAGATCGTCCCCAACACCACGTAGAACGTCAGGTGGGGCTTGTACTTGGGCACCTTACCCGTGGTGATCAACGGGTCCTTGCGCTTACCCAACCACAACGAGTAGGCGAGAGCAGCAAAACCCGAGTTTTCGTGGACGGGGCCGCCGCCGGCAAAGTCAAGCAGACCCAACTTGGCGAGCCACCCGTTGGCCCCCCACACCCAGTAGGCGATGGGGCAGTACACCACCGTCAACCAACAGAACAAGAACACCATCATCGGGCCTAAGCGAGCCCGCTCGCACCCGGCGCCTACCATCAAGATGGCGGTGATGGCGGCAAACATCCCTTGGTACAAGCAGTAGAGCATGTCGGGCACCGTCAGCACCACCGAGGGGGCGCCGTAGCACTGTTTGAGGGCAAAGTTTTGCAAGTTGCCCAAGAACGGCAGCGTCAGCGTGTGGGTGAACACGAGGGAGTACCCCCACCAGAACCAGTGGAAGCCGGCGACACACGCGGCCATGATCCCCGCCCACTGGAGCAGGAGGGCGTGCTTCTTTCTGGAGAGGCCCAGGTACAAGAGGCCGATCCCGGGGATCATGATCCACACGAGCGCCGCCAGCGTCCCCACCCACGCCATGTCGGCCTTGTCGAACTGGGCGTTGAAGTCGGTGGTCATCACGTCGCCACCATAGAGGTTTGTTGGTTCGCTCATGGTAGGTGTGTGTGTTGTGAGTTTGTCTTAGAGGAGACAGAAGCAAGGGGGAAACGGGGGTCTTATAACTTACGACGCCGACGGTGTTTGTCGAAGGCGGTGCCTATCTAATCGTCCTGTACACAATTAGGTTTACGAATCCGGCCTTATCGCGGGGGTACCATTTCGCAATCTCTGCGAGTCAGCCGCGTGCGATAACGGTTATCTATTTGGCGACGACGAAAAATTGATAACGAGATAACGACGGCAACTCTCGGGGTGCACGACTGAGAGATAAGCCGGTTTGTTAACCAAGAAGATAAGACGTAAGCAAAATACGGAAGCGATCGTCCGGGGATTGTCTCAGATTGCGTGGGTTGATTGTCTCGATGTATATAATACGTGTGATCGGCGTGGTGGGGTAGATGTCTTCCCTTTTTCCTTTTGATTGTACTGCCGTCGAGGAGCAGGGGGCAACGGGCGGTGTCAATAGGGTGGGGGTTCCCGTGGGGGAGGGGCTTATGAAAGGGATGTCAATGTCGCCGGGACTAAAATTTTCCCCGGAAAGAAACGGGAGCACCGCTGCCAAGGCAAGACTTTATCGGTGTACACACGGAGCTATCCTTGGCAGGCTATCCCCGATATTACCACAAAGGGGGCCAATACCAAAATTATTGGTGAAAAAAAGGGAATGGCTATGGTGTTGATTTTCCATGAGAGACTGGTGACGGGGTTCCGAATAGTGTAAAGCTAAGGGCGATGAGCTGGCCGGTGTAGACGTGCTGTTTAAGGTTTAGACACATTTCCGTAATCGCCCTGATAGATGATGAGGTGCTGATTGGGCGTGAGTCGCTGCTGCTATCGATAACGGTACGCCGAGCTTCCGACATCCCCCGGGTGTATCACGTGAGTATATGTCATCACTTCCGAGGGTAGTTCGATTCTCAGTGATGCTTTTTTTTGCTCGAAAAATCATCGAGTAAGGACGCGTCGCAAAAACGCGTCTACACTCTTTTCGCATCGCCAGTCACTATCGGTACACACAACGAACACTTAACCCAACAACTCTCAAACGGGAGTTGCCTTTCACCAATAGCCGAGGATATTGATAAAAAAAAAGCTTGATTGTGACGGTGGCGAGATGGCGTGATTATCGTCAACCACCGAAAAGAGCCATCGCCCTACGCTAAGCGTATATCCCTAGCGAAATTTGTTGCGTACGACGTGCCGGGTATGCCGGGGTTCCCGAAACGTCCATCGTGGGCTTATCCAGAGTTATTATTGGTAACCGCAGGCCCAAATTAATACGTGTACGGCGATTTTATTAGCGTGTGGTTGCTAAGAATACGGGAAAGGTGGATTTCACAGGGCAGGTGGACGAATCGAGCGATGATAATGGGCGATATTATTTTTGGCACCACTATGCGGGCTGACGCCCGACATTTCCCAGTGGCGGTAGCTGTTGACGACGTGGTACGGCAAAAAAGAACCCAAAACCACGCGCTCGCAACCACTGCACCGCAACTTACCCCGAGTGACTTCACGCCCACTAAAAGCAATCTAGCGACCTCAGGGACGTTAGGGAGCATTCGAGGGCGTTGCCGCCCCCAAGATCATCGCCAGGCCGGTGGTACATATCGACTGTGCAGATGACAGTGCCGCACGTTTTACTTAGTAAATGGTGCGCCAGCGCCAATAGTGACTCACTACTACCAACACAATGTCATGATAATATCGTCCTCGGTTTGGCGAGCGGGGGAGAGGGGAGCCCGAGGACATTTGGCGCCATCCAATGAGAGGGCCGCGGGCTAACCACCAATAATAATCGAGACTAAAAATAATATGGCCACGCGACGGAGCCACGGCCCCCGGTTATGAAATCGAGGCGGCATCATGTTTTTCTTCCCTTTGTCAGTGATCGGGTTAGGTAAGCCATGGTGGTATTTTCTCGTCGAGGGGGCGGAGTGGGTGGCCCCCCCAAGCCAATATTGCTTTTAGGTGCGGAGGGTGTTTGTCCGAGCACCACGGGGCCCAGCTCGCCACCACCGGGGCCGCCAGTGGCTTCTGGAAATGCCTAACGCCCTGATGAGGTCGGTTCCAGCGCTGTTCGCAAAGGTGCCTGGCGAGATTGGCGCCCCTGTCCACTGCACCCCGGACGTTATGCGGCGGTGACAGTACGCGGCCTGTGTAGGGCCCTCCCGCGGGGGGTCTATGGACACTCCCGACGTGTGCCTACGTGGTGTGCCTACGTATTGGCCCACTCAGCGAAGCGGTGGAATTCTCCTTATTTGGTGAATGGGGTCGATTTTTGGTAAACTTTGCCTCAGTGTTTTCGTGAAAAAAAACCTATCACCACACTTAGTTGAACCCCTAGCCAGCTAAAATCGTTTCCCACTCGCAAGTTCCTTCAGCTCAACATGGGGTTAGCCGGGAAGCGTGAGCCACGTGAGCTATAGTGTATTGGCGTACAGGTGCCGTACAGGATGCCTTGCTTTGGCTCAGACGACCCATCGCCGATAATTTGATGGTTGTAATACCGCTACCACCAAAAGTAGAGAAGGGCAGAGTGTGTGGTAAGTCATTGTAGGCGACGTTTGCGTATGTAGGTCGTGAGGTCGACCGGGAGGCTTTGGCGGCAGTGTCCCCCTGGCCGTGTACGTGAACGTGACGACTATACTACAGAAGCCTGCGTTAGGCCCGTTGAATATGTCAGCGAGATGTAGTAGAGTTGAGCTGGCATAAGGCCTTTGGTAGTCCAACTTGAACTCCCTCTAGTTATAGACTTCAAGGGACCAATATCGAGTGTTGATGGTGGAGAATGTATACTGTAAGAACTAGTAATGTTAGTGACCAAAAGGAGGAGAGATATGTCGATGTATACCAAACAGAAGAACTGACTTGATAAATCATCTACATTAACATTGAAACTAAAGCGAAGCTGACAATGTTTCAGTTATTGTAAACCCCTCGATTTCTTTCCTAGTATCTACACTTTAGCTTTGCTTTGTTGATATCGCTTCGTTATATTACATGTTCCCGTCAACTCTATATCACCATTGCCAGGCGGAATGTGGTCATGCATACGGCCAAAAAAGATTAGAAATACATCGTGGTTTTTTTGTTTTGTCTGTGGGTGTTTTTCTTCGTGAGGGGAGAAAGGGTGGGTGCGGCCTTGACACCAACCTTTGCGCCCCCCGTCCAAAATAGGCAGTCAACGCCAGAACGTACGCCAAGATTCAAATTTACTTGTCGTCGTCCTTGACGTCGCTGGCACCCTGGTTAGGCGTCGCCAGCGGCTGCGGCTGCGGGGTGCCCTGGGCGGCCTGGGGCGTCGCCAGCGCCGGCTGTTGCGGGGTGGCCTGCGACGTGTGCGCGAGAGGCGCCGACGGCTGTTGCGGCTGTTGCGGCTGTTGGGGCAACTGGCCGTAGTAGCCGTACATCTGGGCGCCCTGAGGGTAAGCCAGGTACAGCGGCGCCGCCAGCGCCAGGGCGCCGTAAGGTTGCTGTTGGTAGTACAGGTTCAGGTAGTACGGCTGCTGCTGCTGCGACATCTGCTGGTTGTACTGGTACATCTTCATCGTGTCCAGCGCCAGAGCTTGCGCCTGCTGGGGCAGCTGGTGAGACAGGGTGCCGTTGTGTTGCGGGGCGGCCGAGGCGTACAGCGCGTAGTCCAGCGGCGCCGGGGCGGCGCCGGTGGCGGGGTTGGCGCCAGTAGGGTTGGCGCCGGTGTGCGCGCCGGCAGTGTGCGCGCCGGACGCGCCGGGAGCGCCGGGAGCGCCGGCGGTGCCGGGGGCGCCAGTAGCGGCGCCCAGGTAGTACTGAGCCGCTTGAGTGGGAGGCGTCAGCAGCAGCGCCTTTACGGTGGCGGCGGCATTAGGAGTAACCCCGGTTTGGATCACGCGCTTAATATCTCGGACAAACAACGGGTACAACAAGTCGACGATGCCCTCGCGCTGGGCCATGGCGAGCGCTCTTTCGAAGGGGATCCACACCCCCTTCAAGTGCATCAGCCCGATCTTGACGACGTGGCGCACTTTTTCCAGCTTCAAGATCCCGTCTCTACGGCCTCTGGTCATCTGGGCGACATTCAACAACTTGGTGCCGTTGATCATGTTGTTGTCTGCGCGGCGGACGACGGAGACGTTGTTGGCGTCGACCTGGTAGCAGAGAGTCTTTTCGTCTTCCCACATCGTCGTGGTGACGCGGGGGCGGATGCCAGGCGGCTGGTATTGCCCCACCGTCAGCAGCGACGCCGCGTTCAAAGTGTCGGCGATCGGGGTGGCGCCGGTAGCGCCCACGGCGCCCGCGGTGGGCGCCCCGGGGGCGCCCGGGGCCCCCGTGGCGGCGGTGGCGGCGGTGGCGGCGCCGTTAGTGTAGTACTGTTGCGCCGTCGGTTGTTGGTAGTAGTTAGGGTACAGAGGGTAGCGGTAGTACTCGCCCTGCCCCGCCGCCGCCAGCTGGGCCGCCAGCGGCGGCGCCAGTTGCGCCAGCGGCAGCGCCAGTGGCGGCGCCTGCTGGCCGCCGGCGGCGCTGGGGGCGCCGTTCAGTGCCGCCAGCCCTTGGTTATAGTAGTAGGGCGTGTTGTACTGGAAATTGGCGTTCATGGCTCGGGCGCTCGTCGACAAATCTTTTGGTGGACACTGGGTGGTGGGGGGTGCCAAAAGTGATGGATGAAAAAAGATTTTGTTGCAATATGTAATGTACGGTTTTTCGAGCATTTTTTCTCGCTGTCGGATGACGGTTGAGCAAAAAAATAATTTGCGTCGACGGGATGAGGCGGCGCACGGCCGCACTGGCAATAATGGTGGGTGGGGAGTGCAGATAACACCCTAAAGGAAAGAGGAGACGATATTATGACGACCACTTTGGAGAAGGCACTGTTTCAGATTAGTGCTGGGTCAGGTGATGCTCTGTTTCGTTAGTGTATAGGATTATAGAATTAAATATCGCGTAAATGGTGGGTATTGGTGGTTATTTGTCGTGGTTTATCGTGTAGTGGTTGTTAGTAGCTGGGCCGCTCTTCTCATCACCCTCTCACGTGACCTAAGAAAAAAACGCACCAGAGGTGTTTGCCGTGGCCCGGTCAGGGCTATGCACTCACGGCGTCAAATCGATGCTCTCGCCAGCAGGGACTTGAAACCGCCCAGCCGAAACAAGCAGTGCTCGCCGCCAGGGGCACACGCCCCGCCAATTGAAACGTGAATGCTTCGCTACCGCCCCGTGGCGAGCGCCATAACTAAATACTACCAAGGAGGTTGGCCCGGGGGGCGATTTCTTGATGAGGTGGGGACGACACGATTCTAGACTGAGCCGTCCTCGCCCAGTGGCCCAATATTTTCTCCCCTGCGGAGCGCGCTATCACTATCCCTTCAGCAACCCAAACAAGCACGGCCCCAAAAAAATATTCTCGTTGATACGTGACCGGCAGCGATGGCCACCTCACCCAATTATAGCGGTAGCGACACCTTCATCGGGGGAGAACGGGGTGGAAATTTGCGCAATTTCACCGGTAAAACCACCACCAAAATCAGAATCGCTGAAATAATAATGTTGTTGTCTCCGATCTGAGTTTGAAGGTCAACGTCGCCAATGGGGGCAGGGATGAGGCCGTAGGCAATATAGGGGCGCCGGCGACGCATGATCAATGCCGGTTGCGCGGCCCTGGGTACTCTGTCCGCATGGAGAGTGTGTGCGCGCGGCCTGCTTGCCGCGCCATTTAAAAAATTTTATCGTTTTTTTTCTCTCTTTAGTGTCTCTGACTAATCATCCCCTACTCCAATTGGCCACCGGTTCTAGGTGGCAAAAACTAACACGTCTTTGCTGCGGCTCAACCTCCAATGGTCTCCCCACCACCCCCACCAAACACTAAACACCGAACCCCCCCTCCTCGGGTAAAACCATCACCCGAAACAAAACAAAACCTGAAACCTTTACTGAAACCTCTACTGAATCCTCCACTGAAACCTCTGCTGAAACTTCTCCTTTAATAAATATACCATCGTCGCCCACCTCATCCATAAAATGGGTACGGCTACTCTCCTGCGTAAACGACACTTTCCCTCCCCCACCCGCTCCAGATCAGCAAGCAGTCTGCGATGCCCCCCATGTCTCTTGTGCTGGGCGGCACACGTCTGGTTCTGACCCCGAGGACGAAATGCCGAGTTTAGCGCACCCGAAGGTGACAGGCGGTTGCATTGATCTACCATCTGGCACCGCAGGCCGCGCGCTCCACTCGGGGCGCCACGCTGTCGGAAAACACTACAACGACTAACACTCTCTCAATCTTTGTTGTTTCAAATTTAGTGGTCTCGTTGCTAATAACTTGAATTTCTTGTTGAGTGACTCCTATATTTTTGTTTTGTTTGGCTGGGGGTCATTGCGCGCTCACTAAGAAAGTTGTGTCGGTGTGTCGCTTCTGTGATTGGTCAAGCTGCGTTTTTTCTTTTTCTTGTAAAATTCGCGATTACGATGTTGTTGTTGTTCTCTCTGTTCCATCGCGAGTTCGGTTCCCTTTGATTTTCTTAACCAGGTATACCACGTAATGGACCCCCCCCTACGAGAGCCAAAACACCCGCATGCTTTTTTGAAGATCTGCCATCTCATCTCAGCCCCTGCTCGTACTAGTATCCCTGTCGCCCCTCCAACACCCGCCGGGTGCTGCTCGACAATGATGCCAGGAGTGCGTGTGCGTGGTGTGTGTGTGTGTGGCCCGCACTTGGCAGGGCACATGCTGGGAGCAAGGTCACACCCCCCGTCACAGGCGAAAGCCGAATGCAGCGCCGGGCCTGGTTGGTTCCTGGCCTAGCCTAGCCGACACCTACTGGCTTCGGGCATCACCCACACATCCCTCCCTTCCCCCCCCCTCCCTTATGGTTAGCGTTGATTTCCTCTATCTACCGCTCTTCACTCTCTACTACTAACACTACCCACCCTCCACTTAGCCCCATATGCGACCGAAGCCAACGTGCGCCTGGCACAAAACACCCCGCGACGACATCTCCCAGACATTTGCCCGTGCTGGCACATGGCCGCTAAACCTAATCTTGCCTCGCCGACAATCACATCTGGCAGGGCTGAGGCATCGTCGCGCACTCACACAGCCATCACCACTACTACGGCCAACCATACTGATTCTGGAAAAAAAGAAAACTCTATCAATAACTGGCTGATTTATGCCTTTGTTTCGGGGATGATCCCGCGGTACAACTCCTTGATGATTTTACCGCCGATAATCGTCTCCTCAATGATCCCCGGCACGAGCTCCGGGAACACGCGCCCGTACCAAACCGGCGCCTGGTGGGGCGCCAGGGGCAACCAGATGACGTTGCCAGCATATGCATGCCCGCCAATGTGGGAGATAAGCCCCACGTCGACGTCGAGCTGCCGCTTCTGAAGCTCGTCTGTGAACACCTGCTTGAGAAGCGGGCCCATGACGCCGCACCGCTGGTCGCGAGCGGCGTGGCCACAGATCACCACTGTGGGACGAGTGAACGGGGAAGTGGTAAACAGTACCAGTTTATCGGGGATTTCAGGAATGGCGATCGGCGTACGACCAGTTGTAGTGGGTTTACCTTTGGTGGTGGCCTTGGCGAACGGGTTATGCACCGGCTTCGGCTCGTGGTTTGGCGGGATCAAAAACTGGTCGTAAAAGCTGAGCACGTCGTCCAATTGGTTGATCGCCACTTTGATCCTATCAGGAAAAATCGCCACTTCGGGGTGTTTAAGTCCCGGGATGTCCACCGCCAGAAAGAGCACCGGGTGGGTGGGACTGAGCTTCGTCCGCTTAAACCGGTCGAGCTCGTGGACTAAGCTCCCAGGGACCAACTCGGCTTTCGCCGGCAACTGGTCAATGGGAGTATCGCTGGCGATGAGCACGTGCTTGTACGGCTGTACTTTGGTGCCGTTGAGATTCTGTTTCCAGTCGATCGGCTCGTTGAAGCGGAGCTCGTCGGCGGTGGGGTAGCCGCAGTCGCAGTTGACGGGGCACCGGTCGACGTACAGGACTTGGCGCCGCCATACCAGCATCAACGACCGCTTAAACATGGTTTGGGGATGAAGGAGGAGGACGTAGACACGGAGACGGAGGTGAGGGACCTGCCCACCGGATATATATATAGGGCAGAGATGAGGCGCGCGAAAACGGCCCGGTCCCGAGCCCGCAGCCGAAAGCCTTTCTCACTGGAGATTAGTGGTGCTAGCTCCGTCGGAGGACACCACAGTATTGGCTATTAAAGGTGGTCATTCGGGGAGCAACCGCTAGACGGGGATCGGGGTCTTGCCTGTTTGGGCCACCGTGTATGGTGATGCCCCGGTTCGAACCAGTAATTTTTTGAAAATTGGTAATTTCTCAAATAATGCTAGATTTGTGATATTTCCACGGGGTAAAAACTATGGGAGTACAACTTACCCTGGGATGGTCTTGACTTTTGCGTCTCCTCCTCTATTGAGTACAGTACTTGTGGTGACCAAACAGAACCAATTGACCAAAATTACCATTAATATCGCCAACGATGCTGTCAATGGGTGATCAATTGATGAATAGTCCGTCAAACGACGGAGTAAATCTAACTTCAATCACACACCGGTGATAGTATTAGTCTACACCCTTTCTTTCTCTCATGTGATATTGCTTATTTCTCTGTGAACCCTCAGGCTCTATACTACATCTATTAACATTCTCGTGGGTCGCATTATATTACCGGGCGATTTTCGTCACCACCGAGTTGAGCACGCGGGCGTTGTTCAAGAAGATCTCCACCAATTCTTCAAAGCGGAAGGCGTCCTCCCCCGCTTTGAACTTGTCCATGGCGAGGAACACTTCGTTCGTGTCGATCTCCTGTTCGATCTCGTAGTTCAGCGTGTACTCGACCACCTTCCGCCCCAGCTGGCCGCGGCTGTCCTTGGGGATCAGCACCCGCGTCAAGTCGATCCGCAGCACCGTGGGGGCGTGGGTCCACAGCGACCGTTTTTTCTCGCGCTGGAGGACGGGGGTCCCCTTGCTGATGATGGCCTCGATATTTTGTTCGGGGACGGGGAATTCGAGCGCGAGCAGGAGCCGCAAGTCGTACATCGACAGCGGGCAGTGGACAAATAAGTCCGAAATGCGTTGCTTCTCAATTGCCAGGTAGCGGGCGGGGGAAAGCGAGTTATCCTTCGACACCCGTATCAGCTTCGTCGGCTCTTTCGGCCGTTCCACTTGGTAAAACAGGTCGGTGATATCCGTTTCCAAATGGCTAAATTTGCGTCTCGGGCGGTTGCGGTCACCACGGCCGCTTTCTTGGTACTTCAGCTCGAGCTCGCCAAGGTAACGTTGCACTTCTTTAAATGCAGGCTCGGCCACCTCCATCTCAAAGTACACCTCCAGGTGGTTGGTGTAGACGCAGTCGGTGGCGACGTCGATCGAGATCCGGTTCAGCGTCCGCTTGTCGGTGATGGTGCCGAATTTGACTTCGAGCTCGACGAACGGCCGGTTCTGGGGCGAGATGTCCCGGAAGTTGGCGAAGATCCACTCGGCGATCGTCCGCACCACGCTCTGCGCCGGAATCACGCCGGAAATCAGACACTCGAGGTCGACCAGCTGGGTGCGGTTATAGTCAAACACCCGCTTGTCGGAGAGGATCAGCCCGAGCTGGGGCCCACTTGAAACAGGCGCTTCGTCGCGGACGTGGGGCACCCACTCCTGCGCCCACACCGGCGGCGTCGAGTAGCGCCGGGGGCGCGTCTTCCCTTTCAACTGGGCGATTTTGGCGAGACCCAGGTCGATGGGGTCGCCCAGAGCCAGCGCTCCCGGCGCCAGCGACAGCGCCAGGGGCGCCGAGTTCGTAGCGGGCGCCGTGGTATTAGTCGGCGCCGTCGCTGGTTCCTTGGACGCCGTAGTTTCCGTCAGCGCCGGCGCCGGTGGCGCGGCCGCCGCCGCCGCCGCCGCTGCGGGGGCGTCGCCGTCGTCGCCGTTGAGGATGTTGGTGATGGAGTTGCGCTGGTGCACCAGCGCCGTCAGCGCCTCCAGCGCCAGGCGCTCCTGGTGGGGCCGCAGCGCCTCGTCTGCCGGGGGCAGGTCGTTGTTCAAGATGCCGCCGAGGTTCATTACGGAGGGTGTCGCCACAGGTGGAGAAGCAGCGGTCGTGTCAACAGAGGCCCACTGACGATGGCGCCAGGCGGGCGGGTTTTTGTCGGTGCGCCCCACGCGACCGCGGCGCCCCGCGCCCGCGAGCGAGAGCGAGCGACGAGTGACAGTACATAGACGATAATGAAAATCTGAGGCTGGGGAGGAGGGTCTTAACCCCGAGTGATGGCTAATGTTAAGCGTAAAGTATTCATTATTTGGCTAAGTGTTGGTAACCTGGATATTCCCCTATTTCATGTCCACGTGATATTACTGCATTGAAGTCGGCATCAGTGAAATCTCGTGGTAGTTATCTTGGATGTATTCGTAGCAGCAGTATTTGTAGTTTTTGAATTGGCGAGTCAATGGGTGATTTAAAACAATTAATTTTCCACTGTGAGGCCAATCAAAAAGTGCCCACTTTAATCGATTTTACGTCATTGTCTTTGTTGAAGAATAGCTCGTACGAGGATGGATGTGGCAACAATTATATAGAGGTAATATTTAATAATTGGGGACTGTGTAGTACCCTCTGATTGATACACACTGTGATGCATCGGTGGGCTTCGTAATCTTCCATGTAATCTCAAGTTTTAAATACTTGTTGATGGAAAATAAGTTCGACACTTCCTTGGAGTGTAGAGTACAGCATCGTCTAGCTAAGGTATTTTCCAACCTTTGTTTAAAGCGTGTTCGGGGAAAAGTTATGGAAAAGCAGGAGCTGGCATAGACTTAAAACAAGTAATTTTTGAGCATCGCTTTTGCCAACCCCCTAAAATCACGACAATATTAGCTCGTACCCTTAATCATGGACCTGATTGAAGATCAAACCTATGGAACTCAAATAATTAAAAGGAACTATTCACTTATGTTAGTTAATCATTGCCAATATGGTAACAAAGGAACACACGCCACCAATCTTACGATACAAGCGTTACATGATGCCAGTTAGAACAAATTATCACGCCTAGAAGACGAGGCGTCGTTTTTAGGGCTAGTAAGCGGGTATACGATGAATTATAGCCATCGCTGGTTGTATCTAGAAACGTTGTTGCTAGAACCGATTAATTATAAATTCGATGGTTTTCCAGGAAACACCAATTCTCCTTGTTTACCTTTCAGCAAGTTCAGTAAATAGTACAATGAAGTCTTAGCAGAGGAACATTATGGTATTTTCACTCGCTTGGCGTCATTTTTGTGGCTGGTGATGTGCATGGGGCCTACGTCATCGCCCTGCACAACGAACCAATCCAATTCATCAACACTGGCGAAGTTATGGAGTTATTGTGAACGTGAGGAACTGAATGCTTCACTATCTGACTACCTATAATAGTCTGCTCAACCTTAGCAATGCTTAATTTACTGTTTCACTGCAATTACATCTAATTATAGCACAACTGAAAAATTGTGTAAAGGATGGCATAATTGTAGAATTATGTAACCGAGTTCTTCAATTATACAATCGTTTTAATTTCTTGCTTCACCAGACTCTTTCTAATTGATTATCAATTGTTTCTCCGTGAAACTGACGAGCTGATGGCTCAAGCCATTGACACTATACACACGGGGTTTGACTTTGATTTAATGGGATTTGAAGGCCAGAGGCAAAAAGTGTGGTAGTTAGTGGAACCAATGGCGTGAATCTTGACGAACCGGGGGCTATATCATTGTTTCAAATTGTTGCTCAAATATAACATTCTTCCACTTAATGCGAAATCGTAGAATCGTATATACGGCGCAAAAATCATACCAGGCGCGCTTTCTAAAATAAGCACCCTCATATTACGTTAATATTACGATGCAAAGAGCACACCTGAAATACCGGGTTCGCCACTGCCTCGGGGCTGGTTTCGTTCAACCCGAAAAATTTTAGTTCTAGTATTTTATTTCGAGCCCTGGCACCCTCACTTCATGCCCCAGATAATGCCGATGCGCCCACCCTCTGCACCTACTACAGCGCCAACAATACGAAGGCTGCTGGTGATGTAACCAGGTGCGCCTATCTGGCGATTCCCCAGGGTTGCACCTGTACCCTCTGCATTGGTGTGTTGTCGGCCCTTTTTCTTGTCCAGCAACCCCGACGGCTTCGCCCCCCCACTCGCCCACTGCCAATTTGAGTAACGGACAGAGGAATTGTCCCAAACACCTTCTCAAGCTGGGGATCGGTGGTGGCAAGGGCGAGCCGGAGCTCGGCGGTGCCAATGAGCTTGAGTTCTCCGTCCATTGGAGATTGTTTAGGCGGTTGATAATCGGTAGGCGATCTCACATTTCGCCTCCGCGACTGTGTGGGGGGACACCACAGTGGGGCAATGCGATGGTGGCGACTCCGACTAAGACGACTGAAATTCTTAAATTTAAAGTGAAAATTATAATAGTATTGACTGTAATTCAAGTTTCATGTGATTCAAAGTTGAAACTGGTTGGGATGTGTTAGGCTTTCAATGGCATAATTACACTAACTAAATCCAATATGGTTAGATCAAGCGCGGACGGTGATACCAATATTAGAGAAAGTGAATGTAAGCAATTGAAATTTATGCATTTCGTAAAGAATGAAAAGTAATTTGAAGACACGCATTAATTAACTGGTTCTGCAATATCCACTACTACTTACCAATCACTGCTGTGGCTGCAGAAGGAACTTGCCCTAGGAGGACTTCCACAATTGCACTATGTCGGGGCGTCACCATAACGTAGGCCCAACTTGCACAAACCCATCAGGAATGAACGCTGGCCGGGTGTCGTCTTCGCCGGCTTCGTACTGCTGAACCAAAGCACGATTGTCGTACTCAATGTACTCGAGTTTCGCTGGATCCACGAAACGAATCGAGGCTGGGAATCTCAATCTTAGAATCTTACGATGACGTTCAATTGGTTATCTTTAGTATTGTGTAAATGATGATCTAACTGAAAAATTCGACTCCAGGACGGGTGTTATCCTCTTCGATACAATGCTGTCGGTATTTACATGTCTATTATATCATACCCTAGGCCAAGGTCTTGGCCAATCTGTTGGCGACGGCGTCGATGAACTCCTCGGTGGTCACGTACAGCGAGCGGTCGGTCTTGCCCTGGGCAAGCGCCAAGTCCTTGGTCATGATGCCGTCCTTGGCCACGGTGTCGATGGTGGCCTGTTCCAACGCTTCACCAAACTTGACGACGTCGGGGGTGTTGTCCAACTTACCTCTTTGGATCAAACCCCGGGTCCAGGCGAAGATCGAGGCGATCGAGTTGGTCGAGGTCTCCTTGCCTTGTTGGTGTTGACGGTAGTGACGGGTGACGGTACCGTGGGCGGCCTCGGCTTCGAAAGCCTTACCGTCGGGGGTCATCAAGGTCGAGGTCATCAACCCCAACGAACCGAACCCTTGGGCGACAATGTCCGATTGCACGTCACCGTCGTAGTTCTTCATGGCAATGATGTAACCACCCTTCAGCTTGAGCATTTGCGCCACCATGTCGTCGATCAACCGGTGTTCGTACCAGATGCCCAACTTGTCCATCTCGGCCTTGTACTTTTGCGCGTACAATTCTTCAAAGATGTCCTTGAATCTACCGTCGTACTTCTTCAAAATGGTGTTCTTGGTCGACGAGAACAAGTTGAGCTTGCGGTCGATGGCCATCTTGAACGACAGCTCGGCAAAGTCGCGGATGGAGGCGTCGGTGTTGTACATGGCGAGGGCGACACCGGCGCCCTGGTAGTTGTACACGGGGATCTCCTGGACCTCCAGCCCGTCGGCAGGCTTGTACACCAACTTCAACTCACCGGCGCCGGGGATGACGACGTCGGTGGCCTTGTACTGGTCGCCAAAGGCGTGACGACCGATGATGATGGGCTTTTCCCACTGGGGGACAATCCGGGGGATGTTGTCGATGACGATGGGTTCTCTGAACACGGTACCGCCCAAGATGTTTCTGAGGGTCCCGTTGGGCGACAACCACATCTTCTTAAGCCCGAACTCTTCCACCCGCTGTTCGTCGGGGGTGATGGTGGCGCACTTGATACCGACGCCGTACTTGAGGATGGCGTTGGCGGCGTCGATGGTCACTTGGTCGTCGGTGGCGTCACGGTGCTCAATGCCCAAGTCGTAGTACTTGATGTCGATGTTCAAGTAGGGCAAGATCAACTTGTCCTTGATGAACTTCCAGATGATCCGGGTCATCTCGTCGCCGTCCATGTCGACGACGGGGTTCTTGACGTCGATCTTCGCTGCTGCCATTGTGGTTTAATGGGGGGTCCAATCAAGAGAGAGAGAAGTGGAAGTGGGCGGGGGGGCGTGGCTGTTATTTATAGGGCCAAGCCACCTCGCCAGGCACCGGAGCCCCCCAGCTGCCAGCAGCCCGGGACGCGCCGCGGAATTCCCCGGCGATGCCACTCACCCACTCAAAAACGGTAGTAGGAGGCAGAGCGAGTGCTTATATAGGCCTCTGGAGTTAAGCTACCCGGTGTTAACAGCAGTGGTTTCAGTGGATCAGGTGATGGTTGTGTGTTTCAGCCTACGTTTCGAATTACCAGTTCGTCTTGATTACAATTCAGTTGAGCCCCCTCCCCCCGACCTTTTCCTGCTCGGCGCCGAGCCCTTATCGATTTCGGCACGGAGCGCCGGTGGGGGCTTACCTGCACTCCCTCCGAGAGCATGGAAGATCCCGAACCCCACCTTTTTTAACCCTCCCCTAAGCTAGCGACAACGCCGGAAATTCCCTTGAAACCACTACCGTGTTTCACTTTACCCGTTTTGTTATCCGGTTCTGTGGCCCTGAGGTGTCAACTAGCCACAGAACCCGCCGAGACGTGTTTTGTAATCGTCACGGGGCGCGCCAGGTCGGCGGCCCCTGGTGCAAATCGCGGGGGCGACGGCGCTGCCGCTGACCAATCGCACCCTGGGGTTTTCCGGACGGGAACGGAGCCCCAGAGCGCCCAATCGCCCACGCGCCCAAAAGACGCACCCTGCGCCCAGCAGGCTACCCACCGACAATTATTTATTAACCTCCTAATTGAGGGTTGCTGACCACACGGGGTTATTATTCCATTTTACATGTTTCGAATGTGCCTGGTTTAGATACTTTGTTTCAAAACTTGTGTAGAAACTGGTAATGTGGGGTGGCGTGATGGCATCGGAAATTTCCGGGTAGCGCTGACGGTAGCCACTACTGCTATTGGCAGCCTGTCACCTCTCTCACTTTAGTGGTAGGGCTCTACAGTCGGGGTTATCGTGTGCTTTGTTTTTGTGTATGTTCCTGCACATAGTGAGTTCGGACCCAGCCTCGGCATCTCCCCAGCCTTTCCTATACGCGGCGTGATTTTTTTTTTTTTTGACTCGTGTGGTGACGTGGCTGCTAGCGCCACGGATCTAGAGTGTGGGCCGGTACCGGCTTTACGTTGTCAGATGTTACTTGTGTCAGTACTTGTATCAGATGACCGCCTTGAGCGGACGGAGGCGGGGCGGCGAACGGAGGTGTTCGGAGTTCGGAGCACACCCCGGCCCGCCCCTCTTGCCCGTTTCGGGTTCGGTGGATCCTCGGGTTGGTGGAAGTGTCAGCTGATGTTCACCTGGTGCGTTTGTGTTTTTGACTCGGGCCAGGCCCCCTGTTGCCAAGCTCTGGGGAAAATAAAGCCCCAAAAAGACACATGCAGAAATAGTGCCATAGTGCGTTTTGGGTTTGTCATAATCACGTGACCTGAGGCCATAAGCTCAGAAAAAAAAAAAAAATTTGTTGTGACAGGTAACTCAACAACTAAAACTGCTGCAATTACTCAACCAAATTAGGGTCCGGATTTAGGGGTACCAGGGCTACATAACCATGCAACCTCACAAGGTTACATTAAAATGTAGATACCGCTGGTTGTGGTTCTGAAGTGAAATCCTAACCAAATCAACCGACAACTATAAATATCTCCTACCACCACATATGAGGAACCTCAATTTAAGTGGTATCGGGTGGTTTTAGCCCTTAAACGACCACTCCCTTAATCTAGGGCCATGGCCCCTAACCAGTTCACTCTACCTGCCATAACCTCACTGGAGCAAAAAAACCTCCCCCCCAACCCCCTGAAACCAATTCTGAGACCAATCGTAAAACACCGCTTTTGGCCCCCGCTGTTTTACTCACCTTTCTAAACCGGTTTCACCCATCGGATGTCGTTGCCGACCACCCTCGCCCAACGCATCGACAGCGAACAACAGGCCCAGCAGTTCGTCCAGCGGCACCCGCTGGCGATCTTTATCGCCGACGCCGGCACCGCCTACGGGATCGTCGACCCGGCCAAGCTTGTCGAGTTCAACCGCCAGCACGGGGTGGCCTCGGATGAGGTCTCCGAACTTGTCGCCAAGGAGAAGGAGGTGTTGGAACAGTTGCTCAAGTAAACGGGTGACAGATGACATTTGACACGACACTTTACATGACACATTCACATGACAGGTTTACAGGTTTAGTATTTTTATAGTTTAGGCATTGGATGATTTTATAGAGACTGGGGCCCCGTGTTTCAAACATGACGTGTTATTCGGAAAATGATGTGATTAAACGTACGACATGAGCTAGAAATATGACATAGAAAGATCTATACAGGGCATTAAAAGGGAAAATTTTAGAAAGCTTTCCCTGAATTTTTCCGAAAATAACACCTTTCGTTAACCAGTATTAGATACTTCTCTCGACTACTCTTTTAGACCATTTTGTTAACCACTTTCCTAGATTTCACTAGTTATTCCTTGAACTACTCTGTGAAACGTACGATAATTCAATTCCAGAGCATGCAGCATAGTTCACAAATTAGTTTTGGATAAATTTCTTCAATAGTTTGTATCACCGATCTATATTCCAGCTCTTGGACGACAGGCCAGGTCATGAACCAGGTACCTTACAAGACATTTGAAGCCCTTTTTGAGCCAGTTGTTTAACCACTCCTCAACCTACATTATAAATACCACTTTCAGACCAGTTTACGAGGTCTCGGCGTTCGGATATACGGAAGCTAACCTCCACCACATAATCAACGATGGGTTTTGGAAGGATAACGGTGAGGCGTACCGGCACGTACAACACTAGACTTAGACTTATTAAGGTCTACGATATTATCATTGAGCTTTAGTTCTCAATAGCCTTGAGGACTGTATCATCTCACGAGAGATAGAGATCCATCGAAATCGAAATCGAAATCGGTATCGTGTGTGTCTCATATTCTGTGTGTGTCGGGGGTTCATTACTATTCCCGATCCAGGGTAAATTACTGGCATCGCCCCACGCCTAAATTACCGGCATCGACGCAGAAACGGTATATTACCAGCATCATCACCCCCACCAGCCCTCATCGCGTCCAACAGATATGACCAATCACCGCCAACGCTACAGTAATCCAAAAGACTTGTAGATCCCTAGAGTCTACAGATTTCTATGTACAGACCGAACAAAACTACCGTCACAGAATACTAGCAATTATCGTGTCTTCTGGACTAGCAAGCATTGGGAGCCTTGCCTGTCATCCTTTTTTTTTTTAACTTTTTGAAAACACGCGTCGCGATATTCGCGCCCCTTGAAGGGTTCATGAAACCTCCATTTACCATGGAAGAAAAGCCCCACTAACGACAAATCCAGCCATAAAAAAAAACTTTCCCAAAACTATATGACCACCGCTATCTTGTGGTAGTTTCCGTTTTCTCATATCGCTCCTACTTCCCCTGATAACCCCACCCCTTCTACCGCCAATGCTGGCCATCGCCCGCGCGTGGATTTTTCCCGATCGGGTCGGCGCTCCACCTGCACACACTTACGCGTCTAATATAATCCAATCGAGGCCTACGCCCTGCTCGCCCCTCGCCCTTCTGTTGTTGACCCAGCGATTAGTGGTTACCCCCCCCAAGCGAACCAGCTCCCAAACCAGCAAAAACCGATACCACAGCCACCTGCCTGTGTATCACGTTTGAAACCACCGCGTTCCCTACCTCGTGTCGCTCATCAACCGTGGCGCTTTAACCAGTGGCATCCCATTTTCTCCCCCCAACGCTTACGCCGCCATGAGGGAACCCGCGAAGCCCAAGACACCCTTGAAGAAAGAAGAGCTCGAGGCGATCGCCAAGGAGCTCAAAAAGAAGCTCTCCCGAGCTTCCGTTGCCGCCAAGTCCCACTCGCCCACCCTCCGCAAACTGCCGCTAAAACAGCAGGCGGCGGCCGCCGTCCGCAAACAGGCGGCGGCGCTGCCGACGCTGCTGCCGCTATACTCGCCCCACAAGCTGCCGACGAAGAAGAAGCCGCTGCTGATGCTGGCGGTGTACTTGCTGCTGCTGCCGCTCAAGACGCCGTTGAAAACGGCAGGGCACGACCTGCCGACGAAGCGGATGGTGCTCGAGCCGGCGCTGGCGCCGCTGCCGGTGCGCCGCCTCAAGCCGCTGTTGGAGGCGCGCCCGGCGCCGGCGGCGCCACCACCCTCGGCGCCGTTAGCGCCGGCGCTGGCGCTGGCGCCGCGCCCCGTCACCACCCCGAAGCAACAACGGCGCGATCTTGTTAGCACTCCTAACCGCTCCCACTACGACGAGGGCGCCGACCTCCTCATGTACCTCGCGACGCTGCCGCTGCCGGCGAAACCGTACACCCAGCTGGTCCTCCCCAACGGCGCCATCCCCACCTCGCACCCGCTCGCGGCGGCAACGGGCCAGCCGCCGACCCCCGGTGCCCCTGTATCGTTTGGGGCGCCGTTGGCTAAGACGACCAAGGGGAAGAGCGACCCGTTCGTGGCGCCGGCGCCGCCGATGACCCCCAAGAGGGCGCCGGGAGTGAGTGCGGCTAAAACTCCTCAGAACCGGTTGACTCCAGGTTTACTCTCGGCGCTCCCTAGTTCGGGACTCACGCTTACGCCCACCGGATTCAATATGAATGATTACGTCAACTTCTTTACTCCACTGCCTGGTGGAGAGATGTTGACGAAGAACTTGCTTAAAACCCCGGACTTCAACAACCTTATCAACCATGATAAGAAGTTCTAAGCTTAGATCAGAAGTTACAGGCCTCGAAAGCCGGGACTGTCACTAGCGACACGAGCATGATGATGGCGATAGCCGACCACTGCTGCTGACAAGAGACTCTTCCAGTGAGTGGTAGGCACTAGAGATATGGTTCCGTACGATTCTGATGGTCGGGCAGCGCCTACCTCTTAGAGAACGTATTACCTTGCAGACACTAACATCCTGAAGCCAGTGGTGATCGTTACCAGAGATACATTGACTTCATATCGGGTGAAACACCCGCAATAGTGACTATTTTATCGTACTATACACTAATACATTCCTTGAGACTTAACACTAGTAATTGTTGTAGGCAGGGCAATTCTCTAAAAGGGTCAGGAAAACACACTGACGATGCCTTCGTCTTTTTTTTTTTTAATATTTCGAAGGGGGTGAAACTTGTTTGGCTAAACAACATTCCCGTGGTAGTGAGTGCTTGCTATCAGTGGCTATATCAACTTAGCACCAGATCACTTACAGGTCATTCTCACAAATGGTATATCATCCAAGAAAACCCTGTTAAGTTGACGAGTTTGACTCGATCTCACCCTCTGTCCTCCCTCATATACAGTATAACCACCAGCGATGTGTCGACGTTATCACAGATCTCAATGAACGAGGTGATCGTACGTGACCGTACATAGATTTGCCCTGCACCTTAAGCAGATCCATATTTTAGTGCACCGCAATCTAGTAAAATCTGTCCAATACGAGACTATCTGAAGTTCGTAAATGAGACTGTTTTCAAATGTTTCTTTAGATTGAATTACGGCATGCTCATTCATCAAAGTCTCCCAAAAATGGGTGTATTCATGTGCTGATAACTAACTAAGGCTTTTTTCTCGTACGCCGACACCGACCAAGTGCTCGAACTCGCGAGCGGATGATTAATTGTTGGCTCCGTCGGTGTAGCATGAGGTGTTTGTCCAAAAACTGTGGGAAATGTATCCCGCAAATGGGACATATACCCAGGGTCACCAGTTTAGCGATGGTGCGTTTCTTATTAGAAACTGCATCAATGATAAATTCACCCACCACGGGAGTGTCCGGGCGTCTTTGACCAGGAGAAGGTTCAGTGGCTGGCTTCACAATTTTAGTTGTTTTTGATAATTCGATCAGGGGAGGGGGTGGCAGATGTCGATTTATCATCGCGGAGGATTGGGCGACACACCACTCGTACTCAGCATTGCTCTGCAGCATGATAGTCAAGGGGATTTGGGAGAAAGCAGGGCCAAATCAGTGGCATTTGGCGGCATTTATCTGGGGCAACTGTCGGGGTGTCCCCAGCATCAGCTGCCAGGTACAGCGTGCATTACATTCGCATGAACCACCTGGCGAGACCATCAGGAGAAATGGGTTCAAGAAGCCCTTTTACTACTCGTCTGATGTATCTAGCAACTAACTGTACCCTTTAGATCAATTTCTAAACGGTTTGTGTCCACTTTTGACTACATTTATCTCACTAGTGCTGAAAGTTTACAACCAACCACTGGCTGCAAAAGTCATGCACATGGATGCGCGGTGGCCTGAGAAGACAATAGCAACCCACCGCCGAGAATGAAGCTACGAAATTAATCAGTTTCCTCATTTTTTTCATATTAAAAAAGTGTATGGGGGTGTAGACGAGTCTCTAGTCACGGGTCAAGTTGCGGAAGAGCGAGTCGATGGTGTCGCGGATCTCCTTGTAGCTGACAATGATACAGTTCTTCTCGTCGCGGCTCACCAACAAGAACTTCTCGTCGATGCCGGCGTCGAGCTTGTTCAAGTTGGTGAGCACCCGCGCCAAGTCGACGACGGGCTTGCCGAACTCGTCGTACTGGAAGAAGATGTAGTCGCGGAACAATTTGACGATGTACTTGGGCCCGTTCTCCAGCCAGTCCTTCTGCTCGGGGCGGTCGATGACGAAATTGAGCTTAGCCATCAACCGGAAAAGTCTGGCGTTCTCAAGCTCCAGCGTGAGCTGACTTTCGGCATAATCGGCCTGGTCTTCGAGGGCGTTGATCACGCCCATCATTTTCAGCGTCAAGTGCCGCTGGGTGAACGCCGCCAAGTCGAACTCGGGGACGTCGTCCAGCGACGTGTTGAGCGTGGTGAGCACCTGCAAAAACTCGCGGCTGAAGTGGCCCGGCGCCAGCGTCTCCACCAACCGCAAGAGCTCCGCCGGCTGGTTGTTGCGCTGCGCCGGCGGCAACGTGAGCGAACACAAGTCCAAAAGCACCCTGCCAAGACGTTCGATGTCGCGTCGTTGTAAGTAGCGAATGGTGTCCTTAGAGGTGACGAGATTCGCGTCGGCACTGGTGTCGGCAGCAGTGTCGGAACTTTTGTCGGAAGTGCCGGAAGTGCCGGCAGCCAAGATATCGGCGATACCGCAACCGGCGAGTCTCACTCGGTTTTTCAGGGTGACGATAATCTTGTGGACCTCCATCAGCAGGCGTGCCGCTAACTCGTGGCTGTGGATCGCCTGGAGGGCGTTGACAAGCTGGACAAGGTACACCCACAACGTTTCCTCGGTCACCGGGTCGCTGCGCCCCACCAGCCGCTTGTGGTGTTCCCAGAGCGTCAGCGAGTTCGGGTAGTAGTCGTAAGCGACGATGAGCTGCGGCCTCTCGCCACCAAACGCGTACGACGTGAACGCGTCGTGGACGTGGACGACGTTGGCGTTCTTGACGCCGCGCCACTTTTTCACGAACTTGAGGGGCCCGTCGTCGACGATGTCAAAGGGTAAGTCGAGCCGGCGCAACGCGTAGGGGTTGCCGTCGACGTTCAGAAACAGCTTGTACACCGTCAGCGCCACGCGCCACGTCTTCAGCAGCGCGTCGTAACTCCGGTCGATCGGCACCAACAGGTGATACACATGCACGTGCTCGGGGAGCGCCAGCCGCGGGATCGTCTGGAGCGTCGCCTCGTTGCGCCGCTGCAACTCCTGGCGCAAGTCGTTGGCAATGAACATGGCGCTGGCGCTCGTCTCGTACGGCGGGAGCGCCATCTGTAGGCGCGGCGGCGGCGCCGGCGCGTAGAGGTGGTACTGCAACGGGTAGCCGGCCCCGGCGCCGGGGTGGCCGCCAAAATACATCTCCCCCGCCATCGAGTACGGGTTGGGCAGCCCGGGAGTCGGCGTCACCTGTTGCGGCGGCGGCGTCGCCAGCGTCGCGCCCCCGCCGTAGAGATTGGTCAGCGGCGTGAACAGCGGCGTCAGCACATTGAACTTTTTCAACGCCAGCGCCGCGGCATTGATGTTGGCGCCGCCGGCGCCGGCGCTGTTGGCGCTGTTGGCGCTAGCGTGGGCGCTGTTGGCGCTAGCGTGGGCGCTGGCCGCGTGGGCGTCGTGGTCGCGGGCGCCAATGTCGGCGCCACCGCCATCGGCGGCGCTGGCGCCACTGGCGAGGGGGGCGGCGGCGTCTTTACTTCCGGGGCTATACGGCGCCCCCGGGGCCACCCCCGGCTGGAAGCTGGGGGTGTTGAGGTTGAATTTGCGCTTGCCATCAGGCGCCATCGTCGCGGTCACCTGGGGAGTCGGGGGTGGGGGCTGGGTGTGGTTGAACGCACACCCTTTGTTCTCGAACTTGCAGTACCCGTAGATGAGTATGTTTTTGCACAACGTGTCCTTGGCCGAGTCGAGGTTGATGTTGTTCATCCCAGACGACCGGCGGGAGTGACGGTTTGTTCGGTGGGGTGCGGTCGAGATTTTCGGGTGCGCCGAGCGCGGGGCGCGGGCGACGGCGACGAGGGGCGCGATCAGCGCCAATCGCCAGGGGTAACAGCCTAGACTACTATTTGATTCTGCTCTAGTCCGCTAGTTGTTTTATTAGGCCAATTGCTTTCGGGTGTCGAGAGTGGGAGCGGTTGGGGGCGCAGTGTGCGAGTGGCTGTCCCCACGCGCTGGCGCGTAGCAGCTCACACACACGCGTAGCGCTCGCGAAGGGAGAAGGCTATGGTAAGCGAGGGGTGTTTCAAATCAATGTACTCGATGGTCTCATCTATGGTTTAAGAACTTAAAGCGATTGTATCAGCTGACGAAATTGCTTGGCGTAGTATCAAATTACTGCTGATACCGCCACATTTGATCATAAAAGATTGCCGTACCCAACAAATCGCTAACAAATTGATTCTACCTATTAGACTATGGTACTTCTAGCAATTTCAGATCTAATATGCTGAAAGGATCATTCCATTTGCACTTGGTGTAGTCATTACAGACCATAGTTATGGTCTAATCTTCAGATTGCTATAAATAGTGTTTGAAATGATCAATGCCGTATTAGCTCAATGGTTAGCCAATTTGTTCCACTGCACATTCAATTGATTATGAATAAGTCTTAGATTTATTATTGACTGTGGCAACGGTGAATTTGATCTGATACGCAATATCTCATTTACAATAGATATGGACTACCATCACTACCCCTAGCTTCATTCAATGCCGTCCATTATGAGAAAGTTGATCCTTAATTCAACAAAGAGGCTACCGACACTTACTGGGCGACGGAGGTCGTTTCATTCGCAACATATCCAGCCGACACGCCAAGTAGGGCCCCACCCGTTGAGCCAGATCCAACATCACTTTTGACGCAAGATCGCCAGTGTGCTGGGAGCACCATTTAAGCCATTTGAGCTGGCCCGGCTCCACGTCGACCTCCCACTCAACCTTTGAAACAAACTCGAGTTTCTCCACTGATTTGGGGATCACAAGTTGACGCAATTTCGTCAAGGGCTCAAAGAACAGAGAACCCTCCATATGGTAGCGCACGGAGAGCGCCTTGAGATTGTCGTAACCCGTGGACAAGTCTACCACCTGGTTTTGCACCCCAGTTACGTTCAATTTCTTCTCCATGTTGGGGATCCGCTCAGTAGCGGTACGTTGTAGCTCTCGGCAGATGATGCTGTCGACACTTTTAAGCGAATTTTGAGTTTCAAGAACCCTGGCCTCGATTTCGGGGGTTTGCGTAAATGTGCAACCCTTCAACACTACCTTGCTCGCCCAAAACCTCACTTTGTCCAATCCCATATCATCGAGAGTGACAAAATCGAGGTGTTGGCCAATGGCAATATCTGTAGCATACGGCTTTACAATCCTTCATGAACAGTCGACGAAAATTTGGGAAGTATTCGAAAGGTATGCGGCTTTTGTAAAAACACAACTTCATCATTTCCAGTATAATACCGTAAGCTGGCGAGGAATACCCTCGACTGGCGAAAAAGACTAAACCGTCAAATCCACGAGATCGGACGACAACGGGGTGTCTTCGGTGATAATTTCGGCGCACTGTACGGCTAACACTTCGACGTGCTCCAATAACGTCAAGTCATCGAGCCTGATGTTCGCCCCCTTGAACGTTGTTAGCTGTTTGAGTTGGTCCTGGTTAAAGTAATCAGTGATTACACCAGTTTGGTAACTGGGAATCGAGACACTTCTGAGTTTTGGGCAGTGGGTGTTTTTAAAGCTTGTCATCGTCATCTGATCAAGTAAGGTGACTTCCTCCAACATGTCACAGCGTTTGCCATCAGGGATGCGGTCAACAGCAACCGTTTTGAGCAGAGACCAAGAAAGATTGGCATAGTATCCACCGGTATAGTGTTGGAGGCTCCGAAGTGAAGGGACACAAACTGTGTCACAAGTAAAGTATGCAACGTTCCGAATACTAAGAGTGGTCATCAGGGGCGGCAATCCTGTAAAATCCAAGTAGTTTGGGTACTTCCGCGGACGCGAGCTGCAATTGGTGATGTAAAGTTCTTTGACCGAATGAGGAATGTCGGCGGTGTTGAGGGTTTTGATGCCATCAAAATGCATGGCGACGGGGTTTCCCATGAATCACTTAAGATCAAACACCTTATAGCCAACTTGAGACTCGTCATACACCGAAATCCTCAACAGGGCAAACTTCATTTGCAGGAGGTACCCCTTTGTAAGCTCCCATAAACCCACAGACGCCCTGACGTGGACGTGGCACCACAGCGGGAGCAACGCCTCCGCCTCAAAGCCGATCATGGTGGGGTCGTCGGCGAGGATCGCGTTCGGCGTCACCTCCACCATAAGCTTCTTAAAGCGTTTTCCAATAACCTTCAATAAATCACGGTCGGTAGCAACATGACACAACCGGCACACTGCGACGACATAAAGTAAGGATACAATTTCAGTTTGTGTATCTTTTGGGAGCCTCTCGAGGATGAATAGGTTGCGCTTGTTAGGTTTGGCAATTTTGGGAGCAGCGCTGCCTGAGCCTTTATTTCCGGCAAAAGCGAGAAAGAAGGCAAACCAAGTGAAGCCAGTAGCCTCAGCGGCGCCGCCAGGGGCAAACAATCTCTGCCGCTTGGCCTTAAAACGCTCAGAGAGGTGTCTCTTGGACTGTGCGTGCGTCGGGGCGTCAATTGTAGGCGATCTATCTCTGGACGAGTCTCTCAGCAACATGGTAACTGAGTCAATCAAACGGTGAAAACTTTTCCCCTCATCGTCGTCGGCTAGGTGGTCACGTTCTGCAAGTGGTGACTGTCGTCTATCGTTGTCAAGGGGAGAATGTTTGTGAGGAGCGCGCAGTATAAAGGCGGGGAAAACGCGTACACCATAGTAAAACAAGGGAAATGAGAAACCAGTGGATTGGTCCTTGAGCGTCTGGTAGCCTTCCTTTGAATGTTGAAGCCGTAACTCTTTCGTAGAAAAGAATAGTTGATAAATCGGACATTTACGCCTTGTGAAATCGTAATAAGAGAAAAAAGATCACTTATAAATGCGTCAATTAGAGCTGTAGCGGCTGGAAACTAGCACCAATATACTTGAATTGTATTATAGAAGTGGAATAAGCCAATATAAAAGGCCAACAAGCCGCCCGTCACAAGGTATAAAATCCCCTACGACTTGACAGACCCACCCCCTTATTCCGCCAACTCGGGCGTGTAGCTCAGTCGGTAGAGCGTTCGCTTAGCATGCGAAAGGTCTTGGGTTCGATTCCCAACTCGTCCACTTTCCATTCTTTTTTTTTTTTTTTCTGTACTCACCTAATTTTTCAGCGATCACTGCCCCCGCGCCTCGTCCCACCTGCAGGAATCGCTCGACGCCAGTAGTCAACACTCACACGTCAGTGCCACCGCCCCGTTCACGTCACCAATGGGGGTTGCTCTGAGCCGCATTCTCGACTCGCTCAGCGAGGGGACCAACTTCGACCACGACGAGCTCGACCGGTTGCGCAAGCGGTTCATGAAGCTCGACACCGACGGGCTGGGCACCATCGACAAACAGGAGTTTTTGCTGATCCCGGGCATCGGGCTGAACCCGTTGGCGCTGCGGCTCATGGACGTGTTTGACGAGGACGGCCTGGGCACCATCGACTTCCAGGAGTTCATCACGGGGCTCTCGGCGTTCTCCGGGAAAACCTCCAAGGAGGAGAAATTGAGGTTTGCGTTTAAGATCTACGACATCGACCGCGACGGCTATATCGGCAACGGCGAGCTTTTCATCGTCATGAAGATGATGGTGGGAAAAAACTTACGCGAAGAGGAATTGCAGCAGATCGTCGACAAGACGATCATGGAGGCCGACAAGGACGGCGACGGGCGGTTGTCGTTTGAGGAGTTCCGCAACACCGTCGACTCGAAGCTGGTGGCGTCGGCGTTGACGTTGAATATGTTCTAGCATAAAATGCACGAGTCATGACGATGGTGTAGGACCTGACGCGAGTACGAGCTTGATACTTGAAATAAGAGGTAAGCTTGGGTCGGTAGTGATTTTACGATGTCTAATTGCGATGAGGATTTCATATCAGTCAATTTAGGCTCAATTTCTACACGTCACACGACCGATGTCTGGCAGTTGAAATATTTCCATGTGGGAATACAGATGCCAACAAACAGTCATCAAAAAGTCGTCCATTCAATCACAGTGTCGATTATCTATGAGTTACGGACCTCATTGCTTGGTTATCGCATTGCACTTGTTGATGCTGATAGTTTGCCAGTTGGTACTACAGGTATTATCAATTTTACTACCACAGCCTCACCAACCAGCAATATTAGCCGTAGCTTCGATGGTTTCAGTTTATTCTCAGAGTTCAATTCCCCAAACGTAACCCTAGTATAACCATGGCTATTGATTTTGTGGAATGTGACACGCGCCCTTTTCTCATATCAAAGAGCATCGGCTGCAAAATCAAAGATCATACCTTTTTTGTAAACGATGTCAGTCAATCGCAAACGGTATCTGAAAGCGATTTTCGCTCACCAGGATAAATACCACCGATGTGAAGACGAATTGATCAAAGAGAACTTATACCAAGCCGCAAGCTGCTCATAGGCTGCTATTTTGCCGAAAATAAGAAGAAGCTCGCTTGGCACCCAAAGCTTAAGCGCCCACACCATCGTCAATACTTGAAAGATTGCATGTATGCTGCGTACGGATCTGATCCTCATCAGCATTGACACTGAGATGTGGGAGGCCGGCGACGCCCTTCTCGAAGTGGGTATTGCCATCTTCGACCCTCGAGGACAACAAGCGTTGGGGTACCCTCACATCAAGACGTTCCATCTTATTAATGAAGAGACCTAACACTTGAGAAAATACAATTTCATGGGTAAGATGTCGTGGAAAATGCCGTTTGACCTGATTGTCAGTCTTGTCCAGGGAATCCTCGATTACTAATTTAATATTGAAGGATGGGAGGCAGTGATTGTGGGCCATTCAGTGCAATATGACATTATGGTGCTTAAGGATATGGGAGTTGATGTTCCTGATGATTGGGCAATCGATATCCAAAAACGCTTTGCCCTTAATCGGACGAAAACCAGTCAGACTAACCTCCGAGTCGCTCTTCAGGACACTCATATCCTCGGTGGCTACATGCAGAACGGCGGTAACGATGCCTATTTTGCGCCCCAATTGCTTTTGAAACTCGCCGATCCTCAAGTACGCAATGTATTGGATCTAGATAGGTTTGAAAAGACTTTTAGCCCTAAACGTTTGATTGAGGAGTATACTCCAGCACGGTCGTTTCGCCCCCCCCCATCCCTTACTCTGCTGGTGACGATGATGACAGTGACGATGCCCTTACTTTGATCCATGCTATATTTCCCTAGTCTCAAAGGCAGGTTACTAAATAGTCTGATATCTATTTTTGGGATATGAGGCTCAGTAAACATGCACACTCAACAAGCCCAAGGTTAGCGGCTTTTAAATTACGTAAATTACGTTGCAATTCATCGATTTACCTGTAGGTAGGCGACAAGCGTTTATTCACCGCATTGTCTTAAAGCTAAAATACATGGTGACCAGTAACCGCATACGACAGCAACAGGGTCGCCACGCCACCTGTCAACCTCAATTGCTCGTGCGACCGCCAACTACAACCGCTACCTTCTTTATCTGGCTTACGCCTGTTTAAATCACGCTGTCCCCTCCTTTCCGCATTAGTAATAAATATCGCACCCGGCGACAGCCACGTTCACACCACCGCCGGCAGAAGAACGGAGACAACGCCTCCTTCTTCATATGACTGAGTAATAAACTACTGGTTCCTTTAATCTCCTGCTAATTGGCTACAAGCATTAGATAAATACTTGTTTAGACCGAGTTTTGTGCATCTATTGTCGTAAGTTTAATCCGAGAGTGCCGCCCACTAACCCCGGCTAAAGCCAGTGCTGGTGAATACGACCAACGGTGGCTAAATCAAAACCACCACCTGACCGAGTCGTTTCCATAGCCGTCCATATACCCTAAAAGAGCATCACATGCGACAAACTCGCCCTAATAAGGGCCCCTAGCCCCGAAAGATCACCACCACCCGCCAGCGGTCCCACGCCCAGGCGCTCGCAACCGGAAGTGACAGCAACCCGATCGAAGCTACGGACGTGCCTGTATACACTCCACGCGCGCACTGTTTTGGTCAACGGGAGAAAATTTGTTTACCTTTGTCCCCCCCACACCTTTTGGCCTCTACCCGTTCTCCGTGGCGGGCTTTCACCTGGTTAGCGATTGGCGATAGCCCCCTACCCCCGTGTTGCCGGGCCGATCAGATACACTCCTCATGGACAAGCTCGTCCCCCGCAAGCGCGCGCCGCTGGAGCTCGACGCCGACCCCCACGGCGACCCTCAGGAGTTGGCCCAGTTCCTGGACCCCCAGGAGATGCTTGCCGCCGTCATCCTGACCCTTCAAACTCCCGACGACGCCACCAACGTCGCTTTAACCTACGCCAACGATAAGCTGAACGTCACCGAAGTGCAGGCCTACGCCAAGATCGCCGGCCACGACTGGACGTACTACGTGAAGCTGTTGGCGATTTCCATTGGCAGAAACACCGAGGGGGCTCCCCTGGGAGCCCCGCAAGTGGAAATCGATCTCGGCCCCGCCAAAGTGGTGCTGCGCCAGCACGCGCTGATCACCTACAATTTGGACTTACGGTGCTGGGAATTCAAAGTGTTTGGCCGCAACGGTGCTCGCGTCGACGGCACTAAGATCACGCCGCTGCCGCTGGGCGTGGTCACCCCGACGCCGCTCCAGCTGGGCGCCATCCTCGATATCGGCGGCACCCAGATGATTTTCATTCTTCCCGACCTGCCGCCGAAAATCAACCGCAAAATGCTTACAAAGTGCCTTGCCCGCTACAAGGAAGTGGCCCAGAAACTGGACAACGGCTACTATAAGCACCAGCCGATAAAGCCATTCCAGATGTTCGACAACGGCCACCTCGCCTCCGCCAACGCCATCAACACCACCGCCGCGGTGCTGGCGACGCTGCTACAGAACAATTTGGACCAGGATCTCAGCAAGGAAGAGCTGAAGGACATCAAGCCGCCGTACCTGTACGCCACCATGATCACTCAGGCCATCCTCAGCAACGAGGACGGCGTCCTCTCCCTCTCAGAGATCTACGACTGGATTCTGAGTCACTACGCCTACTACAAGTACCTGAAAACCGGGTGGCAGAACCTGATCCGCCACAACTTGTCCCTCAACAAAGCATTTGAAAAAGTGCCCCGACGCCCTAACGAACCGGGTAAGGGGATGAAGTGGCAGATCCTGGAGCTGTACAAACAAGAGTTTCTCAAAAACATCCTGAACGGCCAGCACAGCAAGCTGAGACGCGGGCTGCTGGTGCTGCGCCAGCTCCACCTCCACTTGGCCATGCACAAGCAGTTACCGGAACTGAGCAAGTACTACGACAAACAGCTACAGGCGCACCCTCCCAAAGACGCCAACCAGTCACCAGTTCTGGCTCCGGGCCAACCGCAGCAACAGCCACCGCCTCATCCTCAGCAATTGCCTCCGCAGAACGCTCAATTCCAGTTCCCTCCAGGGATGTACCAGGCACCCCTCCCGGCTCACCAGGGTCCTACGGCACCTCCCCCACAGCAGCTAGGAGCCCAGTACCCCCAGTTCCAGCCAACACACTCCCGCACCAACTCGCTCCCCAAGATTCTGCCACAACAAATCCCCCAGCTGCAGCCGTACCCACCGTACCAGCAGCTTGGCAGCGCCCAATTTTTCCCCCACCACCAGCGCGGGCTGCTGTTTGGCAGCACGATGCCGGGGCTGTTCCCCGGCGGGCCCCTCTCCAATACCCCCCAAGGCCCGCTGATGTTTGCCCTGCTCCAGCTGACGGGGCTTCTGCTGCCGCTACGCCAGGCTCAAGGCGATAGCGGCACCACTCCCAAGCTCCGGAAGGTGGGAAACTCGGGGGTGGGCACTCCGCTGGCGGCGGGAGTGTCCACCATGTTTAACTTGCCGCCGCCCACTACCACCAACGGCATGCCAGTCCAGGCGCTTCTGCTGCTGCTAGCTCCCTCCACCAACGCTGACAGCACCAACAACCCTTCCCAGCTGACGCTGGCGACGCTGGCGACGCTGGCGGGGGCCGACATCGGCTTTGCCTCGCCGAAAAAAGTGGCCCAGCTCGAGGCGTTTACCCCGGAACGCGGGCCTAAACTTGGCCAAAACAACAAGGACGGCCAGCTCCGGGTCAACGCCCCCAGCCAGCTGCTGCCGGCGTTTTGGAACTTTGTTCAGTTCAGCACCCCGAACGGCCAGACACCGCTTCGGAAACCCAGCGACGAGGGCGACCAGGGGTCCCCCACCATGCGCAAGCTTAAGGAAAAGGACGACGCGTGACCCCAGTGGCAAGGTCGACGGCCGTCCAGACATTATATTACATCACTTCATTTTCACCCAACACGACATGGCATATTTCCTAAGCCGATTGCTCTAAAGTGGTCGTTTGTGCTCATACCCTTATGTTCATATGTATTGTCATCCTATTTAGTGTTCATACTTCACACATCATTTTTCAGTTTGGTAATTGATCACTTTGGTCTGAACCATAGATGGACAGCACAAGTTTTGACAAGGCATCTTGAGTGACAACAAAGACATCTAGCTTCAGCATTACGACGTAAACGGTTGAAGCGTATGCCTCAATTATTTTTGCCATCATGGAATGGTATGTAGCATCGTAGTTGCGGGCCACTCGCAACTAATTATGGTCTCGCTCAGTCATTAATAGCCAGTGTTGAAACTCATCGTTGTGTCAATTGAAATGGGAGTAAGCAAACCACTCTGCGGGCGAACCAGTAATTGATTTCGTGTCGTATATACCACAGGTCTTGGTTAGTTGAAGATCCATAAAAGCGAAGTTCTCGACGAGCAGACAAAAGATCGCGATTTTGCGTTTAGTAAAGAGGCTGATGATGAAGTCTGAGCTGCTACTGGAACCAGTTCTATCGTCCAGAGTGCTCAAAGCATATGGCAATGAGAGCGAGTGTACACCTCGACGTCAGGAGAGATTGCTAGCAACTCACCAGCTTATGGCATAGTCTCGATCCCTTGGGATTTGGTGATAGTTTCCCCAATCGCTCATCACAGTTTGTTATCGTAAATATTTTGACGCGTGCAGTACAGGTAAACAATGCGGGGTACGGCTGTACCTCTGCGCCTGACATATCAATTGCAGCAAACTCGTAAATTGCAGCATTTGAGTAGATTTCACGTTATTATAAGTCATTACAACTCAAAGATTCATTCAACCAATGTACGATCGTTGCATTTATGCCCAAGTTTCTATCGATGGACGTCGTACCAGTTCTGATAAAACTTTCGATGCAACATTTAGCATAAAAGTAGTGAGTTCAGCATCTGATAGTATTACTATCTATTTTTATGAACTTGTTGAGTACGTGCAAAATGGATGGTTATTTGTTGCCCCGTGCTCATGATTGATTCTAGCATCAACGCGAACCATCCCCTTCTTAGCCCCCGGGCGCCTTCAGCACCAACAGCACCCAGAACACCCGGAGGGCCTAGCTCAAACCTGGTGTACATCATATCAGGCACATAATCTACAACATTAGTTAGCGCTTGGCCTCGATATTCGCCCAGCTGTGGGTTTTATCACGGTCAGTGGCCTCCTTCTGTACAGTACATTTCCACCACGCTCCCCTTCTGATGGCTAAACGGCCCCCTCCGGTGGCCAGTGCAAGCTAGGGGTGTCCCATAGCCTTGGAGCTTGCGTCCACGTCCAAACCAGGGTGTTCCACCGCCACAAGCGTACCACTGGGGCCCCCTAAGCTTGAGCACCGCTGCCTTAACAGGTCCCGCGCCTCAGTAGAAGGACACCGTCGAGATTGATATCACCCAGAAGGATAGCTTTTTGAACCTTTTATGCTTAAGGATTATTCACTACCTATGGTTTCGTCATCACCCAATGCCTAAAATGTAACTTTGGTCGTTGATATTGACTGTCATTATGAGGGATGCATGCTCACGCCCACAGCTATTGTCATGTATAATTAGCGAGGAGAAATCAATTCGGATTATGAGAATGTTGGGTCGCGCACGACCAAATCAACCATTTTGAGTGTCACACGACCTTCATCTCTGATCGACTATCTGATCAACCCTAACGACCCTGATCCACTCCAAAATACCTACCGGTTTATTATTAGCCTTATTCTTCCCCTCTCTGCACCGTCTTTCACTACCACTACCAATGACTACTCATCGCACCGCATCGCGCTCGCCAGATCAAATGGCGCCCACCTACACCGAGAGAGCCGATGCCCACACCTCGCCGCTTGCCCAGCGGTTGTTCCGGCTCATGGAGCTGAAGCAGACCAACTTGTGTGCCTCGGTCGACGTCACCACCACCCAGGAAATGTTGGCGTTGGTCGACAAGTTGGGGCCCTACATCTGTCTCGTGAAGACCCACATCGACATCATCGACGACTTCACCTACGAAGGCACGGTGGTGCCGCTTTTGGCGCTCGCCAAAAAGCACAACTTTTTGATTTTCGAAGACCGCAAGTTCGCCGATATCGGCAACACCGTCAAGCACCAGTACCTGGGCGGTGTGTATAAGATTGCTCGTTGGGCCGATATCACCAATGCCCACGGCGTCACCGGTGCTGGTATCGTCAAGGGGCTCAAGGAAGCCGCTGAAGAAACTACTGACGAGCCCAGAGGGTTGTTAATGTTGGCGGAATTGCTGCTGAAGGGGTCGATTGCCTACGGCGAGTACACGGAGAAGACGATTGAGATTGCTGAATCGGACAAGGAGTTCTGCATCGGGTTTATCGCTCAGCGTAAGGTGGAAAAGCCCGGTTTCGACTGGATCATCATGACCCCCGGCGTCGGTTTGGACGATAAGGGCGATGCTCTCGGCCAACAGTACCGTACTGTCGACGAAGTGGTGTCTACGGGCTCCGATATCATCATCGTCGGTCGTGGTCTTTTCGGTAAGGGCCGTGACCCCGTGGTTGAGGGCCAACGGTACCGTGACGCCGGCTGGGCCGCCTACCAAAAGCGCTGCCAACAGTAATTTATAGGAATTGGAGAACACAGACAAATGTAGCCGAGACCAAAGAACTTCTACGATTTTCACAGAGAATCATTACTATTTCTGGATCTTCTTTTCTGTCTCAGAACGACTACCATGATCGTCTTCTTGTAATGAAAGCCAGTGACGTACCATTAAGGTGACTCATTCAATGGCTATAATGTGATTGACTTGAATGCTCAGTCTGTTGGTAGGATGCAGCTATTAGATTGTTTTAATATTCAATACTCACGTAACAATCTACAGATTGCTCAACAGAAGCTAAACACCAGTCATGATTTTCAGTCTAGGGTCATTACCTACCATTGACCAGAGACAAGGCGATAGAAATAATATAGCTGAAGCAATTGATGTCGAAACCAAGGTGCAATGGCTATATTTCGTTAATATCTCCGACCGTTCCGGTGATGTAACTTCACATTGAGACTGCGCGCACCCCTTAACAGAACCAAGTGCATGATCGAGAGTAATGTGAGCTACGTCGACTCATCGGCCATGGATACCAGCTGCGATGCTCTTAAACGAATTGATGAGAGAGCTACTACCAGATGTCCCCAAAGATACTCAAGATTGCTACCAGAGACCTCGACCCTTACTTCAAGGTGTGATTGATCATTATCTCCAACAGCCTATTAAGTATTGCAACAGTTTTCCTGATTTCCACTTGGACATTGATCCTCAGCACCGTGATTCATTTGATTTTAATGACCAGTTCTACGCCTACTACTGCATGAATACTGATTATAAAAGAGAGATCTACACGCTCGCTGCCAAAGGCCCTCTATTGTAAAATCGGGTATATTGTAGATTCCCCGTACAAATGGTGTCGAACAGTTGGATAACGAAGAAAAATCGCAGACGCCCTTGGTAAACTTGAGTAGTTTGTTCATAATTTGGGTGTGCAAATTCAACTCAACAAGTGCCAATCACAATTGGCTTACTTTGCGTTAATGATATTTCACACTCGCCCCTTCTACTTGATCATACTATGTTGAAAGGGGATATGAATATTCCATTTAAACTACGACAACCAAACAGTAAAAGAAATCCTACAAGTTTGCAGGTGATGTGTTGAAATCAATTGAGATTTTGTGTGAATTAAATCCCCAGCATACGTAATGGTTCGCCTTCGTAGATAAATTTTCGACAATAGGCATGAAACCTGAAACGATTCATAGGTACATCTCTGATAGAAATTTTCCCCGTTTATTTATCATTCTGGAACCATCTAGTCCAGACAATCACCATTACAGGGAGGTTCACCGGTTGGGCAAGGATGGCTTTCCCTCGAATCAATATCAAACTTGCTTTGTGTGTTTCACAGGTAATCACGTCATGGTTGGGGTTTGTTGCCAACTTCACACAAGACGAAACCGTCTTCCCCATGAGGTCTTGCTATAGTCGCTGAACGATGGTTTAAAGCCATTCACCATAAAGACTTTTCAAGGTCGACTTAGCCACAGCCCTCATTAACTCTCCAAGGCAAAATTGCCACAACCATCAGCATCCGATTTGGCGTCCAGGCTTTAACTGTGGCCAACGTGCCACCTCCTGCGACAATCCCTGAGGCACATGGCCTTTGATAGGGGTAAATTACAGCCGGTAATTGATGATCCGTGATAAGGGTCCTTGGTTGGGCAGCCCTGGTGGGTAACTCGACTTCACCGATCTGATTCACTCCAAGCGTCCTTAGCGGCATGCCCCCTTACTAGGTGCGCATTTGACGTATACCTGCCAAACTAAACGTACTTCGAAATTAGTAAGTCAATACGAGGTGAGGCGCTTTAGTTGGCACTTAGTCGTCGTTTACGACAATAGTGGCACTAGTGCCTCGCGAGAGTGCGGACGCCCGTGCCTGAGCTCAAGAACAATGGGTGCAAAGTGGGTGCAAAAACGGATCGGCCACAAAACGCACCTGCCACACTATCCAAGGGCTAGCCCTAAGGAGGGCGGAGCCTTCAACATTGAAGTATTTCTGATGGAATATAAAAACCCTACATTTTCCACTCAATTTTCCTCACCACTTTAGTGTGATATGGTTGCCATTGCTTACCCATTCTTGGTCTCGCTCGCCGCTGCGTTAGTGGTGAGAGACCAAACTCCTAAACCGCTTTCGTTCACGTTGAACAAGCAGTTGACGCCAAAGTTGGTGAAACCTGCCCCTCTCGGTGATTCCTCCAACAATACCAACAAAGTTGACGACAAGCCCAGCAAACTTGACGCTGGCCAAAATATCGACATCTACGCCGCCAGCGCCTTGTACTTAATCAATTTGGGGTTGATTAGCCAAGATCAACAAGTGGAAGTATTGTTGGACTCTGGCTCCTCAGACTTGTGGGTCGACGCTTCCAAATTGAACGCTACCTCTGGCTTTACCAAGAATGGGGAACTGTTTGGCATTGTCTACGGCGACGGGCTGACAGTGGTGGGTGACTTTGGCACCTCGTCAGTGTGGCTCGACAATGGTGTTGAGGTTAAGGATTTACAGTGGGCATTGGCCACTGATGTCAGAATAGACTCCGGCAAAAAAAATGGTATTCTCGGCATTGGTAAAGAGGATAACGAGTCTCCCGTCCATAATAAAAAACCTCCCTACCCCAACTTTACCCAGAAGTTGAAGGATGAAGGCTTTATTTCAACCAACGGCTATTCATACTTTTTGAACAAAATTAATGCCACCTCTGGTACCATTACCTTTGGTGGTCGTGATCTTGCCAAAGTTAAAGGGCCTGTGGCTACCCTTACCCCAAACACTAGCGACAAAGACTCCGCCTTCGATTCGATTACCATTTCCAAGTTTGCCACTTCCAATGGTCAGACGTCAGGCCCTGTTGAAGCCGTTTTGGACACTGGTACCACTTTCAGCTTCCTCCCTTTCGATACTCTTCAGGCGCTTGCGGTGCCCTACACTGGCTGGGACGAGTCTGGTACTTGGTACATTGAACACGCTGACCCGGACAAGTACGTGTCGTTCTTCATTGGTGACATTGAGATCAAAATACTGTACGCCGACTTGGCCATCCCGGAAACTGACGCCAACGGCAAACTCACGGGCAAGTACCTCTTTGGTCTCCAGTCGACGGAGCGGGAGCCTTATATCCTCGGCGATACCTTTTTGCGCTTCGTCTACGTCACTGTCAATCACGACGACAACCAGGTGTTGATATCTGACGTCAACTACACCGAAGAGGAGAACATTGTCAGCCTCTAGGTGATGGCAGCTCCCTAGATAAGAATCCTATGTTTGTTACTCGTCATTGTAGCCACTAGCCAAATATCAGAGAGATAAGCAGCCTGGTTCTTCTACGCCAGTCGGTAAGGTCGTACTTGTTGGCTGTTGGGGTGTCTCTGAAAAACGGAGGAACTTCTTCAAACAAGGTAGATCAAAGATTTCTAGCTATTGAATGAGTGAATGGTCATCACTCACGGTTTGTACGGCTACAATATTCCAATATATAACGTCTATGTCTATAAGGTTGAGAATGCTATCACAGGTATATACAAGGGAATAGGGTATCACATTTTTGAGTGTAGTATCATGCTCCCAACACGTCGTCCTCGTCCAAGGTAGTGGCGAGTTTTGTCCGCATGATTTCGAATACTAAAAGACCAATCGATGTTGCCGGTACCGTACCGAGGGCGTTGCGGGCAAACCCCTTATACATAAACTGGAACCACGTCAACTTCAGCTTGGCCTGCATCTTCGCCACCTGCTTGAACGTGTCGACGTACGAGTTGTAGTATAAGTGGAAAAACGGTCGGTTCATCTGGTTGCGGTTGTAAATGTCGAGGGCCTCAAGCCGCAGCAAGTGCAACTTCTGTACTTTGGTGATGGGGTACTGGATGGCGAGCAACGAGAATGCTGCCAGCGCCCCTGCCAAAAGGATAAACAGCCCTTTAAGCACGCGAGCGGAGCGAGTATTCTCGATGTAGGCGATTTGCGGGTCGATCTTCTCCACCTCACCGAAGATATAAGGCAACGTATGTTTGGCATTAGTCTTTAGTTTGCGCCACCATTTAGTAAGCGAGTAGGCCATGCGGTAGCCGTGCGTCTTAACCGCTTCAAACGTCGAAAAGTAGAAGGCAAACCCAAACAGCTCCTTGACGAACAGAAACAGGTACCCGGCAAACACCCCCACAAGCCCCACTTCCTTAAGCTTGTTGAGCCCGTACACCCACAAGTTCTCGTGTTTGCCCAGCAACAACTCCAGCGCCAGCAGCCGAGTATAAATGGCATCGATGGGAGCCGCCGCCAACGACTGGGCCATCCCCGCCAAAAACCCGGCCCGCCAGGTGTCGACGGGAGAGTATACCATGTTCGCTCGCCGAGTACGCGGGTCAAAGTGCTCTAAAGCACTAAGGTAGGTGACATAAAGGATAAGCCCCGTGGCCAGATTAGCCACTAACGGAGGGAGCACTTTTTCGGGGATAAACCGCCACCCTTCTTCCTTATACACCAGCATGAGAATGCCAAGACTCAGATGGGTACGGAACCGGTACGGTTTGTCCAACATCCCCGTATATTTGTTGGCAAGCTGGCGGACATAGGCGAGGTAATCGAAGCGCAGCGGGCGAAAGAGTTTCACCGGGGCACGGAGGTAGAGCGCCTGGAGCTGGTACACGAGCGCCCGTATACCCGCGGTCAGGGCAGACACAGCCTGGTTCGCCAGCACTTTGGCTGGGGATCCCGCTGGACTCCCGTCGGAGTCGCCGTCCATGTGGTGGGTAGATCGCAACGTGCTGTCTCACGTGATGAACGGCTACAAAAAAATGAACATTGACAGCGGAGTTTACACCAAGGGAATGACGACGAAAAAAGATAGCATAGTAGGTGGGTAAGACAAGTGATTTTACTCTTCCTTGTTTGAAAACGCAAAAAGTAATGACATCGACGTGATTCGAACACGCGCATCTTACGATAACAGAAACCCCAACCTCACAGTTGAGAAGCTATGATAAGCTTGAGTCTGCCGCCTTAGACCACTCGGCCACAATGCCAATTATGCAAAAATGTTGGAACCGCTTTTATGTACGTGATTTGATAAATTGTGCAAAAGCTTTTTCATGTATAGGCCTCGAAACAGATTCCTGAGCCACTGAAAGTAGGCATTTGTGTTTTTTGTAACGGAGAATTTGATAGTGGCTGGGTAATAGTCGTCAACGACTTATAAACGAGTGGAATCGTCACATAACCCAAGATGAAGTATAGCTTGGAGCATTGCATTCCACGTCGGTATGAAAAAAAATGCCATCTTTTAACGCGTGTTTCACGATGTACATTTAGTATTATTTCCATTTGCCCAATCCCACGCCTTGGTAAATTAGTTTTACATTTTGTCGAAATTGGTGTGTTCGTTCTTTTTTAAAATATCCGTGAATTCTGATCGTATTAGGTATAGATGAGGACTCGTCAATGGGTTGATCGATATGTAAAGCAAAGTTCATTAATCATTGGAAATCAATGGTAGTGTAGACTACACACGTTGTTTCCACAGCATTCGCAGAAAGTGACTTAACATGAAGCAGTAGTCTTATCAACGCTGGTAAACACATGACCGTTATGGTTGCTTTGGGTGCTTTCTCACTTGTAGTAGTCAATGGGGATGACAAAGCGTGGTTCGAGCTCAAACCCGCGGGCATCGGTTGTTTCTGGGGTCAAGATGTCGACGTCGTAGTCCTGTTGTTCCTGACGCTTACGGTCAAGCTCCAGATCGTCGACAATATCAAACTCGCCCTCGCCCTCCTGGTACTCAATATTTTCTTCCACTTCGACAAAGTCAGGGGCAAGCGCCAGCCATTTCTGCGGGAACGTCACCAGCCAGAGGTAGATGTGGCCCAGATCAAGCCCCGTCAGCCCGATCATGCATCGACGAAAGTTCCACTTGACGTCGACCAACTCCTCCAGGGAGCCTTCAAGAATCTTAGTGAGCGATCCCATATGAGTCTCCCATAAGTACAAGTCGTGGGACGAATTGCCAAACGACAGGGCACAAAGGAACTCCCCGTTGTGGTTGAACGCCACTGAGTTCCACTGGAGCCGGTTGACCACGTCCTGGTACTTATGTTCGACCTCAAACTCCCAGTCGTCGGGGGCAGTATTATACATGTCAGGCATGTTTATCTGGCGAATGATCCGGTCCAGCGAGTTGACAGCAAGCTTACGTCCGTTGGCCAGCACACATAACAGCTTGATGTTGCCGTTACACACTTTAAACGAGCGCACTAAATGCGGGGGTTTGCTGCCAGTTTCATCGACTTCAAATATGTTCATCCACCCTTTCAGCGTCCCTGTAAGAAGGTAGCGACCACTAGGAGTAAACGTCACCGCTAACGTCACGTGTTTCTCCGGTTTCGGTTCACTTCCCAACGGGTCAGTAGCCAACTGGTGGACCACTGGTGGCAGCGATGAAAAATCGATAAACACCGGGTCCTGGTCGATTAACGAGGCTGCCATCCACTGGTGCTCATACGGGTGCATTGTTGCCATCCATGCGGGCCCGTCAAACTTGATTTCCGCCGTCACCGCCTCGGCACCTTCAAGGGCACGCAGAAGGTCCCAGAGCTTACACCGCCAGTCACGCGCGGTACTGAGGAGATAGCGGCCACATCGCGACCACAGAAGCGACGTCACTGGTCGCACGTGGCCTCCGGTAAGGTGGGCGGCAACCCCGCCGTGGGTCAGCAAGTCGTAGATGACAATGGAGCCGTCGGTGACCCCCAGGGCGAGGTAGTCGCCATTGTGGCTAAACTGGATCACCACCAGGTGGCCTGAGGTTAACGTGTTGACATGGGTATCGGGGAACTCCTTGGCCACGGCAAACGGGTCCTGGAGGGTGAGGTTCATCGACAGCCTACCGCGTAGTTCATCAATCTACGATCGCGTCGCGGAGCGAGGACTACGCCACACAAGGTGGTATGTACAAGGCTAACGATGAATTGTGTGGATATTTTGATGAAACAAGCTGGGAATTTTGTTGTGAGAGCTCTAAGTTGAACACTTTTACTCTGTTTTTTTTTTTTTCTTTTCAGTGAAATTTGGTGAGCCCTGGTTTATGCCAAACCAAATGTCGCTAATTGTGTATTTTCGATGGATTCTTGATGAACTGAGGTAACATCAATTTATCTTGATTCTTCGTACACTGGGACTTGACATACAATATTTAAGCATTGCGCTGCAGACAATCCTGACCTCAGTTGACTTGATATTCCAAGTACACATTACAAAGTCAGTGGCAGATTTGTCATTTAATTCTGATTTCTAAAGATTGAAAAGTAAATCTACCTATCAATTGAAGAGATGTGTCTAAGTCAAACTCATGTTACTGTAAATGCGTGTATTATCGTTAAGCCGAGGCCTTCAAGTCGTTATCGTCGGGGCGGTAGTTGTCGAGGACGATACGGTAGATGAACGACGGGGCAAACCCGCCCAAGTTGGTGATGTAGATATCGATGTTATCCGGAGGCACGTAGTCGGTCAACGGGTTGCCCACAGCAGCGACGCTATCGACCAATTGCGACTCGGAGTACAGCAACACCTTACCGGCGTTACCCATTTCAATCAAGTCCATCAGGTTATACGGGTACACCGGCGACAACTTGTACAGCCCTGCCACCGCGCACACGGGGGTCTTGAACTCCTTGGCACACTCGACGATGTAGCCGACGCCGGCGTTCAGCAAGCACCCGCCGTTGGCACACACCCCCAGCGCCCCGATAATCACTTTACCCACCCGCAGCATCACCGCGTAGATGGTGGTGTCGGCGATAAGCACGGTGTCGATGTCGTGGGCCCCCAACTGCTTGACGAAGGCGTGGGCGGCCTGGGTGTGGTTGGGGTAGTTTTCCGGGACGAGCACGGTGAACTTCCGCTTCAGGCGGGCCTTGATGAGGAACTTGAGGATGATTTCCAGCGTCGGTGTCGGTACCAAAAGCGTCTCGTTGTCGTGGATCATTTCCGTCAGCATCGGCTCGATCAGGGCGTAGACGTTGGTGATTTCGTTATCAATAAGCTCTCTGATCCCCTGGATGATCACCTGACGCAAATCGGAGGCCTTACTCTTCAGCATCGCCTCGTGAGTGCCGGTTTTGTGGGTACTCAACAACGAGAACATCAGCAGCACCATCGGGTCCTTATCGTGGGCATCGGAATCGGTTTCCTCGCGGATGATGGCCAACACTCGCCGCACGATATTCCCCGGGATCAAGTCCCGCGGCTGGGCCCGTTCAAACACGACGCCGACCTCTCTGATCACCGCGATGAGTTCGCTGGGGTAGGTCCACCGCACCGTCGAGATCACCTTCATGAGCATCTGGGCCACCGCGAGCGCCGTCGCCCGGCCGCCCTGGATCTGCTGCCGCTTGAGCGACGCCACCACGGGCTCGACGTGGTTGAGCACTTCTGGAGATAGCATAGGGGTTCAGTGGGCGCGCGACTGGCACGTATATTGGTGCGAGAAATCTATTATGGCAAAATGCATATCATGAAACAAAACAACAGCAAAACTAGCAGTGTACAGTGATTTTATTGTAGTATCAAGCGTTGCCATGGCCCTCTTCGTAAATTACAATATTCATGAAAGTTAATGTAATGTATGTCACATAAAGATAGAATCAAAACGAAACTAAGAGTATAGTGAAGAGAATAGTATGCTGATTGAGGTCGGATACCGTGACGATATCCAACACTTGCTAGAAGCGTCTGTTCAAATACAATGAGTCTAGATTTATCTTGCGACCAGTGGGACACTGATGACATTTGTGGTTTTCAATTGACATTTGAATTGAACTGGTTAGTGGACTCATCAGTTGAGAAGTAGATGATAACTATTTCAGAGATGATTCCTGCTCCTTTTTCTAAAAGTATTGTATTCTTTTCATATTAGAAGTACCACGGTTTAAGCCATGAACCCAAGCTCCCAGCAAATCGACCAGCACTACTAAAAGCAGCTTCTTGACCTACACAATCAAAATACTACCCCTAACACTCTGATACGTTTTATGCCCACCTGCTACAGTGCTTGGCCACTTTTCGCAATCGTCCTAAACCTGGCGTCGCGCGCACTAGCTATAGCTATTTCCCAGTTGACGACGCTAGGGAAAGTCTAGACACCAACCCCCAGTATGAGTCAGCAATTGAAGTTGAATTAGGGGATGATGAGGGGGGATTTTTCCTCCTCAAACCACCTCTCGCGAATTGACCATGGCCGGTCCTTCTGTGGACAACAGAACTGTGAGTAGTTTCCCGGCGGCTAAACGTCGTAAATGCGATAGCCAAAAGCTCCAAAAGTTGCCCCCTGCTAAATTTGAAGATCTCCCCACTCGTGGAATTAAAGATATTCTCTAGTTCGCCGGTTGAGGATGTTCCGCACCAGCTTACGGTGTTTGAGTATCAGGATTGCCTATATACGGACCGTCAAGATGTCTCGGTCAGATCGCCGACGCTCAAACGTTTGCTGATCGGATATGCAAGAAGGTTAACTGTCGATTGACCCCACCTTGAGGAGTTGGATTTGAAGTACATCAAGAGTATTGTCGAATGTAACACTCCCGCAGTACTTAAGTTGTGTTTAAGCGATTCCTTTCCCTTTCGGCCCCCCTTCCCCTTCCCCTTTGAAACGTTACTTAACCTTCGTCATTTGCATTTACTGTTTCACGGGAACGATTCGTATTGTGGACATATCACTATACAAAGCCTTAAATCCGTTACTCTCGAAGGGGTGAAATTGCACCTGACAAATTTGTCAGCGGACGAGGTATCTTTAATAGATTGTTCGTTTCTTTCTATTGGAAAACCCACTATCAAGGCAAGAGTGTTTACCGCACAAAGAACCGACTTCAGAAATGGCATCATCACTTGTCAGGAGTTAACTTGCGATACTATTGAACGAATCCCCAGATCGGTAGAAAGAGTACGCTTGGAACAGTTGCCCTTGGACCCCCGTCTTTTATTCTGGGGCTGTAACAAGCTCACGTCGGTTTCCATCAACTCCGCAGAAACTGTGGGCGATGAGCTTGTTATCCCCACATCGGTGGTACAACTCGAAGTGACAAAATTCAGATTCAAAGGCACCAAAAAGTTCAAGAAGCCACGAAAGCTCGAATTTTTCCTGTGGGGGGACACTGTATCCAAACTGCAGCGTATTGACCCCCCGCCAAAAGGTATCACCGACAAATTTGAATGAATTGGGCCCAAGTTGAGGTGCCGTCCCGACAAGTTGAAATTACGGAGACCATTTGGCACTCATTTTGAAAAATGACAGCACCCCACATTTTGGGGCGTAAGCCTTACTTTTAGTCACCCCCTCCAATCTAATGAATACGAAATGAGATCAAATAGTAGTAGTCACTTTATGTCATAATGAATTTTAACTTAGATAGATTCCCGTCTCCTGTAGTACTGCTTCACGGGATATTATCTTTTGTTCTTTTCGCACGGCTGAATCGACACTGATTAAGAATTTCGTATATCTACTGGTAAACAAATGTTCTTCATACTACTATGATAATTCTTATCAATTAAGGAAAATAGGCAACATGTATCTTATACGGGATTTGAAACCAATTAAGGCAATGCGGCTTGATTGCCTCGTCAGTTGACCTCGACGAATAATCGACAGAGTTCTCTAGACCTGTTGGCAAAGAATCAACTGGTCTATCATTTCACTAGCTGTTGATCTATTTTTAGTGACACAGCTACAGAGTGGATGGACAGAGTGAAAGGTGCAATCTGTGTAGACATATATACACACGCCACACCAGTGCAGAGGACACGCCTACACTGTACTCGGGAGGCGGGTGGGGTGACTCCCAACTATATAAACCCCCTTAGAGTCCATCCACTATTTCTCAACAATCACAATCACAAATTCAACCATGTTCTCCACTCACTTGAAGACCTACCCCATTGTCACCGCCACCCAAGACTTGGCGATGAAAGTTCCCGGGGTGAAGCCGGCCCGCGACTACGTCAAGCCCCACGTCGAGTGGGTGAGATCGACGGAGCCGATGAAGCTGGTGCTTGACGCGGCTGACTCCGTCGCCAATCGTGCTCTTGACGGGCTCGACTGGACGGTGGCGTGGGTGGTTCCCAAGGCGGAAGTGAAGGTCGACGTTAAGCCTACCGTTCAAGCTACCGCCGCCGCCACCACTCCCACCGAAGCCTAGCTAGCTACTTAATATATTTATATTGCCATTTCTACTATTTTAATTTCACTAACATCGACCATTACCATTTAAACTGGTCTCTCTAAATCTTCCTGAAATATTCCAAAAAAATTACTCAGGACTCTCTAATCAAATTTAACCTAGCTTAAAACATGTTACCAATTTCAAATTTCATTTCCACCTTGCTTCATCAATATTCTATCAATAATTTTCACTTCCATCCATACTTGTATCAGTGTTATCGGCGCGAACTTTTCATCGCGACCATGGGTGTGCTCGAGGACCTTCGGAAGGTGACGGCTGCCGGCGGCACCCTCACGTTCTACCGCGACAACGAGCCTGTCGACGGGATCAAAGACGCCACCGACGTCGACATCGGCGGCACCAAACATCCACTCGACGCCACCACCAACTTCTACAACGACGACGCCCCGCAGCTGCTCCGAGCAGTGGTGTTCTGCTGGCTCCACAACGACGCCCTGATTGTCGACTATAAGAACGCCTGTGCCGAATTGGGAATCCCTGATTTCAAGTTCTTGGTGAAGACTGAGCTTGCTACCTACTTACTGGGGAAGCTGGACGCCTGTGCCTTTATTAAGGAAGATGCTGCCGATACTACCGGTAAAACCGACCAATTGCGTGATCCTCAGCTCGAGAGGATATTGGCCAACGAACGGGAGCTGGTCGACCATAATCAGGCGCTTAGGGGGCTGAAAAACATCGACTTTGGCTACCTCATTTCCGACGCTAAAAAGTTCGCTAAACTGTTGAAACGGGCGAAACCTCAGCTGGCACCCACCAACGGCAAGCGCTCCAAATCAAACTTGAAACCTCCTATCATCATCGTGTCCCCCGCCACCACCGCCTTGCTCCAACTCTCTAACGTTAAGGCTTTCCTTGAAGATGGCGCCTTCGTCGAACCAGGCCACCGTCCCGATACCAACCTCATCATGGTGTCCCACCCGCTGGAACACCTCGTGTCGGCGGCCCACAAGATCATGGTGGTGGATAATGTTGATCTCTTCACCAAACCCGAATACTGGGACCGCGTATGTGCTATATTCACTACAGGTCAGGCGTGGCAATTCTCCAAATATAAATACGCTCAGCCAGAACAGCTTTTCCAGCACTATCCTGGATTCCATCTCGGCTACCTGGGGGAACCGGCACCAGCGGCGCTTGCCTCGTGGAACGTTCGCGAAATCAAAGTTGATCGCGGAGATAAACGGTTCCGGGATAAGATGATCGTGCGAGACTTCTGGTCCGACTTGGAGAAGATCCTCATCGCCCGCGGCTACGGCAAGTAAGGCATAAATTTCAAGCCATGAGTATAACGATATGTGTAATTAATATGTACAGGTACACCTTTTTTTTCTTCGGTTACTGGTAGGTGCTTTCGAGTTGTTAGCTTATTGGTAGTTGCTTTCGAGTTGTTGGAACATGGCGTACACTTCGTCGGCCAGCTTATTTTCCACTTTTCTCGAGTCTCGGCTGCGGATGGCGACGGTGCCGTTGGCAATATCCTTATCCCCAATCAAGAGGATATAGGAGTATCCCTTTTGCACTGCTTCTTTTATTCTCGACCCGATGGTGTCACTACGTTTATCGACATCAACGTAAAAGTGGTGGCCAGTCATCGGGGCGAGATCGGCTTCATTCGACACAATGTCACCACTGAGACGTTGCTGAAGCTTCTCAGCGGCTTCGATGTGCGATTCGTTCACCGGGAGAATCACCGCTTGGCGAGGGTTGAGCCAGAATGGCCACTTACCTTGGTAATGGTCAAGTAAGATGGCAAAGAACCGTTCAAGCGAACCAAACACGGCCCGGTGAATGAGGATCGGCTGGTGGTTATGGTTACCGTCTTCTCCGACATACTTAAGGTTGAATCTTTGAGGTAATTGGAAGTCTAATTGGATTGTCCCCACTTGGTGCTTTTTACCGAAAGCATCGGCTAAAAGCACATCGATCTTGGGTCCATAGAAAGCCCCATCACCTGGACGTTCTTGCCACTGACCTTGTTTGTCCAATACCGCTGCCAATTGACGCTCAGCGTCGTCCCAGGTAGCAACATCGCCGATATACTTTTCCGGGCGAGTAGACAAAAAGTACTCGATCTGGTCGATGCCAAACACTTTATAGGTATCCTTGATAAGTTTCAAGGTGTTTTCAATCTCGCTTTCAATCTGAGGCATGTCACAGAAGATATGGCCGTCGTCCTGGTGGAAACGGCGCACCCTGGTAAGCCCTGAAAGCGCCCCCAGCGCCTCGTTGCGGTGTAACAGCGAGAAGTCGCTGAAACGAACGGGTAAATCGTTATACGACCGCTCAAACTTATCGAAAATCATACAGTGGCCGGGACAGTTCATTGGTTTGAGCCCATACTCGTGGAGGCCATCGTCTTTCAGCAGGTCATGGCCTACCACCTTAAACATGTCGTCGCGGTAGTTTTCCCAGTGGCCCAGCTGTTGGTAGAGCTTAGTCTTGTAGATGAGCGGGGTGATCACCTCGTGAAAGCCGTAGCGGGTCTGCTGGTGCTTCATGAACTGGACGAGCTTGTTGAAGATCCGGGTGCCGTGCGGGAGGAAGAACACCAGTCCCGGCGTGATCGGGTCCGTGGTATACAACTGCTGTTTGGTGGAGATGGCATGGGCCTGGTTGGTGGCCAGATCGACGCTGTACCAGCGTAGTCCTCGAGGGATCAACCGGGGTCTCATCGCGTACTATGGCGGAGAAGGCCTCAACGATAACGCGGGCGGCCCCGACATGGGGGGTGGTGACGACATCACCGACACAACCCCGATTAGATTGAATTGATGACGGGAAATACAAGGCATACAAGTATAGCCGGGAACGGCATTACGGGAGCTTAAATGCAATGGAACATGGTATGTTGGGGACTACTTACCTTTAGCCCGACAATTATTGCGAACGTCGAGACGAACACAAGAATTGAAACGATCGACATTAAAACCTTAGAAAGAGAAAAACTAGACGATATAGGAAAGTTATCTACTCAATTTCGGGTTAGCTTCAATTTATGGTTTAGTTCAAGGTGGTAGTTCCAATTGGTCTTGTCTCAGTGGCGGTCTCCATGAATACAAGGTGGCTACACAGCTACACAGAACGATGCACTCGCCGTAGAGAAAACGTGGGGACACTCTAACCCCTAAATCAGTGTTGTCCGATGGGAATTACGGGTGGGACTATAAGCCTGAACTAATGCAGGTCACCGTATACTAGTACTTCGTAGCCGCACGGAACCATGTTGGTAAAAGTAGCCAAAACCACACAATTCGGGGAGTAATAAAGTCAATGAATAAATGTTTAGCAAATGCTTCACGTTCACCTCTATTGGCAATCATTTACTTCTCGTATTTGCATCCCTTAAAGGCATTAGTCAAGATGTTATATGGCGTGAAAATGCCCAGCCTTTCTGCAATGTATTTCGCCAGTTTCCAGTCTATAAGGACGTGCCAGTGGACTATTGAGACCATCCTAAGGCTGTAGACTTTCATTCAGTTTTATCTCCAGATTGGTAGTGTCCCAGTTCTATCAGTTTATCTCGTAGATCATCATATCACCTTAAGAGCTGACTCTTTTAACGAACGAGAACTTCGAAGTTTACGACACATTTGAAGGACGCAACAACCAGTGGGGTTGTACAATACACATGTGCAATTGAGGAGAAAGGATAGTTCCCACGTGTTTAAGGAATCAAGTAGGAATAGGTGGTCTCTTTCCACCAAAGTTCTTCATCAAACTCAAAACAAGTTTCCACTCTCACGGTAACCCCATCGGTAACTGCTGGAAGACCGGGCTCGACGACTGTGACCTGTGGGAGGACATTTACTGGGCCTCGGGCTGGGGTTAATGCAAGTACTCTTAGTTATTAGATTTAGTATGTTAGTAAGAATAAATATACAAAACCTAAATCGTTTGTAGTACACTGTTTAGAGCTCCACGACTCGTGAGCAGCGATTTGAAGGAACAACTGATACTATTCGATTGTATATCATGATTTTGTGCATTTCAGTAGGTACCAGTGATTTACTTTAGTGTACATCTTTTGCTCGGTAAAATAGTTACCTCGAAAAAGATTTTCAATATGCTAAAGAGATTTACAGGTTTCATTCAAAAGCAAGCTGCCGCTAGTCATACTTTTCCATGAGCCTAAACAGCCATCATAGAATGAAAAGAGGCCCACCCAAATCCAAGATAAATGACTGTTTGATATCATGGTGCACATGAAATATCTAGGCAAGAAAGATCTGAACACAACGAGCCGATTAATGCGAGAGGCACGTGAGCCCTTCTACCAATTGACTAGAAACACAGTGAATTTCAAGGGCCTGTCTTTGGCCATTACACCACCTCCATGCTAGTTGCACTCCAAATGCAATACTACAATGTACGTGAATAGTTTCCATCCCCCCTGCGGGGAGACCTAACTTTTATTATTACGTACGTCTATGTAGTTCATTATGGCCACCGATTGCCAGATCGGACATCCAATTGAGGGGATCTCCCTTGATCGAGTCTTTGAGCTCAAGCCAATTCGACATCCATGCAATAGTATCGCCATATCCGATCGTAAGAAGTTAGTTCGAAGGGGTGTTTCTTCCAACACGTCACCTTCAAGGGGCGTTTTTCCGACAAGGCATCTCGGAGGGGCGTGATTCCGTGAAGTTGGGGTCTTCTTTTGCAGACGCTGTAGGCAGGAGTCGAGTTAGTCAAAGTTAGTAGCCCTCGTTATATCCAGTTGTCTTCATCGATGGTTTAACAGTGCGAATTGATGGTGTAAGGCATCAGTGATAGCTTGGTGGAAGTGGTTTTGGGTGATACCCTAATACCAGCGAGATGCGAGTATTTATATCAAATGGGACAAGCAGCCCTGCTCGTCAGCCGACGACAGTTTAGGGGGCTGTTACCCGGCCTTCACACAATGGATCCTGAACATAAGCTGGGGCGGAGTCAATCGGAACACGCTCCCCGCATTCTCGCCATTGTCGCCCTGAGTCAGTCCACCACTCTGAGCACCATGCGTCTGTGGCAATCTCGAAAACGACGATCGAAGATCTTCTATGCATCTAGCCATAACCACCCCAAAGAGATTTTGACGTATTTTCCCTTTAAGGTTTTTGCCTTTGAACCTGTAGGAGTACCATGACATAGTGTAGGCGGCGGAGCTCAGGAAAATCCCTCAACGCACATCGTCGTCAACGCAATGCTGGCTGTAATTCCCTTTTGGTAAGGGCCAGACCTCAATGACAACCATTGAGGCGCTCTTCTCGCAGGTGCTCTTGACGACGGGGGTCACGGCCCCACGAACAATGACTCAGTAGATTAGTTTGGTGAATAATGTGCATAGCCATTCAACCAGTCAGCAAACAATTGAGGCAGGCTTTCGGAGCCCATTTCACTTCACTTCACTCATTCTTTGTGGAAGGCGACGAGATATGACTTTAGTGCGAGTCGATCGTCTAAAGAAAATAGTAAACAAAGCGCGCGCTTGGCACGGCTGATGCGCACTCGGAGTTCAGGTAGCAAAACGATAACGGGATATTTTCATTGGCTACAACATGAGCTATTACAGAGGTAATTTGGTGGGCAAATGATAAGCAGTCCTTTTTTTGAAAAAAGGATATGATACAGTTTAGCTGGGTTGGGTGTGTATCACGTGATGTTGATGGTGTCAAGCGGACTTAGCTTGTCATTGTCAAAGCCGAGCTGGGTGGTTATTCTTAAAATAAATGTTTGATAATCAGTCTTCTGCTGGAAATAGAACAACTATCGATTAAACATTGTTGGGTTCTACAAGCAGGTTCTGTTTATTCTAGAAGTCATGGGAAATTCCAATTTCGAGATGAGGGATCATCGTACCATTAAATACCTGCTGAATCGGTCCATCAATCGCGTGTATGGTGCAGGGACTACGAAGATTTATAGCTTGGCGAAATAGAGGACTCGACGGGGGTACCCAGTCCTTAATCTAAGATTACACATTAACTTTGACACAAATCCAGGCCATAGAGTCTGAAGGTTTTGAGCTCACGAAAAATCAGCAGAATATCTAAATCATTTAGTAATGAGAAGTGACCACCCGCGATGCCTACACACGGTTATGGATTTTGAAGCCATTTAACCTAAATGCATCCCCACAGCCTCTTCGCGAGGGTTTTACAATGATTTCAAGACTCTGACAGATAGTCGTTATCATGATTTCTTGAACCACATTATATGTCTCCCCCTGGACTATATGCAGGCATAGCATCGCGCATATATGAGTGGCGATCGCCACCGTACAGATTTTGCAACGAAACGGCATTCTTCAAAAGTTTACCGAAACTAACGGATTTACGGTTAGTTTGAACATCGAAGAACGCTTGTTTTGAACATGGTGAGAGACACCGCTGTCACCCAGGCAGCACTGGTTTCGAAAGATGGCATTCTTTCCGAAGATGTGATGGTTTTGCTTGCATTCTTTGCACTTTTTGCCGTCATCGTCTATGGATTCTACAGATTCGTTGTCTTTGTCGAATGGATCTTTGAAATGATTGTGTCGGTGATCCACCAAGTTTTCTTCCAAGAGGAGCAGAAAAGCTCTATTCCCAAAAAACGGAACCGTCGGAGATCACCTAAGCCCGAGGCTGTGCAACAAAAAACTGAAAAAGCAGATGAAAAACAGAATGAACAGGAGGCTAGAAAACAGGCAATCAAGCAGCGGTCGCTCGACCAGCGGGGACTGCCGGTCAATCCTGCCCTTGTTGGCAACGCTGGTTACGCCGCCCGCAACCACACTTACCGAAAGATGAAGAATTTTCCTATTCCCAAGGATAAACGAGATGTCCAGGTGTATACTGGTCTCGTGGCCTGGATGCAACAGATGGTGCCCAACTTTGCCGAGCACGCCGTGCCTCTCACCGATCTTCTCAAAGCCAATAGACCGTTTAAGTGGACTCCTGAGTGTCAGGCTGCTTTCGATCAGCTTAAGAAGGACGTGTTTGACAGTCGCCCGTTGGAGGAATTCGACGAGAATGCTCCTTTGAACATTCACGTGCGGGCAACCGATGTTTCCGTATCGTCGGCGGTATTGCAATTGGGAAAAGATCACGAGTGGAGACCCATTGAGTACAATGGGCAGAAGCTCCAAATGTACGAAAAGGACTGGGATGAGACGACAAAAAATCTCTATGCTATTCTCATAGCGACTCGTAAGCACAGAAAGTTACTTGGTAACAAGCGTTTCGTCGTCTCCACCACCAACAGAATCATGTCTTCTTTAGTTGAATACCGTCACGACCGTGCGAAGGAAGTTCGAGACTTGAACGAATTATTCCCTCAGTGGTTGATGGAACTCAGGCCGCTCGACTTCGATGTCGAAGTGGTTGATAAAGTTCACTTGGACAAATAATCATATTTTTCAGCTTTCAAAGGTGGAATTGCACTCTTTGAATCGTCTATAACTATCCCGTGTTCTCCTAAATAAAAACTCAACAATGCCAATTACTTTTAAGAGTTTTTCTCGTTAATTGTTTATTCCATGCTTAATATGGTACAGTGGCTTTTTAGGTGAGGTGGTTCCCGACCAGGGGCCCGTAGTCTCTCTGTAGTATTCGTAATGTGTCGTTTTAGGCTTCCGTCTAGGCTTCCGTCTAGGCTTCCGTCTAGGCTTCCGTCTAGGCTTCCGTCTAGGCTTCCGATAAAAGCTCGGGTGTCGCTGTGGCCTCGTCGAGGACATCGTCGAGAGCATCAGTGTCTGGCTTCACCTTGATCCCAGCGGGCGGGGGGGTTTTGCTTTCGGTTCCGTAGTCCAACACTACTACGGTATAACCTGTAAACGTCCTAAACTTGCGGGGCTGCTTCACCCACTTGCGGCACGGCTTCCCCGTCTTATCGAGCTGGGCCGCCGTCACCGTGTTCATCGTCAAACCGGCGGTGGAGTCACCTTTGATCCCCTGGTTGATCTTGAAACTGGAAAGGGTCGCCTTATCTTGACTGTCGGTGGCGGGGGAGTTCTGTTTCTGGTTGTTGCCGTTGGCGGCGGCGGCGGCGGCGGCGGCCCGTTCGGCGGCTAGTCTTCGGAGACGGGTCTTCTGACTCGGTATATGGGGCAAGGTCTTGAGGAAGTCCTTGGAAAGCTGGAGCTTGACCATGTACCGTCGCGGAGGCATGGCGGGGGGTAGTGGTCGACGATGGCGGGCGAGGGGCTCTCGATACACCGCGACCGATGAGACCACCACAACACGGTCAGCAGAGGAGAAGAGGAGGCATAAATGAAAGTGTAGGCATCTACTAATTATGAATTCTGGATAGAGTAAGCTTTATGGTCACAGATAAGTCGTGTAAGTACCCTGGATGACGCGAAGTGTACTCTGGACCTCGTTGGTGTGATTAGTATGGGTGCAAAAATACAACGCACTTCTGTAATGATATCTAAATTAGGAAAATGACAACTGGTTTGAGTCTAGTCGACGATTGCATATCTGACTTTCACTAAACTTTTGGTCTATAAGTGAATGGCATCTATGACTCTTTTAAATTCAACGCGTACTTGCGATCTATAAACTACAATTTTCAATCCGTTATTTTTCATTGTTGGTTTACTGACAATTAAATTAAATTCGTAGAAAATCGGTAATCTCGATGGTAATCTTGATGGTAATCTTGATGGTAGTTCCAATCAGTAGCGCCGCATGTACCGGGTCTGATGGGCGAAAAGGTCGAGCTTGTCCAAAACATAATCGCGCGATATAATGACACAATCAAGCTTTTTTCCGTTTTCATCATTGAGGTGCTCGTCGTCAAACAAGAGTGCAACGCCCCATTTGACCTCCACGTTGACATTGCGAGTGCCTCTGAGGAGGGTTGGCTCAGAACACAATCTCATCATCTTCTTGTAGAGAAAGTACTTATCACGATATCCATAATCCTGATAGAGTTTTTTGATGTATCGTTTGGTGGCACTCAAATCCCTTTGGCTCTCGAAAAGATCCAAGGTAATTTTATAGTGGTGGTCATTCCATTCTTCCTTATCCTCGTCGTATTGGTTGAGGTGTCTCTCCAAAGCGGCCGCCTGCTTCGAAATCGGCCCCTTCGCCTTCCACCCAAGCGTATACTGTACGGGGATAGCTTTTTTTAGGAAATACCAGGCGATGTTGTATCTCATATTACAATACTCATTGTCGGTGAGAAGATCCTTGTACGCGTAGAACCAGCTAGCCCATTCGGGGGCGTTGCCGGTGGTTCGTTTCGGCTTGGAACTGTTGATCTTATCGTAAATTTTCCGCTTACTCTCCTGATCATAGTCACTCAAGTCGCCAGATTTAATCTTTGCTTCGAGATTGCTGCCCAAAAAAGACAATTCTTCAGGTTCTTCTTTAGGAAATGGTTTTCGGGGATGACTTGGTCGCTGTGACTGTGGCTTGGCTGGTGGTGCTGTCGCCTTCTCGACCGCCTTGGCCTCTTTAACTGACGATACTTGATCAAGGCGAAGTACAAGCAGCTCCAACGTGGATTGTGTGGTATCAATATCACTGGCAAGGGTTCCAATTTTGACGGTAAAGGGATCAAATTTGGTGGAGACGGTCTCATTTTTACTGTCCAACTTGTCAACACTTCCTGTAATTGTATCAATGGTTTTCGTCACCTTATCAACCTTTCCATCGACTTGTCCCGGATGCCATGTGAGAAATCTGATTCCACCACTCTCATAGGAGCTTTGAAGTCCCACCATTCTCGTATTCTTCTCGAGGGTACCCAATTGAGTAGTGGCGGTGTCGACGTTGTATTTCAACTTAACCACGTCGTATGCGAGCTTGTCAATTGATGATTGGTGACGGCTGGCCTCGTAGCCTGTAAGCCATGGTTCATAAAGTAACGCAGTGGTGTCTGTAGAATCCTTCATAGAGGGTTATAATGGAATTCGAGTTTCTTTGAGAAAGGGGTAAATTGGATCGGTGCTTTGAGCCCCTTGCGATAAGGTATATACCCACCTAAAGGGTCAGCGCTATCAAACACACGCTAAAATAGAGAGCTTGGACAACATTTGAGTGTAGTTTTCCTAACGTGTAATTTATAAGTCTACTTTTTGATTATCGTAGGGTTGTCAATCATGCATTATGTACACGTTGGGAAACGTGCATGTTCCATCAGTTAGCTCTGTTATCCCGAATGTTATTTCCGTCTCAATAATCCAAGGTCGCTAACAACTCAATCTTCTATCAAATTATCGAAGCCTCCAATTCCAATAAAATTAAGTACACGCCACACTTGGCATGCCTAATTTGTTGCCACCCCTAAATCGCACTGTGGCTACCTACCACTACATGACTGACAGCACCTCAATAAACTCGAGGCCCCTGCTTCCCATCGAGCTGTCGCTGTACGAGCTGCTCCCGCCACCGGTCATCAAACTCCCGACACGCCTCGACACGCTTTCCGATGGCCTTAAGCTCGATGTCCGGGCCCACCAGCGCACTTACGAAGGAGCGTATACCCGCACCGCTATCGGCGCCCTCCTGTTTGCCATCGTCATCATCAAGCTCTTTCTGAAGGAGTTTTTACCCATAGGAGCGGTATACACCGCCTACGCTTTATTTCTATACTTTGCTGGCTTACACAAGAGCCGCCAGGTCGACTTCTACTATAACCCCGATAAGGATAAGGAGTACTTTGTCACGCTGGGGTGGCTGGTGATGCTCCTCACTGCGCTCAGTTTCGCTGCCTACTTGGCTCTATTTGCGCTTGTGCTCACTATGTAATCCTCTAGAAGAGGAGTCTATGTCGTGGTGGGCCGAGCCTGTCGGTTATCCACACTGGGGGGGGATCAGGCGACCATGCCGATGCCGATGATGAACATCTGCATGAGCACCTGGAGCGTCCAGAAGCCCACCTTGCGCATGCGGACAAGGCGGGCCTGTTCGTCGGCGACGTAGTCGACGAAGTTGTCATATACTTCTTCGGAGATGTCGTCCATTAAAAGGGAGTCGTACACCGTCCACAGCCCGTCGAAGTCGGCCAAGTTCTTGATGATGCGGTTCTTGACCTCGATCACGGTGTTCTTCAGGTTGATGTAGCCGACGATCGGCCGCACGAGGGCGTAGTTGATGTAGCTGAGCTCGGGCAGTTTAAACGGCACCTTGGCGCGGACGTGGTTGAGCCTGATGGTGAGGTCGAGGACGAAATATTTGGTGATGTCGGTGCAGTCGGCACTCGTCAAACGGGTGTGGAGCAGGCCGTGCGCCGGCTCTTTGACCTCGGGGTTTTTATAGCGGGTAGCTTCTTTTTTAATCAGATGAGCAATCATTTGCACCACGTCGCCCACGTTCAAATTGGCCTCGTCTCGCGGAACCATGACGTCGCCAATCATGTCGACTTTGCCCAGCGTGATCCAGCCAAAGGGACCTTCCATGCCGGCGTTTAAATGGTCGATATTGAGCTTATCGACGCGACAGCGCGTGATCCGCTTCCATTTCAGCTCGTCTTCATCGTCAGAAAGTCTCTGCTTTTTGTGCACGGTGAAAAGCGAGTTGTCGTAAGCCCCCAGCACCAGGTCGGCGTTGAGGAAGTCGTAGAAGAGCCAGTGCTTGCGGAGCTTCAGAAGCTCACAGGTATAGATGGCGACGTCAAACGGACGGAACCCGTTCGGCTGCAAAAGCGTAAAGAGCACGTCCGTCATGCTGAACTTGTCGAACTCAAAGTCGCCGGGTTGGTAGACATTCTTATAGTTGGTAGCGTCGTCGTCAGGGTCCCAGTGGACGTGAGTACGATCTACCACTCCCCTGAGCCCTTTAATCTCCAATGTCTCGACAATGCCAGTCCCATTGATCCATTTTTTAAGCGAAAGCAGCACGTTGACCTCCTCCATCGTCAAATCAAACTGGGTGTAGTTGCCGTCGTCCTCGTACTCAATGTCGTCCTTTTTCACCAACAGGTCCTCGACGGCCTGCTGCTGGGACCCCTTGATGAAGTGCTTGCGGCGGTTGACGGGGCGGGGCCGTCTCAGCACGAAACACTTGCGGAAACTGATCTTGCCGTCGCGCCACCCGGGGACGATCGCGTTCTCGAAGGTGACGTCCAACTTCGAGTTTTTGGTGATGAACTCGCCCAACTTGCGGGCAACAAACTCCTGAGCCAACACGGTGTTGGCGGTGAAGATGACAAGCAGGAAAAACGTCGTGGTGGCGAGACAGAAGAGGAGGACGTTCCCCATCATGAGCCACAGGAAAAACGTCGTGTAGTCATCCGTATTATAGGGTTTGTTCCCCTTTTTCAAGTACCAGCGTATCTTGGCCCTTATCCTCAGGATAAACGAGTTGGCCTGGGCCATAAGTTGCTCTTTAGTCGGTCGGGGTGTAGGTGGCGGTTTAGCCTCAACGGTAGAGTTAGCCGCATGGAGTTTTGGTGGTGGGGGTATTTTGACCTCGCTCTTCCCGGTGGTATCGTCATTCGGTAATTTGGAGGTTTGGTTCGGCGGCAATTTGTCCCTTGGGGTGTGGCTGCAAATACACGATCCGCTCATCCACCTCATTCCCACCACCGGAATCGCTGGCGGGTGTCGTAGTACCATCGGCGGCCTCCGAAATAAGGGGGTTATCATCGGACTCACCCGGGATAACCCCCGCAACGCGTACTTGGCGGCCACGGTCATACGGAGAAGCAACGCTAGAGATTTACTCCGATGCGCGCACCTGGTGAGGATGAGGCTTGTGCCACCCAGCGATGTGTGCGGGACTAAGGAAATATTCGTCGGCGTTTGGAAAATATATGGAGAAAGGCTATACTGAACCAGCTATCGGCAAAATTAGCATTGTCTCTCACTACTACCCACGTCTGTTTAGGAGGAGTTACAATATCCACCTGTTCAGTCCACTCGTATAAGTATAGAAACTTATACAAGCATTTAGATCGTCTGTTTTGTTGCGTAATGTATTATGATTAAGATTAGAGAGTTACGACTCTGGAGACGGGATATGGGAACACTAATTGGGCCCTGGACTTATTTTCTGAGACTTAAGCCTGGAGCCGTTTATTGGCGTGTGGGGAATCATGACGATGAGGGTAATGCAGAGGGTGAGGGATTAAAGTGGGATTGTTAACCCACCAACACCCAGATCAAGAAGAAGAGGATCAACACGCCAAAGATCTTAAGGAAAAGCCACCGGTTATTGGTGATGTGGGCGTAGTACTTAAGCAACTCCCTTTGGGCCCCCTGGATGTTTAAGTTGATGTCCTCGACGTTCTCGTCGATCCGCTGGATCTGCTCTCCTTGTTCGTTGACCATCGTCGCCAATTGTTGGAATAAATTGCCCACCTCGTTGATCGTCAGCTCAATCGTCTCCACTGCCCGCAGCCGTTCCTGGAGGTAGGCGCCCTGCTGCTCCTCCATTAAGAGCAACTGCTGCTGTTGGTTGGGGAGCAGCAACACCTCGTCGGCAGGGTCATCGTACAGCATGTAGGGGTTTTCCAGTAAATGGATACCGGCGGCTTTGGACCCCACGGGGTCTAAAGGAGACTGGGTGCGGGTGGAATTGACGGTGGAGGTAGCACTGAGGAAGTTTTCCTGGCGGGTCTTGCTGGCAATCTCGTTTTTCTGGCGGATCTCAAGCACCGTCTTAAACTCGCCCAGCACCGACTTCATCTTGGTATTGAGCAAGTTAACGACGTTTTTCAGGAACTGCAGCGTCTGGGTGTCGACCTGGATCAGAGTATCGCCCTTCATCACTTTCTGGAGCGTCTGGATGTTATTTTCGATTTTAAAGATCTCCTGTTTGATGACATAAGTCAACTCGCCAATCTCGACGGGTTTGTCGTCAAACAACGGCTTCCGCTTCGCCAAGAGGGCAAGCTTGCCCAATAAGTCGGTGACATGCAGGATATCTCTGGCGATGACCAGGGCCTGTTGAGAGAACGGCAGGCGCTTCGCCGGTTGGCTCTTTGAGGCCTGGGTGGCGTGATTTCGCTTGTTGATCTTATCGTACAGCGCCACGCACTGCTGGAATTCGTAGGTGCGGTTCTGTATGGTATCAGTCATCTCCTCCGCAGTAGTTGTGTGTGTGTGTTTTGGATGGTGAAAGGGGGGGTGGTGGTAGGGTACGTGGAAGACTCCGACTGTGAGTGCGATTGAGAAACGCGTACAAGGGGGCGCGAAAAAAAAAGACACCTGTTCGAAGTGTGAGGGCACGTAATCACAGTCATCAAAGGCTGCAAAAAGACTACGACTACCAATGATTATAAGTAAATTCATAGTGCAAAATATCGAGACTGGCCTAGTTTGGATTTGATGAGTTTGTCAGCATTTTGTTGACATGGCGTCAATGAATTTCAAACTAGTGGGTACTGTGCACAGGGTTTGTCTGATCACCGAAAGTGTACTGTAACAACAACAAATCTTGTTTGTTCTGATGATAATGGTGGTTACCAATACTTCGATGCCAAAATCAGTCATTAGTCTCGAGAACTGTGGCCCATACACCTTCGAAGTGTATCAATTTGTAAGAACTTGTCTTTATAAAAGCATTGAGGGCACAGAGCTAGTAATTTTTGGAACTAGGTATAACCAGTGGTTGATTAATCATTTTCATCACTTTCAAAACTGATTGTCAGTATTTTCATTAAATTGTAGAAATATACGGTGATCACGATATAATAAGGCGCATGTTGACAAGGACGCAGTTCGAGTCCTCGGCCTAACAAAATTAACCTTTATGGGTTATTTACGGTCTGAGTACAATCGCTGCCTTTCGTCTATCCCCTTCGACCATTTGCCACGCTTACGAGATCCTAAAACTTCTCGGCTTTCTCCGGCGATTCTCTCCCCTGACAGGTTGTCGATGAGTTGTCGATGGTCATTAGCCGAGGGTGGTATAGTAAGTGGCCACACAACGGCGTCCGGTATATGGTGCAGTGCCCTTGCCCTATTGGGATAGGTAGTGATGATTACGGCTGTGCGATCCTCGTCTATGCCAGGCGCGTCGCTACCAATAAATAAACAAGATAGATTTAGCCCCTTCTGCCCCGCTTCTAAGCAGGAAAAGTGGATGAAAACGTAGTACAAAAATTAACTATTCAATCGTGATCTTACTTTCATCAGTTTTCTCCACCGTTTAACAGTAATTTGGATCAATTCCCATATTCACTAGCTGCAGGACATGTGGCCTACGTGGTGTGTTATCCCTACGCGCGTCGCCAAATTACACCACCAGATTCACGCCAACAGTACCCTCAATAAACTACGCCAAATGCGTCCAATCACGAGACCTCTCACCACCAGCTAACCCCCCACCAACCCCTCATATCTAGACCTCCCTCTTTACGCGTTTTCGAGTCGTGGGGGTGGAGTTGCCACCGTAATCTACCCCCCGCCTCCCCGGGTAGTGCCAGGGCGAAAAACTCTCGTCTACTGAAAAACAAACACGCCAACTCGCGAACCACCCGCCGAAGGATTTTTACTTCCTACAACCATGAGAGAGATTGTACGTATGGCGACGGCGTCGCTGTTTCACCATCAAATCAGCCTGACACTGTATACTAACTGCTAGATCCACTTATCCACCGGCCAGTGTGGTAACCAGATTGGCGCGGCGTTTTGGGAGACCATCTGTGGCGAACACGATCTCGACTACTCGGGCAACTACCACGAGGGCGACCCCATCCGCAAGCAGAAGCTCGACGTCTACTTCAACGAGGCGTCGTCGGGCAAGTACGTCCCGCGGGCGGTGCTCGTCGACTTGGAGCCGGGGACGCTGGACGCGATCAAGCAGCTGAAGATCGCCAACCTTTTCCGCCCCGACAACTTCATCTTTGGCCAGTCGCTGGCGGGGAACGTGTGGGCCAAAGGCCACTACACCGAGGGCGCCGAGCTCGTCGACTCGGTGCTTGACATCGTCCGCCGTGAGGCGGAAGGGTGTGACTCGTTGCAAGGGTTCCAGATCACCCACTCTCTTGGTGGGGGTACCGGGCTGGGGATGGGGACGTTGTTGATCCTGAAGATCCGCGAGGAGTTCCCCGACCGGATGATGGCGACGTTCTCGGTGGTGCCGTCGCCCAAGGTGTCGGACACCGTCATCGAGCCTTACAACGCGACATTGTCGGTACACCAGTTGGTCGACAACTCCGATGAAACGTTCTGTATCGACAATGAAGCCCTCTACAACATCTGCCAGAAGACGCTCAAGTTGCCCCTGCCCCTGTACGACCAGCTCAACCACTTGGTGTCGCTGGTGATGCTGGGCGTCACCACCTCGTTGAGATACCCCGGCCAGCTTAACTCCGACTTGCGCAAGTTGTACGTCAACTTGGTCCCGTTCCCGAGATTGCACTTCTTCATGGTCGGCTACGCCCCGTTGACGTCGATCGGGTCGCAGCTGTTCCGCTCAATTACCGTCCCCGAGTTGACGTCGCAGATGTTCGACTCCAAGAACATGATGGCGGCGTCGGACCCCAAGAAGGGGCGCTACTTGACGGTGGCGGCGTTCTTCAGGGGTAAGGTGTCGGTTAAAGAAGTCGAGGACGAGATGCTTAAAGTGCAGCAAAAGAACGCTCAGTACTTCGTCGAATGGATCCCTAACAACGTCCAGACCGCGGTGTGCTCGGTGCCCCCGAAGGACATGGACATGTCGGCGACGTTCATCGGCAACTCGACGTCGATCCAAGAATTGTTCCGCCGCGTCGGCGACCAGTTCACCGCCATGTTCCGTCGTAAGGCGTTCTTGCACTGGTACACGTCGGAAGGTATGGACGAGATGGAGTTCACCGAGGCCGAGCTGAACATGAACGACTTGGTGTCGGAGTACCAGCAATACCAGGACGCCGGCGCCGACGACGACTTGGAGTACGGCGACGAGATTATGGACGAACCGCCCATGGAATAGAGAGATATGAAATACCAGTAATTACGACTTTTGTTAAGACTAAACTGTAGACACAACAACATTTTCGAAAACAACTTGAAATGATATTCCAAACTACACTTGAAACTTCATTTAAAACTTCAGTTGAAACATCAGTGAAAACATCACCTAAAACCTCACGTGAAACGTCACTTAGAACGTCAATTAAATCTTCATTCTCTACACCCCAATTCCCTTTAAAAACGTATATTATGCTAGTTGCTCTTCAAGAACCCGGTGATGAAGTCGTTCTTGTTGACGACACCCGCCGAGGGGCCGTCGAAGTACTTCATCACGTGGCACTGTTGCTTCCAGAAGTTGATCAATTCTTGGAACTCCATCTGGCCCTTGGCGTACAACATGTTTTGCACCCCCAAGTCCTCGACGAATCTCTGTCTTTCAAATTCTTGTCTGATCTTGGTCTTGACCAGGGCCACGGGCATGTCCAATTCGTACAAGTCCTGGATGGCCTTCGAGTAGCGGACGTACTTGCGGTAGAGGTGGAGCACCCGCTTCTTCATGTCGGCCTGGGTGACCAGTCTCCGCGTGGTTTCAGCAAACTCGGTAGCGAGGGTCATGGTATGGGATAATGATTTTTTTCGACCGTCTTATTGGATGGTGCGACGATACTCACTAGTGTGAGAGAGACACAACAACGACGAATAATGTGATTACAGAGGGAGAATGTGTTGAAATTTGATTTGATCTGTATTTGTGGTGTAAATTCGGTAGGAGAGTCGAGCTTTTCTTCTCGATTTTGAGATTGAGATTATTGATTGTATTTGAGATTACATCATAATAGCTGCCGCCTGGAATCGTCAGAGATAAATTTCTGAGACCTTCAGTCAAGCAGTGAAAATCAGTAAAATCTCTGTTGTTTAAATTTATTATCAAGTTTTCGTTCACTAAGCAAATTCAATTACGAGAGGTTTTTGTCAATTGTTATTGAGGGCCATCTTCGTATCGTAGAAGCAGATGCCAAAATTGATAGATCCTCGAAGGGAACCAAAGAGTCAAAAAAAAAAAAAAAACCAAAAAAAGACTAGACACAGATGGATCAAGTCGAAATCGTAAGCTTCTGATCTTTTGCCCATGGTGCGATAGACCCAATTCGTGCTAATATCACAAGCGAAGATCAATATACCAATTAGAACTAGACGCTTCAGTTTGGTTCTAGCATCAACGCCCAAGCAGTTTATAGGTTCGTTGCCTTGTTTTATTAGTTTGTTGCGCGTTGGGGCTACATCCTTCAAAAATGTCAGGTTGTCATAAGTATGTTCATGCAGTTGTACGTAGATGATCAATGTTCAGCATAATTCCTTATCCTAGGCGAGGATCAATTTCTCGTCGGCCTCGACGGCGAGCTTGGTATCATCATCGACAAGCTCACGGCGAAGCTCAAGTAAGAAATCGCGGTCGATAAGTTTAACGAACCGGCAGAGCTCGAAGCACCAGTCCCAGCGGCCGGCGCGCTGGAGCATGCGGAAGATCTTGAGAATCACCTCGTTGTCGACATCGTCCTTGGTGTCGGCGTTGAGGTAGATGATGAGGTAGTGGTAGCACCGTTCGACGTCTCCCTTCTCGATCAACTTGGCCATATAATCCTCGGCCGTCGTTCCAAGGGCAGTGAAAAACTTATCCCAGTAGCCCACTTCGATTTTGCGCAAGCAGTTGATGTATACCAGGTCGTCGACGACCTCCATGAGCTTATCGAGCACTGGTGGCTTATCGATCTCGGTAAGGTAGCGCACAAGCAACACTTCGAGGCAGTAGTTGTAGCTGTCGTAGCCGCTATAACGGCTCAGCAATCGGGGGACGACCAACTCCTTGGGGGTGTGGACGAGGTCGTGCTCGATGAAGTGGTGGAGGACGCCTCGGTGGCCGGTTTTCACCGCTAGGCGGTTATGGTTGACGACGTGTTCTAGCCCAACTAAGTCGATCAGTTTCGCAGTCAGACAAAGCCGGAGCGGCAGGAATCCACTGACAGTGATGGCGAGGGGCTGGGGAGTGTCGCCGGCACACACCGCGGCGAGCGGGTAGACAAACACGGTGTCACGACAGAGGGCGTAGACGTAGTCGGCGCTGCCGTCGCGGTAGGCGACGCTATCAATCCTGAACCACTCTACTCCTTTTGAAATGAGCACGAGCTCGTACTGGGAGCCGCCGAGGCTGTGGAGGATCATGAAGTCGCCCGTGGTCATGAGGAGCAAGAAGTGGTCGCCGACTTTATCCACCTGGCTCACCAAGCGGGTGTTTAGCTGGTTCTTGATCAGCAGCAAGTTGATCAGCGACCCGCTGAGGCTCACTTTATCCTGATTAGTGGTAAACTGGACCATGGTGATCTGATTGGTTAGCATCATTACGAGGGTCAGACCAGTCATGTGGCACGCGCCCACGCGAGCACTGACGGCGTATTTCGCCACCACCAGCTCGGTATCAAACGAGAACGAGCTGTGAGTGTATTTGGTGTGGCGCGAGTCAAATACCACTACTTCGTCAGTAGTATCATCACGGACAATAACCCCTAAAAAGTCACGGAACCAGAATGAAAACACCACGTTGATGGGCTCGTGGGTGTTGTCACAGAAGTACCAATTCAAAGGAGGTGTCATGGCTGGCGTCAGCACCGCGATGTGGTCGCCGTAGGTGATGGCGTACTGGCCGCTGAGCGAGTGGTGGATGTAGTACGTGCTGGCGTTGCCGTCGATGCGGGCCATCACCCGTTTGAGCCTGGGCGGTATCGGGTACTTGGTCACGCGGCGAGACACGGTGCCGAAGTAGTCGTGGGTGTAAAATAGGTGGCCGTTATCGGTGACGCTCTGGAGGCGTAACTGCCAGAGCTTGTCGCCAACGACGTACATCACTTCGGAGTTGCCGGCAATGACACACTGGCGAGCTTTGACGAACGGCTGGGTGAGTTCTTGTTGGATGATTGCCAGGTCAAACGTGGTGTGGCCCATGCGGGAAACGAGGCGGTAGTAGCCTGTATCGTGGTCAATAGCGACGTAAAACTGGCCTGACGGGGCCCACACTATTTCAACCAGCTCTGGTGCCGGCACCAGCTTGATCAAGGCGAAACTCTCTGAAAATAGACGTAATGACGAATTGAGCTGAATAAGCGTTAACCCTTGAGAACTGAAGCTGATCTTCACTGTGTGGAGTCCAGCGAACAGGTCGACGCGGTGGCCGGTGGTGGCAATGCCGGAATCACCTTTGGTGAGCTCAAAGTACCAGAGTTCGTTGGCGGCGTTGACGGCAAGAAAATAGCCCAGATACGGGTTATACTCAATGAATTTGACTTGGGAACCCGAGTACCAGCTCTGGTCGGCTAACAACACCACTTCGTGCTTGAAACTTTGCAAATTGACCACTTGAAGTTGATCTTGAGAGAACACAATGAGGTTATGCGAATTGGCCTTTAACCACCACCGGTCGATGCCAATCAGGATCTTAAGCACTTTAAACACCGCGAGCCGCACCAGTTCAATGGTAAAGTTATCGTCATCGTTATTTTCATGTGAGGTTTCCACCATAATTGGTTGTGGTGGTGGAGCCAATAGTTTCAGCGCCAGCTGGAAAATCAGCCGTAACAGCCACGGCAGCTGGTCAGACGCGACTGGTAAACCCAGCTGGAGCACTTGGTCGCCTTTATGGACCTCGTAGAGGTGGCGGTGGGGCTCAACGCGCCCGTGGTAGACGATAAGGTAGTGGTTCAGCGTCTCCACTACGAGCTCAAACTGCACGAGTTTCTGGAGCTGGGCCGAGTGGACGGTGATGTGTTTCGTTTTGACGTCGACATTGTGTCCGTGTTGGTCGGCCAGCTTCTGTTGGCGGGTGTGGGTGGCGACGGGGATTAGGGTGTACTGGTTGAGCACCGTTACCAGAAATTTGGTGGTGTAGGCGACGAGCGGGGTGTGCGGGATGTCCACAAGCTTGATTGGTTCATCGGGGAGCGATAGCAGAAGTTCCGGGTTCGCCTCGATCCACATCGGGCTTAGAATATGGAGAGGGAAATGGAGTGGAACGGGATAATAGGGATTGACGGAAAGGGTAGGTAGATCGGGTGGCGATCAATGGGAGGTTGGGAATGGGTGTGTGTTTGGTGGGAGGCTTGGTTGAAGGCGTGGTTTGGTGACTACGCGACTTTGACACCGGGGTAGTGCGCCGCCGTGATCAGCATGCGATCAGAGGAGTAGCTCTCATGAAAATGAAATAGGGGCATTATAACAACTAGGTTGGAGGGATAATTGCATATGACTCATTTGGTTTCAAAGTTGGTTTCAAAGTTGGTTTCAAAGTAGGGTTTATGGTAGGTTTCGAAGCAGTGATGGTGGAATTTCTACTAATGTGAGATTTCGCAGTAATTTGAAGTGACAGCTACAAGGATTTCGTAGGATATATCTGAATGTGATAAATTTAGATGTTTATCCACCTTAATGATGGGGATATATGAAAAATTGAGTTTATTCTCCTTTGGTTGTAAGGTCTGACATTGTAGCCGATAAGTAGCGTAAGCTAGGAAATCTATGCCAAATTGAGGGCGGGGTAGACGAGTGCGAATACATCGGAGATATCAAAGAAGAATTCACTAAAGCCGGTCACTCAGTACAATACGAGATATGTACTACTAAGTGTGATTAATTTCAGATATGCCAATTAGACTCACAATTTATCTTGGTAGTAAGGTGGACTCCTCATTTGACCATTTTCGTTACAAGTACCATTTTTCAAGGAAGAAAGAATAGCGATGCGATCATGCCAGGGCTAGCCAGGATATGAGGCCAAAGGTAATAGAAGAGATGAAGTATCAGTAGTAGATATATACCAGGGTCAGTTTGCTGCTGGTGGTTCATTTGGCACCGTCAAGGGAGTAGTTAGTTGTACCCCATCCTGCATACAGTTTGAGTCGTCAATGCTCACGTGCCTTAGGGTTTGTCTCACGGACACCCTGCTCGCTGTGACAAAATTTTCCGCCGCCAATACGTACCACACACCATCATGTCCAGCGCCAACAGAATCCAGTCGTTCGGCAAGAAGAAGTCCGCCACCGCCGTCGCCCACGTCCAACAGGGCAAGGGTCTCCTCAAGATCAACGGTTCCCCCATCACCTTGGTCCAGCCCGCCGTGCTTAAGGACAAGGTCTTTGAAGCCCTCACCATTGTCGGCCTCGACAAGTTCGCCGGCATTGACATCAGAATCAAGGTGTCCGGTGGTGGTCACGTCTCGCAAGTCTACGCCATCCGTCAAGCCATCGCCAAGGGCCTTGTCGCTTACCACCAAAAGTACGTCGACGAAGCCTCGAAGAACGAATTGAAGAAGATCTACACCGAGTTCGACAAGACCTTGTTGGTTGCCGACAAGAGAAGAATGGAACCCAAGAAGTTCGGTGGTCGTGGTGCCAGAGCCAGATTCCAAAAGTCGTACCGTTAAGGCGTGGGGTGTTGCTTTGGTGCGTTGTATTTCATGTTTATTAGTAATAGCTTAATAAAGCGGATAGAGACGAGTGTAGTGCCGATTGTGAATATCTTCAAACTGAGGTCATTCTGACTTGAATCATATTGCTTGAGTAGAGCGTCGTCAGTGGGGTCACAATTGTATTGACCACGAGAGGGCCCCTTGCTTCGCTAAATGCAATCAAATGAAGTATTGATTGGGAATTGGGTTGCGTGGGATACAGATTTAGCGATTTTGCAGTCATGGTTAGCGTGGTAATACTCGGTGTATCATCGTTAAGTCTCACACGACACATCTTTTCGCATCACTTGGCTTCGAGAAATCAGCGCAAATTGTATGATTTAGTCGCAAAAAGACGACACCTTTTACTGAAATTTTTCAATCAGATCCACCGATTCTAGGTTTAGTCAATTAGTCCATTTAACGGTGTGTGGAGATGGCGATGCCAGTTACATGGCGGCGAATTTTTCAGTTAGGTGCAGGACATTTACCCCGACGCGTATCACTAGCCACAGTGCCATCAACGATGCTCGTGGTCGCGACGCTGGAACCTGAGGCAGCCAGATAGACACAATTCGATAGAATAATGAGAAATGCAAGGTTATCATTGGAAGAAGTTTCAAGTAACATCTGGGCCAGATCTTGATATGCGATGTATTTTGCAATTTTGTTGACTAAATGGTTCAATGCCCTCGAGTAACAATTGCTCAGCAATGATTTCGTTAATCACAACAAAGTAGCGACGGATAGGTTCCAGTGAGTAGCCCATTATTGCCATTAATGGCAAAGAGACGACTATAATGAACGTGAAACCCCCACCAATCTCAAACCACTAGTTAGGCGTTGTACCTTTTTCTGATTCCCAATGATTGAGCATGACTTTGACTGGCACTTGCGAATGACGTGGTAACTGGTCGTTTATTTAGTGATCAGCCACTATAATTTTAAGCGCCATGGTCGAGTGCGGTGAAACCAGGAAGATGAAACATGACAACAAACGAGCGGTTTCATGTCCGCCAATATAAACAATGATCTCTCCATAGCGCAATAACTACTACCTGATGTCGCAAGCGTCTACTGATTCGTACCATGCCTTAGTGACGGAGATCATGGGGTCCGACTTCCATTGGGACACCAGTGGCAATACTATTGAGGTTGAATTAGCCACTACCAGTAAGGAAGTAATCGTGGAGGTGGACCCACAGCTGACCCTTGACTCGCTTTACCAGCTATTTATTCAAGTACTGAGGCTCAAAGTACACTCATTACAGCCGTGTGGCCTCTACGACGCTCAATTGGACCTGGTTTGTGGCTTTCAGCCGCTACTGACGCTGGAAATGAAACACCACCTCTATCGCCACTGGCAGTGGACGTGGCTCTGTCCCTTTGACCATGGGGGCTCTCAATGCCACACACTACCCAATTCTGAGCTTCTCCACGCTCATCTACGTGTTCACCATGGCGACCACCCTCAAACGGAGCTTGACGCTTACTACGCCTTAGTCCGCCAATTTGGACCGACAAGCACTGGTAGTGTACCACCGTGGTTATTTACTAGTACCAGTTTACCGGGAGAAACCCCACTTACAGCCCACCGGCGTATTCTCCAAGAATGGGTCCGCCAGACGTACCCTTATACTACACTAGAACAAGTTGAACTAGCGATGGCGTCGCCGTGGCTTGACGTCGAGCCATCGCTCATGGCTCGCTGCTATGGCCTCGGGTACCCGTGTCCCCTCCCCCACCCTAATAATCACGATGCCATCGTGTTTAGTACGACAGAAGAATTGCGGGGCCACTTCCAGCGCTACCACGCGATGACCACTGACACCCAACTAGCCGTGGTTGACAGCTACCTCGTCCACCACAGCCAACCAACGGCACTACTTGTCAATAATGCGTTACGCGATGGTGTCACCGATGTCAGTCGGTGTCACGGTGACGACGCTTTGTCAGTGCTCAGGTTGCTAGATCCCAACTAGTATACATTCAGCTATGTTGTTTCGTATTATTGCTATTCTACATCCCCAAAGATTCGCGAGTGGTTTACTTCTTCTTCTTTTCGGCTTCAGCTTCGGCCTTTTCCTTGGCGCGCTTTTCTCTGATGCCCTTGTACTTCTTGTCGGATCTAGCCAATCTCAAAGTGGTGAAAGCCGATTGTTGACGGGGTTCGACGGCTCTGGGGGCCGATTCGACGGCGGGTTGTTCCACGGGGAAGGTGGCGGCGGCCGAGGCTTGGGCGAATTGAGCGATTTCCAGCTTCGAGGTCTTCTTGTCGAAGATGACGAGCTTCGAGGTGTATTCCTTCAATCTTTGCACGTTGAGGTCGAAGGTCTCGGTGGACTTGTTTTGACGACGGTGGTCGACGGCGATGCCGATGGTTCTGGCGTATCTGGGGGCCAAGCCGACGGCCTTGAGTTCGGCGATGGTGAAACCTCTACCGGCTCTCACCTTGCGGTTGTACTTGATGGTGGGGCATCTGACGACCGGTCTCAAGGTGTCGATGGGGGCGGGGGCGACCTTGGCGGCCTTGTTGGCCCGGGCGATCCGTCTCGATTCCTTGCCCTTAGCCTGGCCAAGGTAAACCTTGACCCGCTCTTGCCAGGTCAGCTTGCGGAAATGGTTCTTTTGGAGAGCGTTGTTGTGTTTCACAGCCATCTCTAAAGTGTCGACGAGAGAGTGGTTCCGGACGGTGAAAAATTTGTTAGCTGGGTCGCAGGCGCGGGAGCGTCTCGCCGCCGCACGACCACTAGGTCGCGTAACCCTAGCGCACGTGACCCAATACAAAATAAAAACAGCCATCAACATCAAGCAAGAAACGCTTAGATGCAATCTATTGATGGCTCTAACTATTTCAATCCGTCCAACATAATACTTCGGTCGTGTTACTTTATCTCTAGTATCACTGGTGTTTGGCATTGATCTCACCTGATCTCCATCTGTAAATTAGGTGCGACAGCTAGCTTACACTGATCAAACTCTACATTTCTACTAAATTCAAGACTTGGCGTTGCTGGGCCAGAGTGATTTCTTAATATGTTTTCACTTGTTGAAACTGTGCCGCCAGTTGAAACTAGTAGTTTTTGTAACTGGTGATAGATGCAGTGTATTGAGGACCTGTAGCACCTATATCACTATCCCAGTTAAGCCAAGAGGTTCAGCCAAATGATTTTTATCTCCGTTATTAGTCTCTTCTTTTACTACTCGGGTAACAAGACCGATGCCAGACATTAATCTTCGTTTTACAACCCATCAGTAGCTAAATAGTAGCTATGGGTCCAACTTTCGTCATTGCTAGAACCAATTCCCGCCAACACTATTCATTTTGGTGGCGATCCCTGTGACCTCGCTAAATGTCAGACCATAACCAGGTAAGTACCACACCGTAAGTGGATGCCAAGCCGTGGTTGTAACCATCACTGGCCAGGTAACAAACCTTACCGAAATTCCCTCGTACCCGATACGACGGTCCCCTGGTCGTAAAACTCATGTCCCGACAATAAACACCCCCCCTCCTTCGGTCTCCCTCCTTCAAGCCTCCCGGCGTCTATCTATGAAACAGCAAACCACCGATATCAAATGTGCTAGCAATCCATTAACCTCTACATTGTCTACATTGCCGTGTGTGACATACCGCAATTTACGCCAAGAGTGGCTTCCCCATATGTCTCGCTCTCATTTGGCGATTACCTGGCTTGATTTGGGAACCCCGGCCCGCGACGTCGCATGGCTCGGTCCGCTCGCAAAAGCTTAATCCCGACAGTGGTGCCGACAATTGTGGTATACCCTCGCAAACCCCGAGATACACGGGACAAAGCAACGAGGTTTCCGAGACCGCCCGAGAGCCCTGACCACTTGGGGGTGCACCCGTTTGCACCTATTTTTATCCGCGGCACAGGCGATTGTCCCCCGATCAATAGCCCCTGGCCTGTGGGTGCTGGTGGGGGTGGTTGCGTTGCGACGTTTGGCAGGCGGGCGCACCAAGGGTAATTTGCGAGTGGGGTCTGGTTGCTAGTGTAGGGTGGCAAGGCACCCCTGAATCAGAGGCACCCCTCATGCCTTGTTCAGCGGTCATGTAACCTGCCACGCAACAAGCCTTTCGAAGGTTAACGGTAATGAATGGGTTTTCGGTAAGAACTGTCGACCGTCTGGAATGATTCGGCTCGAGTAAACAAACAGAGCAGGGTGGCGTCACTGGGTCAACAAGATGCACCGTGTCGTCAGCCCTGGCTGTTGTTTACCGGCTGTCTAAAAATACTTTGTGGGAGAGGCGAAGCACGCGTATACTAGAAGTGTAAACATACCTCGCTTTGTGGAGTGAGTGTCGGAAATGTTGTCGGAAGAAAGTGTCGGAAGTGACCGTCGGAACCACTGCCGGAAGTGCGATGCCCCTCAATGCTCAACCCTCAATACTCATCACAATACCCTACAAGTCTCTAATGTTTTCTGTCTATTACTATACAGCACGCTTAGTCGAACAAGCCGAACCCCATGTCGTCGTCGGATTCTTCCTTGGCTTCTTCTTCCTTTTCTTCGGCGGCGGCGGCTTCACCACCGGCGGCGGCAGCACCGGCAGCAGGAGCGGCACCGGCGGCGGGGCCGGCTTGCACTTGGAAGAACAAGTCCTTCAAGTCCTTACCGTCAAGGGCCTTGGCGTAGATCGAGGTCCAGATGGCCTCGACTTCGACACCGGCGGTTTCGGTGAGGGTCTTCAAGTTTTCGGGGGAGATCTCGACGTCGGCGTCGGCGAGGATCAAGGCGGCGTACGACAAGGCAGTTTCAACGGACATCTCGGGAGGTAATCAAATTAAGCAGACTCAAGAAGCGCAGACTACTCTCTTAGCAGGGGTGGGGTACCAAGCTGAAAAATTTTGTCGCTCGCCGGCGCGCGGTCGCACCTGGGTTGGTAACCCTAAGTCACGTGAGACATTCAACAAAAGGATACTAACATTTAAACGTTACGCCAGCCGGCAATTGTTAGTTATAATTGATACAGAGTGTTTAGTTATTGCTGGTTTTCTTTGTTCCACTCAGTATGGCTCCGGTCGCGCAAATATGCTCTGTTTCAGTAAGCTGAGAGCATGGCATAAATACTACCACAGAGTTAACCGGTAAATCACGACAAACCGGCGACTCATACGAAATGCCAGTTTGTGGCGTGTTTCACACGACACACGCCTGAAACTAGTAGTCACGACACACCCGCCCTAACCCCCTGTAACAACTGAAGTTTCGTTTCAATTTACATTGTTTTGCAGCACTGATGTTTCTCCTAGCACCGTCTCCAAGTAGTGTGTGTACGGGCGCGTATCTCTCGTATCACGGCGCCGATAGCGCCTGCCGCCGACGTTCACTGGCAGGTAAAACTGGCAGGATGCCGACAGACAGCGCCCTCGCTCACCCCCACCGCGCCCGGCGCCCAGCGTGCGCGCGCACGCCGACAGCGCCAGCGCTACCCGCCCCCCTCCCTCCCC